TTCGATTTTTTGTATTTTTATTATTATTATTATTATTATTATATTTTTACTAATATTATTACTATTATTATTATTATTATTATTGATTATTAATTATTAATTATTATAATTATAAACATAACCTATAATTGTTTTGCTTCAAAGTATCATAAACATAACCTATAAAATTTAAATTATATATTATTATTTTAATCCAAAATTTATTAAAAAAAAATTTTTTTTATATTTAATTATATTGGATAAAAAAAATAATATTTTAATGATTTAAAAGAAAATTTTAATTAATTTTCTTTTGTTTTCGACTTGAAAATTAAAAGTTTAAAAATTGGGTTATTATTTTTTTTTTCATCTTTTTTCGTTCAAAAACCCTTTTCATGTCTGTAGGTTATTGGAACGAGAATTATACAGGTCATGGATCGTAGTCACGATTTCTTGAAGGCGCCTCTACCAGGCACCAAATAATTCATGAATAAAACATTTATATATACATATATATATATATATATATATATATATATATATATATATATATATATATGTTGTATCCGGTATTTGACGATTTTTAAATTGTATGTCTCAAATTTTTACTTGTATCAAGCAAAATACATTTATATAGACGTATTTTTTTTTTTTTTTTAGAAAAATAAATTTTTAAAATTATAAAATTTTTAAATTAATTGCAAAATTTTTTATTTTAATTTTTAATTGCCACGAATTATATTATTATTATTATTATTATTATTATTATTATTATTATTATTGATAGAATTTTTCCTAAAACGGACAAGATTTTTAATTTGACCGAAATTACAAAAAATGACCGTTAATAAAACATAACCTACAAAAAAAAATTTGGCGCGACTTTCAAAAAATCGAACAATCAGAAATTATTTTTTTATTATTATTTTGTTCTTGTTTTGTTTATTATAATTTTTATATTATAATTATTATAATATATAATAATAATGATAATAATAATAATAATAATGATAAAAATATATAATTTATAATCATCAAATTATTACAATTATGTAAGAATAAATTGTGATTAATTGAATTTTTCAAAAAAAGGCGCCAAAAATTTATTTTTTTTTGTTGGTTATGTTTGTTCGGTCATTTTACAATTTTGGTCAAATGAAAATTCGTTTTTTTTGTGAAGAATTTTAACATATAATAATAAAAATAATATAATTCGTAAACTAATAAAAATTTGTACAAATAAAAATTCGAACCAAATAAAAATTCGTAAAAATAAAAAATCTTATACCTAAATAGAAATTCGTACAAATAAAAAATTCGAATAAAAAGAAATTCGTAAAAATAAAAATTCGTATAAATAAAAAATCCTATAAATAAAAATTCGTACACATAAAAATTCGGACAAATAAAAATTCAAACTAAATAAAAAATCGTATAAATAAAAATTCGTACACATAAAAATTCGGACAAATAAAAATTCGAACAAATGAATATTCGGACAAATAAAAAAAAATTATAAATAAAAATTCGGACAAATAAAAATTCGAACTAAATAAAAAATCGTATAAATAAAAATTCGTACACATAAAAATTCGGACAAATAAAAATTCGAACTAAATAAAAAATCGTATAAATAAAAATTCGTACACATAAAAATTCGGACAAATAAAAATTCGAACAAATGAATATTCGGACAAATAAAAAAAACTTATAAATAAAAATTCGGACAAATAAAAATTCTAACTAAATAAAAAATCTTATAAATAAAAATTCGGACAAATAAAAATTCGAACAAATGAATATTCGGACAAATAAAAATTCGGATATATAAAATTTTGAAAATTAAAATTCGATTAAAAAAAAAAAATTTGTACAAGTTAAAAATTCGTAAAAATTAAAATTCTCATTATATTAAAAAATAGAATTCGGTAAAAATTTTTGGAATTTTTAATTAAAATTAGACTATAATTTAAATTCGAATTTTATATAGTATTTTTTGGTATCAAGGAAATGAGGGAAGAATTAAATTTGCAAGTGTTCTTGTGAAATTAAACAGAATTATATATACATATATATATATAAGATGGTATATTGAGATTGGAAGATTAAACAGACCATGCGCGTTAATCGAGATTAGAAGATTAAACAAAAGCTAATTTTATTGAAATCAGTTGATTCAGCATTATATAGAAATTTTCCGCACCATTTGTTTTTAAATCATTCAAAAAAAGCGACGAATTTCTCAAAAGAAAAAAAAAATATTCGAATTTCAAAAAAAAAAATTGAAAATATTTATAGAAATTGGAATAATTCAAAATTTGAATTATTAAAATTGGTAATTTTTGAGAAATTCAAATTATTCAAAATTTGAATTATTCGAATGTTAAATTATTTAAAATTCGAATTTTTTCGAAAATTTAAATTATTCAAAATTCGAATTTTTAAGAAATTCAAATTTTGAATTTTTTAAGGTATTCAAATTTCGAATTTTTGAAAAATTTAAATTTATTCAAAAATTTGAATATTTAGAAAATTTAAATTATTTAATATTCAAATTATCAAAAAATTCGAAAGTTTCGAATTACAAAAAAAAATTGAATTTTTAGAAATTCGAATTATCAAAAATTCGAATCATTAAAAATTCGAATGATTAAAAATTGGAATTTTTGAAAAAATTCAAATTATTCAAAATTTGAATTATTCGAATGTTAAATTATTTAAAATTCGAATTCTTTCGAAAATTTAAATTATTCAAAATTCGAATTTTTAAGAAATTCAAATTTCGAATTTTTGATAAATTTAAATTTATTTAAAATTTGAATTTAGAGAAAAATTAAATTATTCAAAATTTCAATAACGAAAAAAATTCAAATTATCAGAGAATTGAATTGTTTAAATAATCGAATTTTCCGAAATTCAAATTATTCAATATTCAAATTATCAAAAAAATTCGAAAGGTTCGAATTACAAAAAAAAAAATTAATTTTTTTAGAAATTCGAATAATTCAAAATTCGAATTATCAAAAATTCGAATCATTAAAAATCCGAATTAGCAAAAATTTGAATAATCAGAAAATATAATTCCAACTTTAATAATATTCGAATTTTCTAAAAAATCTACATTTTTTTTTTTTTTGAAATTTGAATTTAAAAAAAAAATTGTTTCTTTATAATTTGAATTGTTCAAAAAAAAATTGAATTTTTAGAAATTCGAATATTATTAAAGTCCGAATTATATTTTCCTGATTATTCAATTTTTTATAATTCGGATTTTTAATGATTTGAAATTTGAATTATTCGAATTTCTAAAAATTCATTTTTTTTGATAATTCGAATTTCTAAAAATTCATTTTTTTTTGATAATTCGAATTTCTAAAAATTCATTTTTTTTTTGATAATTCGAATTTCTAAAAATTCCATTTTTTTGATAATTTGAATTTCTAAAAATTCCATTTTTTTTTTTTTTTTTTTTTTTTTTTTTTTTTTTTTTTTTTTTTTTGATAATCCGAACTTCCAAAAAATTCGAATTTTCCAAATTTACTTCGATAAAAAACGCGTTTAAAAAATTGTATATATTTTTTTTTTGAAAATTAATTTTTTTTTTCTTTGGTACTAAAAATTAATTTATTCTTTAAATTATAATTTTGAGGTTATGTTACGGTTTAATCGAGAGATTAGAATTTTCCACACCTCACGATTGTCGACACGCGAAAAACTTTTATATATACATATAGTTGATGATGAGATTGTTATTTCTTGACGAGAAAGAGAGAGGGGGGAAGGGGGAGGGGGGGGGCAACGTACCTCACACACGTTCTATTAAAAGAGTGTAAAAATAGGGGTCGAGTAGAGTGTAAGCCAACTGCAATAGCCCGAAATATTGCAAAGGGTGTGCCGAAGGGGTTGCCTGCACCTACTCATCGAAAACTATATATACACACCACCCTATTGCTTACAACCTGCATTGCATCAGTGTAAATCGAGTCGCCGACCAGAACTCTCTCTCTCTCTCTCTCTCTCTCTCTGCTTTTTGTCTCAATACAAAAAAAAAAAAATTTATTTCTGCCAAAAAAATTCATATTTTTCAAAAATTAATTTTTTATTTTTACCAAAAAAATTTTCATATTTTACAAAAATTAATTTTTTTGCCAAAAATTCGTATTCTTTTCAAAAATTCGTATTCTTTTCAAAAATTAATTTTTTGCCAAAAATTTGTATTTTTCAAAAATTAATTTTTTGCCAAAAATTCGTATTTTTCAAAAATTAATTTTTTGCCAAAAATTCGTATTCTTCAAAAATTAATTTTGAATTTTTGACAAAAATTCGTATTCCTTTCAAAAATTAATTTTTTGCCAAAAATTCGTATTTTTCAAAAATTAATTTTCTATTTTTGCCAAAAATTCTCGTATTTTTCGAAAATTAATTTTTTATTTCAAAAACAAATTTTTTATTTTTGCCCAAAAATTGGTATTTTTCAAAAAATTAATTTTTTTATTTTTGTATAAAAAAAATTTTTTATTTTTTATTTTGAAAAAGAAACTTGTGTTATTTATTCGAAATTTAATTTTTTTTTCTTTTTTTTTTGCGGAAATTTATACTCAAAATAAATAAATAGAAAAAAAAGATTTGTTTCTTTCTATAAAAATTAAAATTCAAAAAAAAAATTTTTAATAAATAACATAGATTTTTTTTCTGTGTATATATAAAAAAAAATGAAAATAAAAATTAAAAAAAAATTTTTCCAATAAAAAAAAAACAAATATTTTTGAATGGCGGAAAGTTTTATCAGTGATACAAAACGCTTTTGTGCCAGACAGGTCAGCAACCGAGATAATGTAGGAAGACAAATTTTTTTTTTAGGAAAAATTTCATTGTAAAAAAAAAAAAAAAATTATATTAGGAAAAAAATTTTTCGAATTAAATAAACTATAAAAATAGATAAATTAATTAATTAATAATTTAGTAAAGATAACTAATGTAAGTTTCATTTTTTTTTTTTTTTTTTTTTTTTTTTGTTACAGGTTCTGTCTCTTGGTGCTGATGTTCTTCCCGATTATAAACTTCAATCGCCAAGAATACACAAATGGACAGTATTACATTATTCACCATTTAAAGCCGTTTGGGATTGGATTATTCTTCTCCTTGTTATGTACACTGCAATTTTTACACCTTACGTTGCTGCTTTTTTACTCGCTGAATCCGATTACAGTAAAGTTAAATCGAAAAAATATGGAGAGGATCCAATTGTCATTATTGATCTCATAGGTGAGATAATTTTTCTTGTTTTCCTTTTTTATTTAATTTTTTTATTTAGGAAAATTTTAATTTTAACGAATTTTTCAATTTCTTTATTTTTTTTTTTTTTTAAAGAAAATAATTTTATTGAATTTTTTTCAATTTTTTTATTTAAATTTTAATTTTAACGAATTTTTTTCAACTTCTTTATTTTTTTTTTAAAGAAAATTTTTTAATTTTATTGAATTTTTTTCAATTTTTTTCAATTTTTTATTTAAAAGAAATTTTAATTTTAACGAATTTTTCAACTTCTTTATTTTTTTTTTTCAAGAAAATTTTTTAATTTTATTGAATTTTTTTCAATTTTTAAAAAATTTTTTATTTAAAAGAAATTTTAATTTTAACGAATTTTTCAATTTCTTTATTTTTTTTTTTTTTAAGAAAATTTTAATTTTATTGAATTTTTTTTCAAATTTTTTTAAATTTTTTTATGAAAATTTTAATTTTATGGAATTTTTCAATTTTTTTTTATTTTTTTATTTAAAGAAAAATTTTAATACAAAGTAGTAAAAAACGGACAATTAAATATATTTTACAGATTTTCGATCAAAGCTACAATAAATTCAATTATTTCCGCAAAAAAAATTTTTTTATTATTTTATCAAAAATTTCATTATTATACGAAAAATTCTATAAAAACTCAAAGATTCAATTATTTTTCAAAATTTTGATTATAATTTTAAAAAATTTATTTTTTTTTTCAAATTTCAATGAAAAAAAAGGCCAAAAATTCAATTATTTTAAAGAATTTAAGTTCAATTTAGCAAAAAATTCAATTTCCAAAAATTTTTTGTAAAATAGTAAAAAAAAACGGACAAAAAAAATTAAATTATTTTCAAATATTTTGATTCAAATTTGTCATAAATTCAAATATTTATCAAAAAAAAATATTTTATTATCATTCAAAAATACCATTATTTTTCAAAAATTCAATAAAAACCTAAAGATTAAATTATTTTTCAAAATTACAAATAGTCGAAAACATTTTTTTTTTTTTTTTTTTTTTAAATCTCAATTAAAATTAGGCAAAAATTCAATTAAATTCCATAATTTTAATTTAAATTCATCAAAAATTTTAATGCAAATTTGTAAATAAACGAAAAAATTAAATTATTTTCAAAATTTAATTCAAAGCTGACAAAATTAATTATTTATAACAAAAATTTTTATTAACGGTCAAAACTTCCTAGATATTTTCCAAAAATTCAATAAAAGTTCAAAAATTCAATTTTTTTAAAACAAATTTTCAATTATAATTGGTAAAAAAAAAAAATTATTTTTTCAAAAAAAAAAGTCCAAAAAAAAAATTCAATTATTTTTCAAAAATTTCAATAAAAATCCACAAAAATTCAATTATATTTTAAATATTATTTTCAATTTAAATCTATTAAAAATTCAATTATTTTTTCAAAATTAAAGTTCAATTTATGTTAAAAATTGAATTTTTAAAAATTTTTACTAGAAATTAGTATAATAATTTAATTATTATTTTCCAAACTTTTCCAAAAATTTCAATTGTTTTTAAAAATCCCGACAAAATTAATTTTAAAGAATTTCATTTGTCAATAATTTTATTTTTAAGTTGAATTTTTATTTGTTCGAATTAGTATTTTCATTTAATTTCAATAATTTCAATTAAAATTCAATTAATTTCTAATAAATGAAAAATTCATGTAAAATTCTAATTTAAACAAATAAAAATTTGTCTCAATAATAATTATTGACAAATGAATATCTATAAAAATGAAAATTCTAACAATTTTCAGAACATAATAATGCGTTTTGAATTTTTAATTTTTACAAAATTCACATTTAATTTGAATTTTATTTGATTCGAATTTATTACAAAATTTTTATTTGTACGAATTTGGAAATCAATGAATTTGAAAAATTCGATCATTTAAAAATTCGAATTAAATAAAATTCAATTCAATTAGAATTGTCTGTGTGTTAAAATAAAATTCCAATTATATCAAAATATTATTGTAAATAATAAAAAGTTATATGTAAAAATAAATGAAGTGTAAAATAAAAATTTTGTGAAAAATTCGGTAGCTAAAAAATTTTGTTAATTAAAAATTTGTATAAAAGAGTAAAATTTGTTAAATTTTAATTTTGAAATTTTGAAAATTATTGTTTTAAATTCAATTATTATTAAAATTTAATTATAATTTTCTAAATTTAATATTATTAGAATTCAATTATTTTTAAAATTCAATTATTATTTTTAGAATTATTATTTTTATTCTTGAATTATTGTTTTTTGGAATTCAATTATTTTCTAAATTCAATTGTTTTATTTATTTTTTTTTTTTTAAGAATTTAATTATTTTATAAATTCAATTATTTTTCGTATTAAATTATTACAAAATTCAATTATTATTTTTAGAATTATTATTTACATTTACAGAATTATTGTAGAATTTATAAATCAATTTAATTGTTTTTGGAATTTAATTATTTTTAAAATTCAATTATTAATTTTTAAATTATTATTTTTATTATAGAATTATTATTTTTATAATTCAATTATTTTCTAAATTCAATAGTTTTTTTTTTTAGAATTTTATTTATAAATTCTATTATTTTTCGAATTAAATTCTTTCAAAATTCAATTATTTTCTAAATTTAATTGCTTTTTAGAATTTAATTATTTTCATAAATTCAATTATTTTTCGAATGTTTTCAAAATTCAATTATTATTTTTAGAATTATTATTTTTTATTCTTGAATTATTGTTTTTAGAATTCAATTATTTTCTAAATTAATTGTCAAAAATTAATAATATTTTAAAAAAACTTTTTTTTCTTTTTTTTTTTTTAATTCAAATTTTATAACTAATGTTTTTGTTTAATATTGATTTTATTTTCTCTTTTTTTTTTTTTTGGAAAAAAATTTTAAAATATATTTGTTTTTCTTCTTTTTAGTCGACGTCACATTCATCGTGGACATTCTTATAAATTTTCGTACAACATTCGTTAACAGTAACGATGAAGTTGTTTCCCATCCTGGAAAAATAGCCGTCCATTATTTGAAAGGTTGGTTTGTCATCGATCTTGTTGCTGCAATACCATTCGATCTTCTACTTTTTGGCTCCGACACTGATGAGGTAAATTATTTTTAATTATTACTTTTTTTTAATTGTGTTTTTTTTCTCAGAAAAAAATTTTTTTTTCTTTTTTTTATATAAATATTAAACGAGGGATTTTTTTACAATGGCCAAGTTGTAGAAAAAAGAAATTCTTAATTTTCTTTTATAAAAAAAATTTTTTTTTTTTACTATTTTCATTTCGTTCCAATAATGGAAAAAAGCTTTTCATTTTATTTATTAATTTTTTTTTTTTTTGTTTAATTTTATTTTTTTACTATTTTATTTCCCCTTTTTCTGTTTTATGTTTTTTTTTCCGTCCTTGAAAAATACTTTTCGTTAGTTTCTTTTTTATTTTCGAAAAAAAATTCAAACCAACTTGGCTTTTGTTGGAAAAATAATATTGGGTGTAATTTTTTTTTTATTTTATTTATTTTTTTTTTTTTTTTTATATAGAATGTCAGTGTTTAGTTTGTAAGCCCGATTATAGGTTGACATGCCAAAAAATCTAAGATCTGTGTCCATAGATGTCTTTTTTTTTAACCGGATTGGCGCTTAGTTTCTTTCATAATTTTTTTTTTTTAATATTTTTTTTTGTTTTCGTCTTTTTTGAATTTATTCTTTACTTTCGTCATTCCTCGGTGTTGAATGATTTCCTCATATTGGAATATATATATATATATATATTTTAAATCATGGACATTTACACGTTATTTTTGGTCTTTTTCTCATTTTTATGTCTTAGTACAACTTTTATTCAAATGTATTGCAATTTCAACAATTTTTTTCAAATAATAAATTAAAAAAATAAATTATTAATTATTTATTTTAATTATTTTATTAATTATTTAATTAATTATTTTGTTTTTTTTTTTTAATTTTTATTTTAAAAAAATAGATTTTTAATTTTCTTAAATTTATTTCAAAAAAAAATAAATTTATATTTAAAAAATAAATAAATATAAAAAATTACGATCATCGCACGGAAATTGTAAATAAATAAATTTATGTTTGTTTTTATTTTTTTTTTTCTACTAATTAATTATTCAAATACTAGTTGTACTAATTTCATAAATTTGTGACTAAATTAAAAAAAAATGTGCAAAAAAAAAATCTGAATGTGCAAAAAAATACCAAAAAACAAAAAAATAACTCTTTCCTTAATAAGTTATTTCTTTGGCGTTTTCGAGTCTTTTCTTCCCTTTTAATTAAATGTCAATCAACTGTTGTTGTTGTTGTTTTTTTTTTTTTTTTTTGTTAATTTTTCTCATATATTTCTAAATCATAACCTTTTTTTCCAAAAATTTTCATTTCTGAAATAATTTAATAATTATCTTTAAATTTTATATAAATTTATTTCGTATTTTTTTTTTTCATTATAAATTTTGTATAAAAATTTTTACTAAAGCAATATTTATTTTTTTTAATTGAAATGAAAAAACTAAAAAAAAATTTTTTTTTTTTAAAAATTAATATTTAATTTTCGTATATATATTTTTTTTAACTAAAAGACAATTATTTATTTTTTTTATTGAAAATGAAAATCGGAAAAAAATTTTGCTTTTACGAAAAAATTTTCATTTCTTTATTTATTTTTTTTTTTATTAAAAATAAAATAAAAATAAAATTTTCCGATTTATTATAATTATTAAAATATTTGTGTGTGGTTGTTTATAATTAATTATTTAATATTTAATGGTAATATAATAAAATTTGGTACAAATGAAAAAAAACAAAAATATATTAAATATATATATATTTAATAATTTAAATTATAATAGTGAAAAAAATATTAAATTAATTAATTTAAATTGGAATATTTATGTGCAATTTCTTTTTTTTATAAATTTTTTGATAGTTTTATTTATTTATTTATTTTTTTTTTTGAAATACAAAAAAAAAACCCGAGAAGAAAAAATTATTTTTTGTCAGGGGTAAATTATGAAAAAACAAAAAAAAAAAAAACAAAAAAATAAGAAAAAAAGAAAAATTATTAAAATAATTTAAAAAAAATTAAAGTCTATGATTACAAGGAAAATCGAGACGAAATTTAACCTCAGTTTAACGTTTTCTTAGCTCGGCTTGGACAAGGATGAGGTTAGTCACACAGCCTGACGTTTGTGTTTCAACGCAGATTTGAATTAATAATTTTTTTTAAATTTTATTTTATTTTATTTTTTTTGAATTATTTACAATAAATTCACCAAAGCCACGAATTTTTTTTTATTTTTCCACTTTTTTTATATATATATACACACACAAAAAAGAACACGTTTATTATTATTATATTTAATCTTATAATCTATAAATGTACATTATTATTATTATTATTATTAATACATTACGCTTCTAAACACACCACAAATTATTAAATTTTTTGCACGGTTTCATATTATAATTACTAGAAAAAAAAAAAACAAAAAATTACAATTTTTGTGATCAAAAAATTTTTTTTGCACTGTTTTTTCTTTTTAAAAATTAGTAAAAAAAAAAAAAAATCAAAAATTATTACGAAAAATATTTTCTGATAAAAAATATAAAAATGGAGCACAAAATTCTGAAAATAGAAAAAAAAGAGAAAAAAAAAAAAATAGTGGAAATTTTGTTTCCAAAAAATTGATAATTACGAAAAATATTTTTTCGAAAAATAAAAAAACAGAGCAAATATTTGCGCAAAAATTCCGAAAGTAGGGGGGAAAAAAAAATAAAAATAAATTAAAAAATTTGGTTTTAGAAAAATTTGAAAATTACGAAAAATATTTTTCAAAAAAATAATAAAAATAGAGAGCAAGAAAAATTTGACCAAAAATAAAGAAAAAAAAAAAAGAAAATAGTGAAAAATTTGTTTCCGAAAAATTGAAAATTACGAAAAATTATATATTTCCTAAAAAATAAAAATGCAGCAAATAATATATTCGGAAAAAATTAAAAAAAAATTGCGAATTCATTTTTTTTTTTTTTTTTGTCAATTTTGAATTAAAAAATTTGGAGCTTCGGCCGAATAATAAAAATAAATAAAATTTTTATTGCTAAAAAAATGCGCTTTGGATAATTTATTAATTTTCGGAAGAAAAGAAAAAGAAATTTGTCGCAATCTTTTTCATGTTTTAGTATTTTTTTTCAATTTTTTTTTTTTTTTTTTTTTTTACTCGGTTGCAGAGAATCGCAATTTTTCAATTTCCAGGCTTTTCTCTCTCTCTCTCTCTCTCTCTCTCTTTCGAGTTCTGCGGATTATTTCCAAAGGGGGATTTATTTACGAGCTCATGTCGACGGAACAGATTTCGTGTTGGAAAGAAGGAAATAGATATAAATTTATATATAGACACGTAAAGAGAGAGAGAGAGAGAGAGAGAGAGAGAGAGAGAGAGAGAGAGAGAGAGAGAGAGAGAGAGAGAGAGCTTTTATAAAGGGTTACTCATTTACATCGCAAGGAAAATAAATCATTCGGTGCCCCGAGAATCAACTGGGTCAGAAAGAAATCGCGAGGGAAAAAAAAAAAACGTTTCGTAAAGGAAAATTCTTTGTTTTTTTGGATAATCTCATTTTTTTTTTTTTTTTTTAAATTAATTATTTTCCTTCAATTTTTATTTTATATATAAATCCCTCTGTTTAAATAATTATTTAAATTTCTGCAAATTAAAATTTTCAATTTTGAAAATTTGAAATTTAAAATTTCTATTTTTTAAATATTAAAATTTCTATTTTTTAAATATTAAAATTTTGTATTTTTTAAATATTGAAATTTGTATTTTTTTAATAATAAAATTTCTTTAATTAATTATTTTCATTCAATTTTTTTTTATATATAAATCCCTTTGTTTAAATAATTATTTAAATTTCTGCAAATTGAAAATTTGAAATTTAAAATTTCTATTTTTTAAATATTGATATTTTTATTTTTTAAATATTGAAATTTTTATTTTTTAATTTTGAAATTTTAAAAATATTAAATTCAAAAATAAATCTCTCTCTCTATGTAAATATAGTTAATTAAATTTTTTTTTGAAAATTGAAATTTTTGAATTTCCTCTGAAAAAATTTCAATAATTTTAAACAAGGTTTTAAAATAATTTAAAGTAAAAGAAAAAAATTTTTGCTTCCAATAAAGAGAAAAAGGAAAAGATAATTATAATTATAATTCTACAGAAAAAAAAAAGGAAAATTTATTTTAAGCCAAAATTTGTTTTTTTTTTCGTTTGTTTTATTAAGATTTTTTTTTTTTAATTGTTTGTATTAAGAAAGAAAAATTATATTTGAAGCCAAAATTTGTACTTTTCGTATTTTTGTTTTTTTTTTGTTTTTGAAAATTAGTACAAAAAAAAACACCTGCACAAATTTTAATTTTTCGTACATACAAAAAAATTTTTTTACACAGACACACGAAAATTCACGCAAAAAAAAAGTAGAAAAAAGGTACGGTTTTTTTTTATTTTGCCTTTTTTTATTTTATGTAAAAGTTGAAAAAAATTTTTTTTTTTAGAGTAATTTCTCTATTCTCTTTTCTACTATTTTTATTTATTTCTTTATTTTTAAATCATTAAAATACATACAAATTTACAGCTCATATAATTTTTTCTCTTCTCACGAATATTTTTTTTTTTTTTTTTTGTTCTTTCTCTCTTTGTCTCTTTTTCTATCGCTTTTGCGCTTCGTCTATTTGTTATTTATATTCTGTTAAAAAAATTTTTCGATTTCAATTTTTTTTTTTTTTTTTTTAATTACTTTTAATTAAATATATTGAAGTATATATATATAGGCGAAAAATGATTGATTGAAACATTTTAGCCATTTTGCATGATAGTGTCATAAATAGTGATTGAGTAAATAATTTTAATTTTTTTTTTTTATCTCCTTTCAATTAGATTAGAAAAATCTTTTTTTTATTCTCCTCCGCTTTTTTTCGGTGTCACTATTTAAAAAAAAAAAAAAAAAAAAAAAAAATTTGGAAATAATTTTAAAAATGAAATTGAATATTTTTATTTATATCCAATTAATTAATAATCTAACTAACAATAATTAATTAATAACTGATAATCGTTAGTAAATAAAAATTAGTAATTAGTAATTTATTATTAATTATTATTAATTAACTAATAATTAATAATTTAGTTAATAATTATTATAAATTAATAAATTAGTAATTAATAATAATTAATTAACTAATAAATAATAATTGTTAATTAAATTCTTCAAAATAATTGGACAAAAAAAATATTCTTAAAATTAATTTTACAAAAAGAAAAAAAATATTTTTACAAAAAGAAAAAAAAAACATTCTTAAAAATAATTTTACAAAAAAAAAATATTCTGAATAATAAATTTACAAAAAATATCGAATATTTAGAAGAAAAAAAAATCTCGAGTATTTATTTTTCTCCTTCAATTGCAATTTCAATTAATTGAATAATTAAATAAAAAAAAAATAATAATTTCTCAATTATTGGAATAAACCAAAATTTATGCTCAATTGCTTGCGATAAAAATATTCCTGCAATAAGTTCCCTTAATTCCCCCCCCCCCACTTTTTTTTTGATCCTTTTTTTAAAAAATAAATTTCTTTTTCTCTACTATTTGTAGTTATTAAAAAAAAAAAAAAAAATCAGAATTGTGATTCAATATTTTTTTGTTTAGCAAAATTAATTTGCAAAAAAAAAAAGAAATTAATTAGAAATTATTATTTATGTTCTGAATGCTTTTTTTCAAATCACAATTCTGAAAACAAACAAAAAAAAAAAAACCAAACCAAACCAAAAAAAAGAGGATACAATGAAAAATAATAAAAAAAAAAAAAGCTTTTAAATAAATAGTAGAAAGAGTAGTGCAATTTTGAAAAAAAGAAAGAAAAATGAATTTTTACAGACAACAACGTTGATTGGACTTCTGAAAACAGCTCGACTTTTAAGATTAGTCAGGGTTGCAAGAAAAATCGATAGATATAGCGAATATGGAGCCGCTGTCCTGCTTTTGTTAATGGCCACTTTTGCCCTCATCGCTCATTGGATGGCCTGCATTTGGTATGGAAAAAAATTCATCTTTTTTTATTTTTTTTAATTTTTTTATTTATTAATTTTTCAATTTTTAAAAAATTTATTATTTTATTTTTTTTTTTATTTTCTTATTTTACTGTCAATTTATTATTTTATTATTTTTTATTATTATTATTATTATTATTATTATTATTGTTATTATTATTGTTATTATTATTGTTATTGTTATTATTATTATTATTATTATACTAGAAAATAATAAATAAATAAATAATAATAAATACTAAAAATATTACTAAAAAAATTTTACTAAATAAATTATTATAATTGTCAACATCATTATTACTAAATTATTATAATTATTATTATTAAGGACGCATGATTATGTTGTAAAAATCATTAGAATTTTCATTTTCGATTTATTTATAATTAAATTTTTTTTTTTTTATTTTGAAATTTAGGTATGCAATTGGCAATGCTGAGAGACCGTCTTTAAAAAGCAAAGTTGGCTGGTTGGATATTTTAGCAAATGACACACATCAATTTTATAATCATAATAACACTGGTGGTCCCAGTATAAAAGTAAGTTTTAGAAAAAAAAAAAATTAATTTATAATTTCTGCTGAAAAAATAAATTTTGAATTTTGTTTTTTTTTCCGCAGAGTCGTTACATTACCGCCTTGTATTTCACATTCAGTAGTTTAACATCTGTGGGTTTTGGAAATGTTGCACCAAATACGGATGCGGAAAAAATTTTCACCATTATCGTCATGTTAATAGGATGTAAGTGAAAATAAAATAAATCCAATTTTAATAATATTTAATATTAATATTAATATTAATATAAAAAAAAATTAAACAAAAATTATATAATAATAAAATGCTTGGTCTGTCCTTCTGTCCTAATTTGAAGTTGGCCTTTTCTGATTTCACGTGTTTTTTTTTTTTTTGAATAGTAATCTTATGACGTGTCAAATTTTGACAATATTCTTTTTCTCATTTTTGCCAAAGTTGTATAATTGTGTTTCCAAATTTCGGAATAAGTTTCTTTAAAATTCCAAATTCGAAAATTCAATTCACGAAACTGAAGTACACAACGTTTACCAACGAAATTTTTTTTAAACTTGTATATTCATTCAAAAATTGTATACAAATAGAAAAAATTTATGATGAGCAAAAAAGATGCGCCAGGAAATTTCGTACAAGATAGTAATTTGAAAAAAATTTATTTTTCAAAATTAATTTTTAAGGTACCAGGGGCAAACGAATATCTATTAAATATAAATTATAAAAACACAGGCCTCGAATTAACTTAAAGACACAAAAAAAGGCGTTTTAGTCGATTTATATTCCAAAAAAAAGTGAATTTGTTTTTTATTTTAACAAAAATATTTTACAGATTTTTAAATAAAAATTTTTTTTTTTTTTAATATTAATCCTTTTCCAAGGATTAATGTTGAAATTTTTAGAAATAATTAAATTTCAAAAGATATTGTTAATTTTCAAAAAACAATTATTAAATTTTACAGAACTAAAAATAATTTATCAAACAATTTTTGGAAAACATTTTTTAAATTTAATTGAATTTTCAAAGATTTAAAATTGAGATTTTTGAAATTAATTGAAACTTTAAGTGTTTTGTAATTAAAATTTTAGATGATTTCACTAAAAATTTTATAGAAAATGCGGACAAAATACAAATAATTTGAAAATCATTTTTAATTGAAAAATGGTTTCAGATAGTTGAATTTTCAAAGAATATTATTAAAATAGTTAAAAATTAATTTTGAATTCAAATTTTTGAGAATAATGAAATTTTATTTGATTTTAAATTTGGATAATAATTGAATTTCAGTTCATTTTAAATTGAAAATTTTGGGAAATAATTGAATTTTAATAAAAATTTTGGATAATACTTTAATTTAAGTTCATTTTTGATTGTAAATTTGGATAATTAATTTTGAATAGAAATTTTAGAACATAATTGAATTTCAATTAAAATTTTTCAAAATAATTGAATTTTAATTGATTTTAAATTGAAATTTTAGAAAATAATTAAATTTCAATTGATATTAAATCGAAAATTTTGAAAATAATTGAATTTTAGTTGATTTTAAATTGCAAATTTTGGAAAATAATTTAATTTCAATTAAAATTTTTGAAAAATAATTGAATTTTAGTTGATTTTCAATTGAAATTTTGGAAAATATTTGATTTTAAATCGAAAGTTTTGAAAATAATTTAATTTTAGTTTATTTTAAATTGCAAAATTTAATTGAATTGCAATTGAAATTTTAGAAAATAATTGAATTTTTGTTAATTTTTAATTAAAATTTTAGAAAATAATTGAATTTTTAGTTGATTTTGAATTGAAATTTTGGAAAATAATTGATTTTGAATTGAAAATTTTGGAAAATAATTGAATTACAATTAATATTAAATTAAAACTTTGGAAAGTAATTGAATTTTATTTCATTTTGTATTGAAAATTTTGAAAATAATTGAATTTTAGTTGATTTTTAATTGAAATTTGGGAAAATAATTGAATTTTTAAAGTTTTTGAATTGCAAACTTTGAAAATAATTGAATTTTATTTGACTTTAAATTGAAATTTTGGTAAATAATTAAATTTTAAAAGATTTTAAATTGTAAATTTTGAAAATAATTGAATTTTAGTTTATTTTGAATTGAAATTTTTTTAAAATAATTGAATTTTAATTGAAATTTTAGAAAATAATTGAATTTTAGTTTATTTTGAATTGCAAATTTTGGAAAATAATTGATTTTAAATCGAAAATTTTGAAAATAATTTAATTTTAGTTGATTTTAAATTGCAAATCATAAAAAAAAATTGAATTTTAGTTGATTTTAAATTGCAATTTTTGAAAATAATACAATTTTAGTGGATTTTGAATTGATAAATTTGAAAATAATTGAAATTTATTTGAAAATTTTGAAAATAATTTAAATTTAGTTGACTTTGAATTGAAATTTAGGAAAATAATTAAATTTTATTTGATTTTGGTTTGAAAATTTTGAAAAAATTTTAATTTTAGTTGATTTTGGATTGAAAATTTTGAAAATAAATTGAATTTCAATTGAAATTTTTGAAAATAATTGAATTTTAGTTGATTTTCAATTGAATTTTTGGAAAATAATTGAATTTTAAAAGTTTTTGGAATTGCAAAATTTGAAAATAATTGAATTTTATATTTAAATTAAAATTTTGGTAAATAATTAAATTTTAAAAGATTTAAATTGTAAATCTTGAAAATAATTGAATTTTAGTTGATTTTGAATTGAAAAATTTAAAAATAATTGAATTTCAATTAAAAATTTTGAAAATAATTGAATTTCAGTTTATTTTGAAATGAAATTTTCGAAAACAATTTAATTTTGGTGATTGTGAATTGAAAATTTGAAAAACAAATAAAATTAGTTGACTTTAAATTGAAAATGTTTTAAATAATTGAATTTTAATTGAAATTTTGGATGATAATTTAATTGAAGTTCATTTTTCATTGAAAATTTGGATAATTAATTTTGAATAGAAATTTTAGAAAATAATTGAATTTTATTTTATTTTAAATTGAAAACATGGTAAATAATTAAATTTTAAATTGAAAATTTTGTGGATAATTATTGGATTTTTAATTGATTTTAAATTAAAATTTCGGGTAATAATTGAATTTTAGTTTATTTTGAATTGAAATTTTTCAAAAAATAATGCAATTTTATTGTGATATATTTTTTTTTAAATTATAAACAATTGTTAAATTTTATAAAAATTTTAATTGAAAAATAATTTTGATATAATTGAATTTGTGATGTATTTCATTAAAATTAATTAAAAATAATTAATTTAGTGAAGAATCATTTTAGTTGAAAATTTATTAAATAATTGAATTGAAGAAGAGATCTGAAGAAGATATAAATTTTATACTAAAAAAAATTTATTTTATTTACATTTTCTTTTCAAATGTCAAAAAAAAAAAAAAATGTCCCATTTTATTAAAATAATTCGATAAAAGTGGTATTTTTGAAAAAAGTCGGAAAAAGTCGTATAATCCGAGGCCTGTAAACATATATAATTTTCATTATTATCATTTAATATGTAATAATATTCTAATAAATTAAATTATTATTGATAATATTAATCTTTAATTTCTTTATAACAAACAATTAAATACTCAATTTGGCGTTTAATTTTGCTAGTATATTAATAAAAAAAGTTAATAGAAAAATATTAATAAAAAAATTAATAAAAAAGTTAATAGAAAAATATTAATAAAAAAATTAATAAAAATATTTTTTTTTTATATTTAATAATATAAGTTTCTTTCGGATATTTAAATATTTTTAATATTAATATATTTTAAAAAAATTATTGAAAATTGTTTTTTTTTTTCAAAACAAAAAATGAAATATTTTTCTAATAAATTTTGTAATTTTTTTTTTTTTTTTTTAATTTTGAATTCTTTTTTTAGCTCTAATGTACGCGAGTATTTTTGGAAATGTTTCGGCAATTATTCAAAGGCTCTATAGTGGTACAGCACGTTATCATACACAAATGCTTAGAGTTCGTGAATTTATTAGATTTCATCAAATTCCAAATCCACTTCGTCAACGTCTTGAGGAATATTTCCAACATGCGTGGACATATACAAATGGAATCGACATGAATAGTGTTTTAAAAGGATTTCCCGAGTGCCTTCAGGCTGACATCTGCCTTCATCTAAATAGAAATTTGCTGAATAATTGTAAAGCCTTTGAGGGAGCAAGTCCAGGATGTTTAAGGTATTTATTAATTTTCTCCTTTTTTTTTTTTTTTTTTTTGTTTTTTCGTTTATTTTCAATGTTCATTATTTTAATTATTTTCTCTATTATTTGCATTTAATTAAATATCTCATAAAAAAAACAATATTTTACGCACTAAAATCCAAAGGGCAAAATTTTATTTTCAATTTTTGTTTGAAATTTAAAAGCACAAAATTTATTAATTTTACATTTCTTTTTTTCATAATTAAAATTTTTTTTTCATCTTTGAATTTTATTTTTAAATTTAAAAAAAATTACAAATTTTTTTTTTTTTTTTAAAAAAATTGCAAAATTTTTAATTTTTTTAAAAAAATTTGTAATTTGAATTTAAAAAAAAAAAATAAATTTTTTTTTAAATTTAAAAAGAAATTCTTCACATTACAGAGCTCTGTCATTGAAATTTAAAACAACGCACGCACCACCCGGCGATACATTAGTACATCGTGGTGATGTATTGACGTCACTTTATTTTATATCGCGTGGAAGTATTGAAATACTTAAGGATGATATTGTAATGGCAATATTAAGTAAGGACGATATTTTTGGAGAGAATCCTTGCCTTTATACAACCGTTGGCAAATCATCATGTAATGTTAGAGCGCTTACTTATTGTGATTTACATAAAATTCACAGGGACGATCTTCTTGATGTTCTTGCACTTTATCCTGAATTTTCCAGTTATTTCAGTCGTAATCTTGAAATTACATTCAATATGAGAGACGTAAGTGTGTATTTTTTTTTTTTTTTTCTTTCAATTTTAATTTCAATAGAAATTTATTTTTCAATTAAGAAATAAAATGTATTTTTTATTTCAAAAAAAAAAAAAAAAAAAATACAATTTTTTTTAAAAAAATATTTCGTATTGTAAAAAAAAAAATATTTCTATTTTATTAAGAAAAATATATATTTTGTATTATTATAAAAAAAAATATATATATATATATATTTGCAGGAGGAACAAGCAGGTGTCGATCCAATATCAGCGAGATTTCCCGTTAGTACTCCAACTGACGTTGAATTCGATGCCAGAAGATTTGCCTTCCGTCCACCGAGATATCGTCGAGGACCTGGTGTTCCTGGTACAAATCTTATTCCAACAGGTCGTCAGGATTCTCTAAACGAGGACCAAGATGATTAGTAAGTTTTTAAAAAAAAAAAAATAAAATAAAATAAAATTCTTCTTGAATTACCTATTAAAATAATTCCACGAATTTGGTACAATTTTTTCCGACTTTTTTTTTTCAAAAATACTTTTTCAATTTATTTTAATAAAATGCGACTATTTCAACTCTTTTTTTTGTTTTACATTTTTTAAAAAAAAAGTTTTTTTTTCTTTTTTAGAATACAATGAAACATTTCTTCACATCTTGTTTATTTCAATTATTTAACAAATTTTTAACTAAAATTCTTCACTAAATTAATTATTTTTTTTTAATAATTTTAATGAAATTCAATTATCTTAAACTATTTTTCAAAATTAAAATTTTTTATGAAATTTATTAGTTGATTATAATTTACAAAAAAAAAATAAAAAAAAATAAACAAATAAAATTAATAAATATTTTTCAATTCAAAAATCAATTGAAATTTAATTATTTGCCAAAAATTTCAATTATTTTCTTAATGATTTTTATAATATTCTTCGAAAATTCAATTATTTGATACAACATTTTTCAAATAAAAAATTTTAGGAATTGAAACTTTTTTTTTTTATGTGACTTCTAAAAAATTCTTTATCAACAGAAATTTAATACAATCTTTTGAAATTCAATTATTTTCCAAAATTTTTAATTTAAAATCAAATAAAATTAAATTATTATCAAAATTTTCAATTCAAAATCAGGTAAAATTCAATTATTTTTAAAAAATTAATTTAAAATTGAACTAAAATTTAAATAATTTCCAAAATGTCAATTGAAATTCAATTATTTTAGAAAATTTTCAATACAAAATCAAATAAAATTCTATTCTTTACCACAATTTCAATTAAAATTCAATTTTTTTCAAAATATTCATAAATTTAATAAATTCCAAATTTTCAATTTAAAATTAAATAAAATTCAATTACTTTATAAAATTTCAATTTAACATCAATTATTTTCGAAATTTTCAATTCTAAATCAACTAAAATTCAATTATTTTCGAAATTTTAAATTCAAAATCAAATAAATGTTAAATTATTTTTAAGATTTTCAATTCAAAATCAACTAAAATTGAATTATTTTTCAAAAATTCAATTCAAAATCAATTAAAATTCAATGATTTTCAAAAATTTCATTTACAAATTAATTATAATTCAATTGCTTTTAAAACTTTCAATTCAAAATCAATTTAAATTCAATAAAAATTGAAAATTTTGGTAAAGAATTGAATTTTAGTTGATTTAGCAAAATTTTTTATTTTTTTAATTTTTAAAATTTTTTAAACTAATTGAATTTTAGATTATTTTGCATTGAAATTTTGCAAATAATTGAATTTTAGTAGATTTTGAATTGAAAATTTTTTAAATAATTGAAATTTTGGAAAATAATTGAATTTTAGTTTATTTTGAATTGCAAATTTTGGAAAATAATTGAATTTTAGTTTATTTTGAATTGCAAATTTTGGAAAATAATTGATTTTGAATTGAAAATTTTGGAAAATAATTGAATTTCAATTAATATTAAATTAAAACTTTGAAAAGTAATTGAATTTTACTTGATTTTGAATTGCAAATTTTGGAAAATAATTGTTTTTGAATTGATAATTTTGCAAAATAATTGAATTTTATTTCATTTTAAATTGAAAACTTGGTAAATAATTAAATTTTTAATTGAAAATTTTGGATAATTATTGGATTTTTAATTGATTTTGAATTAAAATGTCGGGTAATAATTGAATTTTAGTTTATTTTGAATTGAAATTTTTCAAAAAATAATTCAATTTTATTGTGATATTTTTTTTGTTTTAAATTATAAACAATTGTTAATTTTTATAAAAATTTTAATTAAAAAATAATTGAATTTTAGTTGATTTAGAATTGAAAATTACTAAAATAATTGATCAATCAATTGACATTTTGGAAAATAATTAAATTTTTGTTAATTTTGGTTTGAAAATTTTGAAAATTTTATGAATTTCAATTGACATTTTAAAAAATATTTGAACTTTGGTTGATTTTGAATTAAAATTTTGAAAAATAATTGAATTTCAATCGAAATTAAGCAAAATAATTAAATTTTAGTTGACTTTAAATTGAAAATTTTGAAACTAAATGAACTTTAATTGATTTAGAATTGAAAATTTTGAAAATAATTGAATTTTAATTGTAAATTTTCAAAAAAAAAAAAAAAAAAATGAATTTTAATTGTAATTTTTGAAAAAATTGATTTTTAGTTTATTTTTAATTCAAGATTTCTTGAAATAATTAAAATTTAATTAATTCAAAATTCAGAATTTTGAAAGTAATTGAATTTAAATTAATTTGGAATTGAAAGTTTTTAAAATCAATAAATTACAATTAATTTTTAATGGAAATTTTTTTAAAAAAAATTGAATTTATGTTTATTTCTAATAAAATGTTTTAAAAATTTTCAAAATAAATGAATTTCATTTAAAAATTTAGAAAATAATTCAATTTTAGTTTGATTTTAAGTTAAAAATTTTTGAAAATAATAAAATTTTGGAAAATAATTGTATTTTACTTGATGTTAAATTAAAATTTTGGAAAGTAATTGAATTTCAATTGATTTAGATTTCAAATTTTGGAAAAAAAATAAATTTTTTTAAAATTTGAATTGAAATTTTGAAGAATATTTGAATTTTAGTTAATTTTGTATTAAAAAATTTGAAAATAATTGAATTTCAATTAAAATTTTGTTAAACAATTAAATTTGAGATAATTTTCAATTAAAATTTTTCAAAATTATTGAATTTTAATTAAAGTTTTAATTAAAATTTTGAAAAATAATTAAAATTCGTTGATTTTTAATTAAAAATAATTAATTTTTAATTGAATTTTTTGAAAATAATTGAATTTTAGTTTTACTGTAATTAAAATTTTAGAAAATATTTTAATTTTATATATTTATTTATTTATTTGAAACAGAAACATTTAGTTATATATAAATATATACATTTAAAACTAATTTTGAATTTAAAATTTTAAAAATAATTGAACTTTCATGGATTTCGAATTAAAATTTTGTAAAATAATTGAATTTTAGTTGTTTTAGAATAAAAAAATTACGAAAATAATTGATTTTGAATTGAAAGTTTTGAAAATAATTGATTTAGAATTGAAATTTTGGAAAATAATTTGAATTCCGAAAGTCTTTTTAATTGAAAAATATTTTCATATTTAAAATTAAGAAAATAATTGAATCTTAGTTGATTTAGAATTGAAAATTTCGAAAATAATTGATGTTAAATTGAAATTTTATAAAGTAATTGAATTTTAGTTGATTTTAAATTGAAAATTTTGAATTTATTGAATTTTAATGGATTTTGAAATTAAAATTTTAAAAAATAATTGAATTTCAATTGGGATTGGAAATGAATTTTTTGAAAAAAATTGAATTTCAATTGAAATTTTGGTAAAGAATAGAATTTTATTTGATTTTGTATTGAAAATTTTCTAAAATAATTGAATTTCAATTGACATTTTGGAAATTAATTGAATTTTAGTTCAATTTCAAATTAATTTTTTAGAAAATAATTGAATTTTACCTGATTTTGAATTGAAAATTTTGATAATAATTTAATTTTTATTTGATTTTGAATTAAAAATTTTGGAAAATAATTGAATTTCAAAAGATTGTATTAAATTTCTGTTGATGAAGAATTTTTTAGAAATGACATAAAAAAAAAAAAATTTCAATTCCTAAAATTTTTTACTTGAAAAATGTTGTGCCAGATAATTGAATTTTCGAAGAATATTATAAAAATCATTAAGAAAATAATTGAAATTTTTGTCAAATAATTAAATTTCAATTGATTTTTGAATTGAAAAATATTTATTAATTTTATTTGTTAATTTTTTTTTTTTTTTTTTTTTTTTTTTGTAAATTATAATCAACTAATAAATTTCATAAAAAAATTTAATTTCGAAAAATAGTTTAAGATAATTGAATTTCATTAAAATTATTAAAAAAAATAATTAATTTCGTGAAGAATTTTAGTTAAAAATTTGTTAAATAATTGAAATAAAAAAGATCTGCATTGTATACTAAAAAAAATCGTATTTTGTTTCGAAATTTTGTAAAAAAAAAAAAAAAAAAAAAAAAAAAAGAAAAAAGAAAAAAAATGTAAAAATAAAGACATAAAAGTCCAATTTTATTAAAATAAATGAAAAGAATTCTTATTTTTACAACAAAAAAAAAAAAAAAAGGTCGTATAAACCCGAGACCTGGATTTTTTATTAAATTATATAAATATATTTTAATTATAATGGTAAAAATTCTTTTGTAAATTAAAATATTTCTTAATTCTTTGTGAATTATTAAAATTTTACTTGTAATAAAAAATTTATTTTTAAAATTAAAATTAATGATAATGATAATGATTTGTTTTTTTCAGCGATAAGGGCAGTAGCGGTCATGGAATTTTGGAATTTAATACCGACAAAGCAGGCCAGGATGTGACACCCTTAAATCTTGAATTTGATGAGCCAAAGCAAAGAAGTTCAACCTTCAATTCAATAACTGGTAAGAAAAATTCTTTACATTACAAAGGAAGAAACAAATCTTTTTTCGCTCTCACAAAAATTATTAAGGTGAAATATTTATTATACCCTCCGCTATTATTAAATTTCAGCTTATTTCAAAAAAAAAAAAAAAAAAAAAAAAAAATCTTATATCCTTTATCCTATTTTATTCCAAAGCGCATATATATATATAAATGAATTTCTCAATAATATAAAAAAACATTAAATAGAATTTTTCAATTTAAAGAGAGAAATTTTATTAGAAAATATTTTTTTTCAAATTTCACAAATTTTTAATTTTTATACGAATCAATAAAAAAAAATTCAATAGCTAAAAATTTTTATTAAAAATTCATATAAAAATGAAAAATTCTGTTAAAAAAAAAAATAATCGAGAAAAATGATTGAAATTCGCTTGAAAAATAATTATTTCTAATTGAAAAATTCAAAATGAAAATTCTAATTTTTATTTAATTATGAGCGCAGTTTTTTTTTTATAATCTCCTATTTTATCCAATATCCTCTCCTGTTTTTTTTTTTTTTTTTTTTTTAATAATATATTTATATTATATTTATTCTCATGTCTGAGGAATGTTGTTCTATGCACGAGTTTATTGATAACTAGATTTTTTTTTTCTTAACTATTTCGTCAATCATTTCATGTTTCCTAATTGTAGAGAAATTAGAATTATATATATACATTATATTCAAAACGTATTTTTAGTTTCATTTCTTTTTCTATAGAGCTGGGATAATTTCTCCAATTTTTTTTTTAATAAAAAAAGGGCGTTTATTATTCCATTATTTTATTTTATTTTTTTTGAGTTTGAAACCCCGTTTGTTAACAATTTTGAAACCTGGTTGTTCAGGCATGCTAACCCATCTCAAGCGCAGCATTCCGGATCTTCGACAGCACAAGATTCATCTACAGCCGTTGACAAGTCACGATTATTTGGCAAAACAGAGTAAGTGAGATTTATTTCCCCCCGCCCCCCCCCCCCCACCTCCCCCTTTCGTCCATTGCATGTAATTATGTTTGAAAATGGTCACAAGAATACAAACAGCACTTCATTAAAAAATAAAAGAAAAAATGGGTGATTAAATTTGTTATTATAATTCAATTTTGTAAAATTTTTTTTTTTTTTTTTTTTGAAGGTTTTTTTGTTGTTTTTTTTTTCTTCCATTTTGTGTAAATTTTTTGCATTTATGGTTTGTTTTTTTGTTTGTTTGTTTTTTCCTCTAGTGACGACACCATTGACAAAACCAACGAGAAGAAGTTCTGCGGCTGGTGAAAGTTCTTTGAGTCACAATATTACTCATCCGGCATCAACAACTTCTAGTCATTATACGACACCTTCTCCACCTCAACCTAGTGGTAATTTTTGTTTTTTTGTTTTTTTTTTTTTTTCGATTTTTACTAACAGAAAAAGTGTTTTTCTTCACTGAAAAAAAAGGGGTTTGATATTGACAATCATAAACGTTTGATTGATATTTAGGTAAACAAAATTTTTTTTTTTTTTGAATCAAAAAAATTTTAATTGTCTCAATCAAAAATTTGTTTGACACAGCCAAAATTAGAAAAAAAAAGATATTTGTTGTCCTATAACTAAATTTTGATTAGGATAACCAAATGTTTGGTTGTCAATATACCAAACCCATTTTTTTTCAGTGTTTTATTACTTTTTCCAGGGTTAACAGAAAAATATTCTAATTTTTTCCACATTTTTTTTTTCCTAATTATGATAATTTCTAGTTTTTCTATTTCGCAAAATTGTGATAATTTCTATTTTTCTTATTGTGATAATTCCTATTTTTTTTCTATTTTTCTATTTTTGATAATTTTTCTTTTTTTTTTTTGTAATGTAAATTTGAAATACAATTATTTTAAAAAAATTTTCAATCAAAACTCAACCAAAATTCAATTATTTTACAAAATGTGAATTGAAATTCCATTATTTTCAAAAATTTCAATTTTTAAATTTTCCAAAATTTCAATTAAACTTCAAATATTTTCAAAAATTTCAATTAAAATTAAATTATTTTCAAAATTTTCCATTCAAAATCAATTATTTTAGTAATTTCCAATTCTAAAATCAATGAAAATTGAATTATTTTCAAAAATTTCAATTTTTAAATTTTCCAAAATTTCAATTAAACTTCAAATATTTTCAAAAATTTCAATTAAAATTAAATTATTTTCAAAATTTTCCATTCAAAATTAATTATTTTAGTAATTTCCAATTCTAAAATCAATGAAAATTAAATTATTTTCAAAAATTTCAATTTTTAAATTTTTAAATTTTCTAAAATTTCAAATTAAACTTTAAATATTTTCAAAATTTCAATTAAAATTAAATTATTTGCAAAATTTCAATTAAAATTCAATTATTTACAAAATTTTCAATTCAAAATAACCTAAAATTCGATTATTTTCCAAAATTTCAATTCAAAATCAATTATTTTTGTAGTTTTTAATTCTAAATCAACTAAAATTCAATTATTTTCCAAAATTTTGACTGAAATTCAATTATTTTCCAAAAAATTCAATTCAAAATCATATAAAATTAAATTACTATCCAAAATTTCAATTCAATATCAACTAAAATTCAACTATTTTCAAAATTTTCAATCTAAAATTAACAAAAGTTGAATTATTTTCCAAAAAATATCAAATGAAATTCAATTATTTTTAAAATTTTCAATTTATTATCAACCAAAATTCAATTATTTTCAAAAATTTCAATTAAAAATCAAATAAAATTTTATTCTTTACCAACATTTCAATTTAAATTCAATTAATTTTAAAATTTTCAATTCAAAATCAACTAAAATTCAATTTGTTTCAAAAAATCCATTTCAAATTCAACTAAAATTCAATTAATTTCTAAAATGTTAACTAAAATTCAATTATTATCAAAATTTTCAATAAAAAATGAACCAAAATTCAATTATTTTCCAAAAATTTTAATTCACAATCAATTCAAACTCACTTATTTTCAAAAATTTTCAATCCAAAATCAACTAAAATTCAATTATTTTCCAAAATTTCGAGTTAAAAACAACCGAAATTCAATTATTTTCTAAATTTTCAATCCAAAATCAACCAAAATTCAAAAAAAAAAAGTCAATTGAAATTCAATTAATTTCAAAATTAACTAAAATTCAATTATTTTCAAAATTTTCAATCCAAAATTAACAAAAATTCAATTATTTTTAAAAATTTATTTTCCATATCAATTAAAAATCAATTATTTTCAAAAATTTCAATTAAAAATCAAATAAAATTTTATTCTTTACCATCATTTCAATTTAAATTCAATTAATTTAAAAATTTTCAATTCAAAATCAACTAAAATTCAATTATTTTCAAAAAAAAATTCATTTCAAATTCAACCAAAATTCAATTATTTTCCAAAATGGTCCATTGAAATTCAATTAATTTCAAAATTTTCAATCCAAAATCAACCAAAATTCAAAAAAAAAAAAAAAAAAAAATGTTAATTGAAATTCAATTAATTTCAAAATTAACTAAAATTCAATTATTTTCAAAAAATAATTTCAAATTCAACTAAAATTCAATTATTTTCGACAATTTCAATTCAAAATCAACTAAAATTCAATTATTTGCCAAAATTTTGATTTAAAATAATTTAAAATTCAATTATTTTAAAAAATTTCAATGCTAAATCAACTAAAATTTGATTCTTTTTAAAAATTGAAATTCAAAATAAACTATAATTCAATTCTTTACCAAAATTTTCAATTTTAATTGAATTTAAATTGATTTTGAATTGAAAATTTTGAAATTTAATAATTTTCAAGAATCTATAAAATTCAATTAATGTCTAAAAATTAACAAAATCGTTTGATAGTCAATTATTTCTAAAAATTTTAATTCAAAATCAACTAAAATTCAATTATTTTCCAAAATTTCGAGTCAAAAACAACCGAAATTCAATTATTTTAAAAATTTTCAATCCAAAATCAACCAAAATTCAAAAAAAAAAAAAAAAAATTTAATTATTTTCAAAAATTTTAATTGAAATTTAATTGTTTTCAACATTTTTAATACAAAATCAATCAAAATTCAATTATTTTCAAAAAATTTCTTTTTTAAATTTAACTAAAATTCAATTATTTTCCAAAAATTTCAATTAAAAATCAACTACAATTGAATTATTTTCCGAAATTTCGATTTAAAAGTTTTTCTAAAATTTCTCATCTCAAATTTTTTTGAAATTTAATAATTCCAATTATAATTCTCTTCAAATTCAATTATTTTTAATTTATTCTTCGGAAAATTTAACTATCTAAAACTATTTTTTGCTTAAATTTTTTTTTTAAATTATTGTATTTTTGTCTGCAATTTAAAAAAAAAAATTTTTTTTTTATAGAAATTATCAAAATATATAAATTAAAAATCACTTAAAATTCAATTAATTTCAAAAATCAATATTATAAATTTTTAAAAATTCAATTACTTCTAAAAAATGTTATTCAACAATATTATTTGATAAATTATTTTTAGTTCTGTAAAATTTAATTATTTTTATTACTGTCTGAAAATAAAATTGTATTGAAATAATTTTTATTTATATTAAAAAAAAAAAAAAAAAAAAACACAAATATTTCACTGCAAAAAAATTTATTATCCAAGTTTAAAAAAAATCATTTATTAGTTTCAAATAATTATTTACTTAATGAATATATAACACATGCTTAATAATTGAGTGTGAATGCCAATTTTTTAATTGTGCATTTGCTTTGGGGAAAGAAGTAAAAAAAAAAAAAAAAAAAAATTTTTTTTTTGAAACTAATAGTTACTTTAATTTATTCATTAAAAAATTTCAGTAAATTTAAATAAATTCCCTGACCGTTAGACACTTTAAAATTTTATAATAGAATTTTTTTTTTTTTATAAATTGCAGACAGAAACTGTTTTTTTTTTTTTTTATTATAAATAGAATAAAATGATTTTGATTAAATTTAATAATAATAATTAATAATTTTTCGTTTTAATTTTCTGTTGTTTTTTTTTTTTTTATTATAAATAGAATAAAATGATTTTGATTAAATTTAATAATAATAATTAATTTTTCGTTTTAATTTTCTGTTTTTTTTTTTTTTTCGTAGGAGATTTTCAGAGTGGTCCAGGACGACCACTTGACGAAGTGAACGCGCGAATAGATCAATTATCGCGGCAAGTGACGTCATTGGAGCATTCAATGGCAGGTGATATTAGACTAATTCTCGCATTACTTCAACAAACTTTAAATTCCTCGAGGGAGAGTTCGAGTATTGAAATGATGCCAGGAACAGCACCCGCTGGTACAACGAGACCAAGTGGAAGAGCACCGGCTCTTGTTCAACGTTCAGCGAGCGAACCACAACCACAAACTGTTCCACCTTCGACAAGTGGCAATAATGGAAATGGAAAATTACAGCCCAGCACATCACACAGTCTCTTTAGGTAGGAAAATTGCAATTTTCCTCTGTTTTTCTTCATTTCTTTCTTTTCTTCTTTTTTTTCTTATTTTCATATCTTCTTTAATTTAATTAATTAATTATTTATTTATATTTAACAAAAAAAATTTTCGTTTTTCTTTTCTCAATAATATTTCTTTTCACATTTTATAATAATTTAATAATTTTACTGTTCGAGAAAAACGAAAAAGAAATAAAAAAAAACTAAATTTCACCTTTTTTTTGTAATTTTTCTTATTTGAAAAAAATAAATAATTTTTCTATTCAACTTTTGTTATTATTCCAAAAAAAAATATATAATTTTCTTTTCTTCTTTATAATTTTATTATTCGAAAATAAAATATAGAACTGGAGAAAAAAAAAGAAGCGCGAAAGGATCTCTCTTTTTTTTTTTCTATAGAAAATAGTAATCCATTTATTTTGTTCTTTATAAAGCTTTCTTTCGAAATCCCTGGATCAGTTGCATTTGATTTCGGCGTCTTTTATTTTGGATGGTTTCGACAAACTCCGAAGGTGATAAAAATCCTAGAAAAAAAAAAAAAAAAAAAAAATCTTTTTTTTCCAGACCTATTTTTTTCTAAACAGTGTCGAAAATCTTTTGCGAAATTTTTTTTCTTTGTTTTATGTTTTTGGAAAAAATTGTTTTCAATTAAAAATTTTTTTTTATAATAATTGAGCAAAAGTTTAGCGTTAAATTACATTTAGTTAAAAACAAAAAAGGGAAAAAATTTTTTACAAAAAAAAAAAAAAAAAAAAAAATAGAAAATTCTCTGTAGATTTGCAGCACTGCTTAGAAAAGAATGTAGATGAAGAAAAAAAAATAAATAAATAAACAGACAATAGAAAAGCGAATCGACATCCCACTCTTGTAAATAAAACCACGAAGCTTCTCGAGTATTTATTATTATAAATATACATATATATATATATATATATATAAATATACATATATTGCTAGAATTTCTTCAAAAAGCTTGGCCTTGAGCACGTCCTTGGGCACGAGAGAGCATTGAATAACTTTTTTTTTTTTTATTTTATTTTATTATTTTTTTGATATTTATTTATTTTTTTTTTTTGACGAGAATTTGAATTTTTTTTAGGCCGAGAGAACCGGCTTCGACATCATCGGGAACATCACGTTTGACAGTAACGTCGGATACATCGGCATTGGCTGCTGCATTGCAAACGGCATTAAATGGTAGAGCTGCGCCCACAAGATCACAAAGTCAACCTGTTGATCTTGCTGTTCCGTCTAATGTTCAACAACCACACGCGTGGCACAGTCAACCGGCTGCTTTTCGACGAGGCGAATTTAAAAGCGGGTAAAAGGGGCAAATTTTTTTCAAAAAATTAATTTACAACTAGCAAAATTAAACTCGCGCAAGCGGTGCCAAATTGAGTATTTAATTGTTTGTTATAAAAAAATTAAAAATTAATATTATCAAATAATAATTTAATTTATTAGAATATTATTACATATTAAATGATAATATTATATGTTTACAGGCCTCGGATTATACGAATTTTTCCGACTTTTTTTTCAAAAATACGACTTTTATCGACTTATTTTAATAAAATGCGACATTTTTTTTTTTTTTGACATTTGAAAAGAAAATGTAAATAAAATACATTTTTTTAAGTATAAAATTTATATCTTCTTGAGATCTTCTTCAATTCAATTATTTAACAAATTTTCAACTAAAATGATTCTTCAATAAATTAATTTATTTTTAATTAATTTTAATGAAATACATCACAAATTCAATTATATGAAAATTATTTTTTCAATTAAAATTTTTATAAAATTTAACAATTGTTTATAATTTAAAACAAAAAAAATATCACAATAAAATTGAATTATTTTTTGAAAAATTTCAATTCAAAATAAACTAAAATTCAGTTATTATCCGAAATTTTAATTCAAAATCAATTAAAAATCCAATAATTATCCAAAATTTTTAAAATTTAATTATTTACCAAGATTTCAATTTAAAATAAAATGAAATTCAATTATTTTCAAAAATTTCAATTGAAATTCAATTAAATTTGCAATTTAATATCAATTAAAATTCAATTATTTTCCAAAATTTTCGATTTAAAATTCAATTAGTTTCCAAAATTTCAATTCAATATTAACTAAAATTCAATTATTTTCGAAAATTTCAATGCAAAATTAACTAAAATTCAATTAGTTTCCAAAATTTCAATTGAATATCAACTAAAATTCAATTATTTTCAAAAATTTCTATTCAAAATTAACAAAAATTCAATTATTTTAAAATATTTCAATTCAAAATCAACTAAATTTATTTTAAAATTTTTCTATTTAAAATTAACTAAAATTCAAATAATTTTCCAAAATTTTAATTAAATTTCAATTATTTTTAAAAAATTTCAATTCAAAATAAACTAAAATTCAATTATTTTCTAAAATTTCAATTAAAATTCAATTATTTAAAAAAATTTCAATTCAAAATTAACAAAAATTCAATTATTTTCCAAAATTTTAATTAAATTTCAATTATTTTTAAAAAATTTCAATTCAAAATAAACTAAAATTCAATTATTTACTAAAATTTCAATTGAAATTCAATTATTTAAAAAATTTTCAATTCAAAATCAACTAAAATTCAATTATTTTCAAGATTTACAATTTAAATCTTTTAAAATTTAATTATTTACCAAAATTTCAATTTAAAATAAAATAAAATTCAATTATTTTCTAAAATTTCAATTAAAATTCAATTAATTTTTATATTTTCATTTCAAAATCAACTAAAATTCAATTTGTTTCAAAAAATCCATTTCAAATTCAACTAAAATTCAATTAATTTCTAAAATGTCAACCAAAATTCAATTATGTTCAAAATTTTCAATACAAAATCAACCAAAATTCAATTATTTTCCAAAAATTTTAATTCACAATCAATTCAAACTCACTTATTTTCAAAAATTTTTAATCCATAATCAACTAAAATTCAATTATTTTCCAAAATTTCGAGTCAAAAACAACCGAAATTCAATTATTTTCAAAATTTTCAATCCAAAATCAACCAAAATTCAAAAAAAAAAAATGTCAATTGAAATTCAATTAATTTAAAAATTAACTAAAATTCAATTATTTTCAAAAAATATTTTAAAATTCAACTAAAATTCAATTATTTTCCACAATTTCAATTCAAAATCAACTAAAATTCAATTATTTGCCAAAATTTTGATTTAAAATAATTTAAAATTCAATTATTTAAAAGAATTTCAATGTTGAATCAACTAAAATTTGATTCTTTTTAAAAATTGAAATTCAAAATTAACTAAAATTCAATTCTTTACCAAAATTTTCAATTTTAATTGAATTTAAATTGATTTTGAATTGAAAATTTTGAAATTTAATAATTTTTATGAATCTGTAAAATTCAATTATTGTTTGAAAATTAACAAAATCGTTTGAAAGTCAATTATTTCTAAAAATTTCAATTCAAAATCCACTAAAATACAATTATGTTCAAAAATTACAATAAAAATTTAATTATTTTCAAAAATTTTAATCCAAAATCAACCAAAATTTAATTATTTTCCAAAATGTCAATTAAAATTCAATTATTTTCCAAATTTTCAATCTAAAATCAACAAAAATTCAATTATTTTCCAAATTTTCAATCTAAAATCAATAAAAAATTCAATTATTTTCCAAAATGTCAATTGAAATTTAATTATTTTCCAAAATGTTAATTGAAATTTAATTATTGTCTAAAATGTCAATTAAAAATCAACCATTATCAAAATGTTCAATCCACAATTAACAAAAAATTCAATCATTTTCCAAAATTAAAATTTTTAAATCAAAATAAAAATCAATTATTTTCCAAAACCAAATTCAAAATAAACTAAAATTCAATTATTACCCGAAATTTTAATTCAAAATCAAATTAAAAATTCAATAATTATCCAAAATTTTCATTTTAAAATTTAATTATTTACCATGTTTTCAATTTAAAATGAAATAAAATTCAATTATTTTCTAAAATTTCTATTCAAAATTTTATTATCCAAATTTTCAATCAAAAATGAACTTAAAATAAATTATTATCCAAAATTTCAATTAAAATTCAATTATTTCCCAAAATTTTCAATTTAAAATGAACTGAAATACAATTATTTTTCAAATTTAAAATAAAATAAAATTTCATTATTTTTCGAAAAATTCTATAAAAACTCAAAGAATCAATTATTTTTTCAAAATTTTGATGAAAATTTGTGAAAAACTTATTTTTTTTTTTTTTTTTTTTAAATTTCAACTGAAAAATAGACCAAAAATTCAATTATTTTTCATGATTTCAATTTACATCGACCAAAAATTGCAATTATTTTAAAAAATTTAGATTCTATTTAGAGAAAAATTCAATTTACAAAAATTTTATTGCAAAACAGTAAAAAACGGACAAAAAAAAAATTAAATTATTTTCAAATATTTTGATTCAAAATTTGTCATAAATTCAATTATTTATCAAAAAAAAGTATTTTATTATCATTCAAAAATATCATTTGATTTTAAATTGAAAATTTTGAAAAACTAATTGAATTTCAATTGAAAATGTGGAAATTTATTTATTTTTATTTAATTTTGCATTGAAATTTGTAAAAAAAAAAAATAATAATTAAATATCAATTAATTTGGAAATGAATTTTTTTTTTCGTAAATAATTAAATTTTAGTTGATTTAGAATTGAAAATTTTATAATAATTGAATTTCAAATGAAATTTTGGAAAATAATTGAATTTTTATTAATTTTGGATTGAAAATTTTGGAAAATAATTAAATTTCAATTGAAATTTTGAAAAATAATTGAATTTCAATTAACATTTTGGAAAATAATTAAATTTCAATTGACATTTTGGAAAATAATTTAATTTTGGTTGATTTTGAATAGAAATTTTTTTAAATTGAATTTCAATTAAAATTTGGCATAGAATTAAATTTCGATAGAAATTTGGAAAATAATTGAATTGTCAATTATTGTGAATTGAAATTTTTGAAAATAATTGAATTGAAATTTTGTATAATAATTTAATTTTAGTTTATTTAGAATTGAAATTTTGGAAAATAATTGAAATTTAGCTTATTTTGAATTAAAATTTTGATTTTAAATTTTGGATAATTATTGAATTTTAATTGATTTTAAATTGAAATTTTTGGTAATAATTGAATTTTATTTGATTTTGAATTGGAAATTTTTAAAAATAATTGAATTTTAATTTACATTTTGAAAAATAATTGAATTTTAGTTGATTTTGAATTGAAAATTTTGAAAACAATTGAATTTCAATTGTAAAATTAGAAAATTCATTTATTTTTATTTAATTTTGCATTGAAATTTGTAAAATTAAAAAAAAAAAAAAAATAATTGAATTTCAATTAATTTGGAAATGAATTTTTTTTTCGGTAATAATTAAAAAATATTTATTAGAAATATAAAAATTGAACTTCAAAAAAAAAAAAAAAAATTTGTTAATTGGAGAAAATGCTTTTAGATAATTGAATTTTTCAAAGAATATTATAAAAATCATTTAAAAATGATAATTGAAATTTTTGTATAAATATAATTATTAAATTTCAACTGATTTTGAATTAAAAAAAAAAAAAATTTTTTTTTGTCAATTTTTGTTAATATAATTGAAATAAATTATTATGAATAATTTATTGCCTTTTGGTCCGTTTTGTTTATAATTTAGTCTAAAAACTTAAGATTCGAAAAAACAAAAAGGTTAATATATAATTGAAATAAAGAAGATCCAAAGATTTGCATTGAATAGTAAATAAAACGTATTTTATTTGTTTAAAAATTTTTTCAAATCAAAATATGTAAAAAAAAAAAAAAAAAAGTCGAAAAAATCGCATTTTATTAAAATAACTCGAAAAAAATAGGAAAAAGGCGAAAAAATCGTATAATCCGAGGCCTGTTAATATATTTAAAATAATAATGGTAGAAAATAAAAAAAAATATTTTGTCTGTTTTAATTAAATAATAATAAATAATAAATAATAAATAATAAATAATAATAATAATTCCAGATACAGTTCATTTAATAAACGTTCCGAACCAGAAGGCGACGATCCTTGGAGTTGTATTGTTCCAATTCTCGATCGAGGAACAACAATTCAACGACCACGAAGTAGTGATTCGCGAAAAGATTCTTCATTAACATTGCGAAGCGCCAGCGAAGTTCAACAACAACAACAACAGCAACAAAGAACCGACAGAATTCCACCCGAGGGTTCACAACAACCTTCTCAACCTTCTCAACCTCCTCAACGTCAAGAATCATCAAGGCAAACAAGTGAGGACATGTCCTGGGAATTCACCATTAATGAGGCTCCAATAGCAAGATTGGAATCACTCGATGAATTAGATCAGGATCATGGAAGTTAAGGAGAGGAAAAAAAAAAATATATTCCCATAGGTATTGAAATTTTTTTTTTTTTTTTTTTATTTATTATTATTATTTTTCCCCTCGAAATCCTCTTCTTATATAGAAAAAAAAAAACAGACAAATACTGCCTTGAGAGACGTAGGTAGTAGGTTTAAAAAAAAAAAAAAAAATCAGCGCCGTAGTCGCACGGACAAAATTTGGCTGTGGTTTAGAAAAAGAAAAAAATAAATAACGCCTTGGCGGGCTTCCTGAATATATATATATATATATATATATATATATATATTTCCGCGTGCGAAGTCGCGGATTAATTATTATTATTATTATTATTAAAAATAAATTTTATTTAACCTCTTTGCTTTGAATCGAATTATTTTTCTCTTTCATTGAAAGGAAATTTATTCTTCGGTATAGAAATATTAAAAAAAAAAAGTAATTTGAATTATTTTTGGTTTTTAATTTTGAAAAAAAAAAATTGTATATTATTCGATTAAGCGAAAAGAGGTTAAAAAAAAAAGTGATGAGATTTAAAAAAAAAAATACACACACACACACACGAGGGTAATATTTCGTAAATAATAAATTTCATAGAGATATATAAAAATTAATTACGAATCTTTAATATTTACGAACTAATTTTTCTTTTTTCTTTTTTTTTTTTTTTTTAACGCTAATATTTCGAATGTCATTCGTGTATTTTCCTTGTTCTATTTTTTATTACACAATTTTTCTCTGCCTTTTATTTATTTATTTATTTATTTATTTGGAACATAATTGTTTTTAAAACAAAAAAAAAACAGTTTTTTCTTTACAAAAAAAAAGAAAAATATTTCCTTTAAAAAAAATTAAATTAAATTAAAATTTATTTTTTTTTTTAAAGAAAAAAGATTTTTAAGAAACAATTTTTCTTTAAAAACAGAAAAAAAAAATTAAAAATTACGATTTTCTTTAAAATAGGTAGAAATTTTCTTTTTATGAAAAAAATATATTTTCTTTTCAAAAAAGTGACATTTTTCTTTAGAAATAATTTTCTTGAATTTTGTTTTTTTTTTATATTTACAGAAAATTTTTGCTTATTTATTAATGAAATCCAAAAATTGAGGCATCAGGGAAAAATTAAGAAACAACAACAAAAAAAAAAAAGAAAATGTTTCAGTAAAGATTTAAACGAAAAAAAAATTACATCGAATATTTTTTTAAATTATAACGATTCGTTAAGAAAAAAAATAAATAAAAGGGTTTCACTCTACGTCCAAACGCCTCAAATTTTTCGAATTTCAATTTTTTTTTTTTTTTTTTTAAATAATTAATTAAATTAAAGGAAATTGGAAATTTTTTCTATTTTCTTAAAAAAAAAAAACCATTAACGAGTGATAAATTAAAAAAATTTATATAAATTAATTTCATGAATATAAATAATTTAATTAATTAACTAAATATAATTAAGTAATCGAATTAAATAATTAATTTAGTTAATTAATTAAATAATCGATTTATCTAATTAATTTTTTCTTTTTTTTGCAAACATATTTCTAACGTCGAATTTTCTTTTTTTTTTTTTTTTTAGAGAGAAAAATAACGAAATGCGACATTCGATATTTCTTAATAAAATGACAAAAAAATGAAACATGATTATTATATTATAATTAAATATAATAGTAAATTGAGAAGTAAAAAACAAAAAAAAAAGAAAATGGAGAAGAAGCTAAAAAAATGGCTTTTGTAATTACATATATATATATAATAGCGAATTTCTAATTCACTCTTTAATATAATAATTAGAACACGCAGCACGTGACGCACGGAGAGATAATTCCATCTTTTTTCTTTTTTGATAAAAAAAAATAAATAAATAACTGCCAACTTAAAAAAAAAAAAAAAACATTTTTCATACTAATACAAATAGATATTTAAAACAAAAAAAAAATTTCCTTTTTCATTGTTAGAAATTTTCTTTTTTTTTTTTTTTTAATTTTTTGTCACTTTACTGTCAACAACAAAAAAAAAAGGACAGTAAAAAAGAAGATAAACAAATTAGTTTTTTTTTTCATTTACGAAAATTTTTTCTTTTCCCTTTTTTTTTTTTGTTTAAAAAATTTTTTTTTAATTTCTTTTCTTTCAATTTTCCCCAAAATTTCTTTTATTTTGCTTCGTTTTTTCTTTTTATTTATTTTATTTACTTTAATTTTGTTTTTTCCCCAATTTTCTAAATTTCCTTTTTATTTTCTTTTGTTTTTACTTTTTTTTTATTTACTTTAATTTTTTTTTTCAATTTTATTTATATTTTTTTTATTGCTTCGATTCTATTTTTTTATTTTATTCCTTTTTATTTATATTATTTAGTTTCGTTTCTATTAATATTTAATTTATCCATTTTATTTCAATTTTTTTATTTTTCTTTTTAATTTTCCAAAATTTCTTTTATTTTGCTTCGTTTTTTTTTTTTATTTATTTTATTTACTTGAATTTGTTTTTTCCCCAATTTTCTAAATTTCCTTTTTATTTTCTTTTGTTTTTACTTTTTTTTTTTACTTTAATTTTTTTTCTTCAATTTTATTTATATTTTTTTTTCTTTTTGCTTCGATTCTATTTTTTTATTTTATTCCTTTTTATTTATATTATTTAGTTTCGTTTCTATTAATATTTAATTTATCCATTTTATTTCAATTTTTTTATTTTTCTTTTTAATTTTTCATATAATGTATAAAATTTTTATTGTAAAAAAAAAGAAAATATTAACAATTTTTTTTTTCCCCCCGTCTTGCATTTTTTTTCTCAACACTTGTTTTTTAAAAAAAAATAAGTTATTCTTTTTGAATTAAAAAAAAAAAACACAAAAAGTGTTACTATTGTTTTTTTTTTTTTTTTTTTTTATTTACCTATAAATTTTATTTAATGTTAAGTTTTGTAAAAAGAAAAGAATGAAAAAAAAAATTTAACATAAAATCGAGCCAGTGAACGAACTGTAAATAATAATAATAATTATTATTATATTAAATAATAAAATTGAATAATGTAAAAAAAAAATAAAATTTGACGAATATTTTCATCCACACTGGCAATAATAATTAAAAATAGTAATAATAATAATATTAATTTAATAATAATAATAAAATTAATAATAATAATAATAATAATAATAATAATAATAATAATAATAATAATAAAAATAATAATAAAAATAATAATTAAAATAAAAATAGTTATAATAAAAAAAAAATTATAATTGTAATAGTGAAAATAATTATTATTATTATTTATTATTATTATAATTATACTGCAAATAAGTTTATTAAATATATTTCAATTACAAATAGAAATTCAGAAATTTTATTTTTTGACTTATTATTATAATAAGTATTTTATTATTTTCCTTTTTTTTTTTTAATTTTTTGTTTCAAAGTTTTTTTTTTATTTCTTAATTAAAAGTTATTTTATTATTTCGCTTTTTTAGTATTTTTTTTTTGTTTCAAAATTCTTTTTTTTTAATTTAAAATTTTATTTTATTATTTTTTGCTTTCTTTTGGTATATTTTTTGTTTCAGTTTTATTTTTTGGTGGAAAAATTTTTTATTTTGTTTTTTTTTTCGTTTTCAAGTTTTAGTTTTTTTTTTTTTTTTTTATTTACATTTTGTTTTTTCAGTATTTTTTGTTTCAAAATTTTATTTTTTAATATTAAAAAGTTTTAATTTATTTTTTTTTTTTGTTTTCTTTTCGTACTTTTTTTTTTGTTTTAATTTTTCGATTTAGAGTTTTATTTTTTTAATTGAAAAAAAAAAAAATTATTCTTTAAACTAGTTTTCTTTTTTCGGTCAAGATCGGCACATTTTCACAAATTTTAGACACACACACACACATATCGACTTCCATTATTACATTTTTAATAAAAAAAAAAAAAATCACCAAAGCAGTAATTATTACAAAAAGAAAAAATATTTATTCATATTCTTCTTTTCAATCGACACTAGTTTGTAAATAAAAAAAAAAGTAATAAATAAAATTAACAATAAATAAAAGAGAGCGAGGAAGCAGAAAATGAAATATTTAATTATAAATGAAAAAAAAAACCAAAAAGATTCTTTTAATCAAAAAAAAAAAAAAAATTGTAAATTGAAATAAATAAAAAAAAAAATAGAAATGGAAAAAAACGAAAAAAAAATGTAAATGTAAAAAAATGGAATTGGAAAAAAATAAAAAACCTACAAAAAAAATGGAAAAAAAAATGAAATGTAGACAAAAAAAACAAAAAAAAAGGGAAAACTATTCGAAAGGAAAAAAAAATTCAGGAAATTAAAATAAAATATTTTCCTTTCTACCTTCTTTCTCTCTTTTTCTTTCTCTCGTTCTCTCTTTCTTATTCGGCACGAATCTACGTATTCTTTATTATTAACTATTATTAAAAAAAAAACAAAAAAAAAAAAAAAAAAAACCATTAGTGAATGCAAATTGGGCAGCTGTTTATTCCAAATTTCTCAATTTTCACAAAAAAATAAAAATTACACCTTATTTTGTAAATATAGAAAAATATTATTCAAAAAAAAAAAATTTTTTATTTTTTTTCCTACTTTAAAATCGAATAATTGGGAAATTTGTGAATTGACTTAAAAAAAAAAAAAAAAAAAAAAAAGTCGCCTTTGCAAGGCTGTGCGATGAGATTTTCGTTACCAAAAAAAAAAAAAAATAAAAAAATAAAAAAAGAAATTTAATCGTTGAAGAATCTTTTCTTTTTTCAAATTAATTATTATTACACACAATTATTATTTATATTAATAATAATTATTATTTAAAATAATTATTATTATTATTTAAAATAACTATTATTATTTAAAATAATAATAATATAATTTGAAAATTCGTCAAAAAAAAAAAAAAAATGATTATTTCTAAAAAAATTCTTTAAAAAGAAAATTTTAATTATTATTTTTTGGAAATTCAAATCGTCATAACAAAAGAAAATTAAAGATTCTTCATTGATTTAATCGATATGCGATTAATGTGTGTTTCGTTGTAATATATTTATAAAAAATTATTATTAAAAAAAAAAAAAGGAAAAAAAATGAAAAAAAAAAAATTATATACTTTTACGAATAGAAAAATGAAAATTTCGCAATTACACATTAAGTTGTTCTGTATATATAAATATATATATATAAAAAAAAAAAAAAAAAAAACTATTAAAATTGTACGACTGTACGGCGAGCGCACGTAAAATACAAAAGAAAAATTAATCCTTTCCTTTCTTTTACTTATTTTTTCTCCGTCTCATTATTATAATAAATATAAAGCTTAAGCATTTCTTACAATGAAATAAAAAAAAAATAAATAAAAAATAGTGCAAAATATACAATTATTTCTAAATAAATTCCAAAAAGAATTTCAACAATTTTTGGTTTTTTCCTTGTACATTTTTTTTTTTTTTTTTTTTTTTTTTTATTATTATTTTTCTTACAATAATATTATTTATTAGCACATTCATATTTCAAAGTATTAATCAAAATTTGATTAATTTTATATATTTCTATATATATATATATATATGTATAATTTAAGAAAAAGGAAGATATAAAACATTTAAACAATCTGTTAAAGTATAAATAATCCATTTAACTTTCAATTTTTGCAACATAAATAAAAATCTAAATTTTTTTTTGTTTTTTTTTTTTTTTTATAAATTATTAAACGTAAAACATCACACTTTCCTTTTTTATTTGATAAGGAATTTCTAATTAAAAAATTGATTTTTTTTTTTTTTTTTTTGCTATACTTAAATACTAAAGAATAAATTTTGAATTAAAAAATAATCTCTCAAGAAATTAATTTTTTTTGCCAAAAAACCAAATTAATGATTTATCTAATCAAGATCCTCCATTTTAATTGTTACATTATGCAAACCTTCAATCTCGGGAAATCGACCAAGAACCTGAAATTATTTTTTTTTTCATAATTTAATTAATTTTGACCAGAGAAAAAAGAATATATAATAATTCGGAATATTTTTTTTTTTTTGCATTTAAAAAAGAAAGTAATAATAATTTAATTTAAAAAAAAAAAGAAAATTGGAAAATTATATAATTTATTAAAAATGGTTTAAAATTTTGTTTTTTTTTTTTTTTTTAATATTAATTTTATAACTTACGTTACGTAAATCGGCCAATAATGTTGTGACACTTTCAACCATTTCCTCCTCGTTTTCCTCGCCAATTCCAAAAATGCGAAATTGAACAATTTGCCAACTATGTTCAACTTCCTTTGGATATGGAAGTTGTAGTGCATAAAAACATTTAAATGCAACATCAAATGCTTTCAATACTGTATTGAATTTATAACAAGTGTCACTGACGCAAACATAAATTGCTTCTAAATTAATAAGTGTCTCACCAACAACAACAATTAATGGTTGTTCGGATAGTCCATGAATTTTCAATTTTTCCCGACGTGCATCGAGTCGTACTTTCAATTCAGAGATATTCTGCGGAAAAAATTTTCAAATTATATATATATATATATATAACAAAATTCTTAATTAACAAAGTTTTTTATTAAAGAAAATTTTAATTCCAACTAATTTTTATTTAACAGAATTTTCTCATTTAAGAAAAATTCTACTTAGTTCTTTTTTTTTTTTTTTGTCAATTTTTATAGACATAAATTTCGTTAAATTAAATTAATATTAATTTAAAATTTTTTTAAAAAAAAGTATTAGAAAAAATGCTTTATATAAGAGTTGTAATAAATAGAAATTCTTTTATATCGAATTTTAATTAAATGTAAATTGAAAATTTTGCATAATATAAAATCTCACTTTATACAATTTTGCTAAATAGAAATTCGATCAAATAAAATTCAATTATATTCAAAAAAAAAAAATTCATTTTAAATTCAAATAAAATTCCAAATTTTCAATCTAAAATCAACAAAAAATTCAATTATTTTTCCAAAATGTCAATTCAAAATTTAATTATTTTCAAATTTTTCAATCCAAACAAAAATTCGATTATTTTCCAAAATGTCATTTGAAATTAAATTATTAAAAAAAATTTCAATTCAAAATCAACCAAAATTCAATTATTTTCCAAAAATTTTAATTCACAATCAATTCAAACTCACTTATTTTCAAAAATTTTTAATCCATAATCAACTAAAATTCAATTATTTTCCAAAATTTCGAGTTAAAAACAACCGAAATTCAATTATTTTCAAAATTTTCAATCACAAATTGACAAAAATTCAATTATTTTCCAAAATGTCAATTAAAATTCAATTATTTAAAAAAATTTCTATTTAAAATCAACTAAAATTCAATTATTTCCAAAATTTTCAATCCAAAATCAACAGAAATTAATTTATTTTCAATAATTTCAATTAAAATTAATTTATTTTCTAAAATTTCAATTCAAAATCTAATAAAATTCAATTATTTCTAAATTTTGCAAATTCAAAATTTTTTAAAATTCAATTATTGTCCAAATTTTGAAATTTAAAATCAAAGAAAGTTTTTTTTCTAATTTTCAATTCGAAATTAACTAAAATTCAATTATTCTTAAAAATTTCAATTTAAAATTAATTATTATAAAAATTTTCAATCAAAAACCAATAAAAATTTAATTATTATAAAAAATTTCAATTAAAATCCAATTATTTTTCAAACTTTTAATTGAAATTCAATTATTTCCTAAAATTTCAATTCAAAATCTTTTAAAATTAATTATTTTTCAAATTTTCAATTCAAAATCAAATAAAATTCAATTATTTCCTAGAAATTCAATTCAAAATCAACTAAAATTTAATTATTACCTAATATTTCAATTCATAATCAATTAAAATTCAATTATTATCAAAATTTTTAATGAAAATTCAACTAAAATTAAATTATTATCCAAAATTTCAATTGAATTTCAATTATTTTCCAAAAGTTACAATTCAAAATCTTTTAGAATTAAATTATTTTCAAATTTTGCAATTCAAAATTTTTTAAAATTCAATTATTGTCCAAATTTTGCAATTTAAAATCGAAGAAATTTTTTTTCTTATTTTCAATTCTAAATCAACTAAAATTAAATTATTGTCCAAAATTTCAATTAAAATTCAATTATTTCTCAAAATTTTAATTCAAAATTAAAGAAAATTCAATTATTTTCAAAATTTTCAATTCAAATTCTTTTAAAATTCAATTATTTTCCATAATATTAATTGGAATTCAATTATTTTCAAAATTTCACTTCACAATAAAAAATAATTTAATTATTTTCCAAATTTCAAATGAAATTCAATGATTTAAAAAAATTTCTATTCAAAATCAACAAAAATTCAATTATTTTCAAAATTTTCAATCCAAAATCAACCAAAATTCAATTATTAATCAAAATAAAAATAAAAATTCAATTATTTAAAAAATTTTCAATTCTAAATCAACTAAATTTTAATAAATAAATGTCAATTCTTTTCAACATTTTCAATTCAAAATCAACTAAAATTCAATTATTTTCCAAATTTCAATTGAAATTCAATTATTTTCCAAATTTTAAATTCAAAATCTTTTACAATTCAATTATTTTCAAAATTTTTAATTCAAAATCAACAAAAATCAGTTATTTTACAAAATTTCAATTCAAAATAAACTAAAATACAATTATTTTACAAAATTTCAATTGAAAATCAATTATTTTCGAAATTTTCAATTCTAAATCAACTAAAATTCAATTATTTTATAAAATTTCAATTTATAATCAAATGTCAAATTATTTTTAAAATTTTCAATTCAAAATCAACCAAAAATCAATTATTTTTGAAAATTTCAATTCTGAATCAATTAAAATTCAATTATTTTACAAAAATTTCAATTAAAAATCAAATAAAATTCAAGTATTTTCAAAAATTCCAATGTAAAAGCTTCTAAAATTTAAATATTTCTAAATTTTCCCATCTAAATTTTTTTTAAATTTAATCATTTCAATGTACAGCATATGAAGGCATTTTGCAATTAAAAATAATTGTAAGTTACATTTTAGAGAGAAATTTCTAAAAAAAATTTCAATTATTTTCGAAATATTCAATTCTAAATCAATTAAAATTCAATTATTTTCAAAAATTTTAGTTTAAAATTAACTTATTTCAATTATTTTACAAATTTCATTTGAAATTCAATTATTTCCCAAAATTTTAATTCAAAATCAAAGAAAATTCAATTATTTTCAAAATTTTCAATTCAAATTCTTTTAAAATTCAATAATTTTCCAAATTTTGCAATTTAAAATCAGGAAATTTTTTGTTTAATTTTCAATTCAAAATCAACTAAAATTCAATTATTTTCAAAATTTTTCAATCCAAAATTAGAAAAAAATTCAATTATTTTCCATAATGTTAATTGGAATTCAATTATTTTCAAAATTTCACTTCACAATAAAAAACAATTTAATTATTTTCCAAATTTCAAATGAAATTCAATGATTTAAAAAAATTTCTATTCAAAATCAACAAAAATTCAATTATTTTCAAAATTTTCAATCCAAAATCAACCAAAATTCAATTATTTAAAAAATTTTCAATCCAAAATCAACTAAAATTCAATTATTTAAAAAATTTTCATTTCAATTATTATCCAAATTTTGCAATTTAAAATCAGGAAATTTTTTTTTCTAATTTTCAATCCAAAATCAACTAAAATTCAATTGTTTTCCATAATGTTAATTGAATTTCAATTATTTTCCAAATTTACAATTCAAAATCTTTTAAAATTTAAATTATTTTGAAATTTTGCAATTCAAAATTTTTTAAAATTCAATTATTGTCCAAATTTTGCAATTTAAAATCAAAGAAATTTTTTTTCTAATTTTCAATTCAAAATCAACTAAAATTAAATTATTTTCCAAAATTTCAATTAAAATTCAATTATTTCCGAAAATTTTAATTCAAAATCAAAGAATATTCAATTATTTTCAAAATTTTCAATTCAAATTTTTTTAAAATTCAATTATTTTCAAAATTTTAAATTAAATATCAGGAAATTTTTTTTTCTAATTTTCAATCCAAAATCAACTAAAATTCAATTATTTTCTATAATGTTAATTTGAAATTTAATTATTTTCAAAATTTCAATTCAAAATAAGCTAAATTTCAATTATTTTTCGAAAATTTCAATTCACACACAAAAAAAAAACCAAATATTTCACTGCAAAAAAAAAATTAATTAATTGTTATCCAAGTTTAAAAAAATCATTTATTAAATTCAATAAATAGTAGTAAATAATTATTTACTTAATGAATATATAAGTATATATATATATATATCACATGCTTAATAATTGAGTGTGAAGGCCAATTTTTTTTAATTTGCATTTGCTTTGAGGAAAAAAGGTAAAAAAAAATTTGTTTTGAAACTAATAGTTACTTTAATTTATTCATAAAAAAATTCCAAAAAAAAATTCAAACGCATGAAACTAACTGTTCCCATTTACTCCAATGGACCCTAATAATTAATAATATTTACCGAAACTTTCATTTTCATTTTTTTTCAATAATTAAAAATTTTTGTATCTAATTTAGTTTAAAAAAAAAATAATAATAATAATAATTTCTTTTCATTAATAAAATAGCAAGAAAAAAATGAAAATTACCTTAATATGTAAAAGAAAAGCATCCTGAGATTCCAGTCGATTTAATTTCCACAATGGTTTACTTGAAGCGCCTTTTACAGCTTGACATGGAAGCAATAGTGGCAATAATCTTAAAACAATTGCAACGGATGCTGTACGAAAAAAAAATGGTACTTATTATTATTATTATTATTATTATTATTATTATTATTATTATTATTATTATTAACAAATTGCAAAACTTATTTTAGTTCTAGTTTATTTTATTTTTCCATTAATTTAAAAATTAGGATTAAAATTACCATCAGTATACGATATATTTCGATACTGGTCAAGTAAGTCTTTAACTTCGTTTCCTTTTCGTGACACGGCACAAGCGATTACTTCCTTTTCAAATGACGGCCATTCTGATATCAAAATATGCGATTGATTCGGATACATGAGCTCAAAGTCCGCTTCAATCTTCAAAAAAAAAAAAAAAAAGAAAAAAATAAACAAAATAAAAACAATTATTTCATAAAACTAAATAAATCAAAATTATTAATTAGGATTTTAATTTAATTGCATTAAAAATTATTAATTAGGATTTTAATTTAATTGCATTAAAAATTATTAATTAGGATTTTAATTTAATTGCATTAAAAATTATTATTTAGGATTTTAATTTAATTGCATTAAAAATTATTAATTAGGATTTTAATTTAATTGCATTAAAAATTATTAATTAGGATTTTAATTTAATTGCATTAAAAATTATTAATTAGGATTTTAATTTAGGGTCAACCGGGGTAAATCCGAACGCTTTTAGTAAGTTTCAATAATAACATAAGTTTTTTCTTTAAAAAAAAAATACTTCCGGTATTCTGGTGCATGAAGTTGTTACTTTACTACCATAGAACAATTTTATGGGGTAGCAAAAATTTTTGATAAATTACAATCGCAGGAAACTTAGCGTTCGTATTTACCTCGCGATACTTTGCAACTTTCCTAAAATACCGGGGTAAATACGAACGCCACTGTATTTCAGAAAAATCTTAGGGAAAATAAATTTAAAGTATTGCAATTGTTAAACTTATATATAAAAACTCAAAAAAAATACGATAATAAACCTATTATGTAATAATGCATCATATATAAATACAAAAATCAAACAGGTTAAAAATTAAAATGCATTACACAATTAAAACCTTTAATAACTTTATCAAATCATAACGGATTTTTGCAAAACTTGGTACAGAAAGTATTTTGGAGTGATTGAATATGTAAATACAAAAATAAAAGTGAAATTTTTTAAATTCAAAATGGCGGACTTTCCTAAAACTTATTTTTAAAAATGATCAAATTTGCTAACCCTGAAACCCCCCGAGTAACAATTTTCGAGCGAATCCAATGAATTTTTTAATTCTCGTCCGAAATTTTGAATTTTGAAAAACTGACTTCAAATTGGTAATTAGCGACTCCAAAAACCGTAGAATACCAAATTTTATTAAGATCCTGAAAAACTTTTTTCAACAAACCATATTTGGCAAAAAAAATTGAAACACTCCTTCGAGAGAACAGAGATTAAGTTTCTGCGCTTATTAATTACTAACGAGGATACGTAAAGAAAGAAAAACTTTTTTCTATGTACTTTTATAATGTTAAAATAATAGTGTAATGAAATAAAAACAAGTTTGTGTGGCTCTGATGTAAAAAAAAATTATTGAAAATACCGTTCGGATTTACCCCGGTTTTCCAATTTTCCTGGGTAAATATACGAACGGTCTGATATTATTAATAAAATTTTACAGAAGGCAAAAATCAAAAATAGTTGCTGTTCTAGTATTCATAACAAAAACAATTAGAAATAATAAAATAAATTTTTAGCTTCTTTTTCTTCAAATACGAGACAAAATACTGAAAGAGTGTCATTTTTGATTTTCAATCTTTTTTTTTTTTTTTGCAATACTCGTTATCTTTGTTTATGCTGTTGCTAATTAACAAACGAAAAATGGGATAATACTTAGAATCTCTTGAAGAGAATCTGAGGTAAAAATTCTCATATTGAACTTATTTTTAAAAATTTTAATTAAGCTGAAATAATTAGCGTTCGGATTTACCCCGGCTGACCCTAATCGCATTAAAAATTATTAATTAGAATTTTTAATTAATCGTATTAAAAATTTGTATAAAAAATTTGTTTAGTAAAAATTTGTATAAAAAGAAATTCAGTCGAATGATAATTCGAAAAAATTGAAAATTTGTCAAAAAATTAATTTTTTCATTAGAAAATACAATTAAAATTATAATATTTTGATACTTGAATAAATAAATAAATAAATAATATACAATATAATTTAAAAATTAATTGCAATTAAATATGAATTTTAATAAACAAAATATTGGTTATTTTTTTTTTTTTTTTTGGAATAGAAGGAAAAAAAATTTACCAATTCATAGCCTGATGGTTGCTGTAGAATTTTGTACATATTCATATACATTCGATTAGTGATTGAAGCATCGGAGGCTAATTTTTGTATTCTATATTTTGAAGTTTGAATCCATTTTTTTAAAACCTCCGCCCTTGGTATTGTATGAGTTTCAAGCCATAGGGACAAATCACGTAATTCGTGATCATCTAAATATAAAAAAAAGGGAATTTATAAAAACAAAGTATTTTTATAAAAAAACATTTTTTAGAAACAAAAAAAAAAAAAAACCAAAGTAAATATCTAAAAACGAAATTGGAAAAATCTCGTTTTTTTTTTTTTAACAAAAATTTTTCAATTTTAAGTTTCTTTCAAGTTTTTTCATTTGCTATTTAATAATTAAATAAATAAATAAAACCTGCGCCTTCCAATAATGCTAATTGTTCATGTGTCGCTAAAATTAAATCTCTTGGTTCGGGAAGATCAACTTTTTTTGATTTCTGATAATTCCTCTCATTACCCAATACTTCGCCTGCTTTTTTCAATTTTTCCCTTAATAAATAATATTTTGCATGTAATTTGCCACGCGCCAATATTGGCTTTCTTGTTACCGAATGAATTGTAAATGGAATGTAATACGTTGATGTACTTTCATTTGGAAATGTTTCAACAATTCGTGATGCAAGATAAATTAATCGCTTTGAATTGATGCTGAAAAAAGAAAAAAATAAATTATTTTCTTTTTTTTTTAATTTTCAATTTCTTTAGGGCGAAAAAAAATTTTATTTAATTTTCATTAGGTAGAAAATTTTTTTTTTTTTTTTTTTTTAACAAAAAATTTTTGTTCTTAATTGTTTGTTTCAATTTATTTGTTACTTACCAAAATTCATTTTCTTCTTTAAGTTCGTTTCGAATTATAATATCGGCTACATTAAGTCTATGTTCGTTTGTTAATGTTTTCTTTTCTTTATAATATTTTATTGCCGCGCGTCCTTCAATTACATTTTTTAAAACTGCATAAATATCGATTTCATTTTTAAGCGAAGGATCTGTGTTGTTGTTTTTTTTTTTTAAATGAAAAAAAATTGTATTATTTTAAAAATAGTTTTTCTTTTTTAATAAATAGTTTAAAAAAAAAAACAGAAATGGTTTTTTAAAAATTAGTTTTAAAAATAGTTTTTTTTAAAAAAAAAAGACCATTTTGGTAAAAATATTAACATAAAATAGAATTTTTAAATATTTTTTTTTAATATATTTTTTTTTACCTGCTTCTGACGATGCTAAATCATGATTCGCTGATTGTAGTCTCAATATTCTCTCATCGAAATCCTCAACTGTATTACTACTATTTTCTGAACACTAAAAAAAAAAAAAAAAATATGAAATTATTTTCTTCTCTTTTTTTTTATTAAAAATTAAAAAAATATTCTTACTGAAACTTCAACGTTTGAAAAAATTGAATCCGACGATCCAAATTCACGTTTCCAATTTGCTAAAAATTTATCCCGAGGGCCAATTTTAACAAAAAGTCTTTCAATTGACGCCGGTGTTAAAACCCTAAATGATTCCTCATCAATTTCCTCTTCTAAAGAAAAGAAAAAAGAAATTTTTTTTTTTTAATTTAATTGAAAAATTTATTTAATTTTAAATACAAAAAATATTTATTAAAATTAAAAAAAAAATTTATTCGCAATTTTTATTCAATTTGTCCTTTTTTTTTAATGAAAAATAAAAAACAAAATTTTTAATTTAATTTAAAATTTATTTGAATTTAATTTATTTAATTTTAAATACCAAAAAAATATTTATTAAAATAAAAATTAAAAAAAAATTTATTCGCAATTTTTATTCAATTTCTCTTTTTTTTTTAAAAATGAAAATTTTTTTTTTTTAATTTAATTGAAAAATTTATATTTTAAGTTAATTTATTTAATTTTAAATACAAAAAATATTTATTAAAATTAAAAAAAAAATTATTCCCAATTTTTATTCAATTTGTCCTTTTTTTTTAATGAAAAATAAAAAAACAAAATTTTTAATTTAATTTAAAATTTATTTGAATTTAATTTATTTAATTTTAAATACCAAAAAAATATTTATTAAAATTAAAATAAAAAAAAAAAATTATTCGTAATTTTTATTCAATTTCTCTTATTTTAAAATGAAAAATAAAAAAAAAAATTTTTAATTTAATTGTAAATTTATTTGAATTTAATTTATTTAATTTTAAATACCAAAAAAATATTTATTAAAATTTAAAAAAAATTTATTCACAATTTCTCTTTTTTTTAAATGAAAAATAAAAATATTTTTTTTCCCCCAAAACTCTTTTTTATTTATATATATATATATATATATATATATATATATATATATATATATATATATATATATATATATATATATATATATATATATATATATATATATATATATCAATATATATGTTCATCCACAAAATTAATCAAATTTTCAACTCGGTTTTATTGATTTTTCATTAATCCAGAAAAAATATTTAATTTAACAAATTTAATTCCAATACTTTTTACAGTAGAAAAAAAAATAGAAATTCTATTTTTCCCTTTTTTTTTTTGCAAAATTCGATAATTTTTTTTGTATTTAAAAATTTATTTAAAAAAAAAAAGAATAATAATTTTCTTTTTAAGGTTATGTTAAAATTGTTTAATTCGAAATTTAAAAAAAAAGAAAAAAAAAAAAAAAACTAACAATAGATCAAAAATGAAAGAAAACAGATGGAAAGATATTAAAATTTAAATATACGATAAAAATCACAATTTCAAGATAAAAAAAAAAAAAAAATTTTTTCTTAAATAAATAAACTAACCTTCAAATAATGGAATATATTTTTCCATTCTCCATTTTATTAAAACTTGACGAACAAATGGATCGGACATTGTGCTATCACTTTCTCTGTATTTAATTTAAAAAAAAATACATATATATATATTCAAAAAAAAAATTTTTTTTTATCTTGTTTCGTTGTTCTTTTTTTGGGGATAATAATATATAATTTTTATCCACGCAAAATACAAACAATAAAACTAGACCGACCTAACCTAACCTATACGCATATCAAAGTCGATAATTTTTGAAGTGTTGTGGAGGGGGGTTTTTTAAATGCTCAGTTCCGTGAAGTTAGCTGTTATTTTTTCCACCAATCAACGTTCATTATTGGTTACTGATGTTACATTTTGAAGGTTATATATATGTACATCTCTATAATGACAATTTTTCCGTTCCATCCCTGATTAGGCGTTTGTTTTTAAAACACGTGGTATAAAGTTGTTTTTTTTTTATTTACATTTTAGATTTTTTTTTTTAAATTTAAACAGAAAAATCTAATATTGAATGGTAGAAAATTTTGAATACTGAGAGTTTTTCTATTGCGGAAAAAAGGGGGGTAAGTTATTTATTTTCTTTCTAATTAATAATTATTATAAACACGAAAGTGGTTAGATTTTTTTCACCTAACCTTCAAAATTTTATATAATATAGAATTTCAAAATTTTATTTCGTATATTTTTGTATAATTTATTATTATTAAGATTAATAAAAATATTAATAATTATTAACATTATTTAATTAATTAAAAATTAATAATATAACATAACCTACAAATTGCATAGAATTTCAAAATTGTATTTCGTATATTATTGTATAATATTATTATTAATTTTATTTACTATTAATAATGTTATTAATTATTATTATTATTATTTATTATTATTATTATTATTATTATTTATACAGGCCTCGGATTATACGACTTTTTTCGATTTATTTTAATAAAATGCGACTATTTCGACTTTTTTTTTTTACAATTTTTTAAAAAAATTTTTAAAGAAAATATTTTTTTTTTTCGTATAAAATGCAAATATTCTTCAGATCTTCTTTATTTCAATTATTTAACAAATTTTTAACTAAAATTCTTCACTAAATTAATTATTTCTAATAATTTTAATGAAATTCAAATCACAAATTAAATTGTTTATAATTTAAAAAAAATATCAAATAAAATTACCAAAAATTTTTAATTCAAAAACAAAAATTATATCAAAATCAAATTAAAATTCAATTATTATTCAAAATTTCAATTCAAAATTAATTATTATGAAAATTTTTAATCAAAAATCTACTAAAATTAAATTATTATCCAAAATTTCAATTCAAATTCAATTATTTCCCAAAATTTTCAATTTAAAGCAAATAAAATTCAATTATTTTCAAAATTTTCAATTCAAAATCTTTTAAAATTCAATTATTTTCAAAATTTTAAATTAAATATCAACTAAAATTCAATTATTTTCAAAATTTTCAATCAAAAATCATCTAAAATTAAATTATTGTCGAAATTTTCAATTAAACTTCAATTATTTCCTAAAGTTTCAATTTATAATCAAAGAAAATTCAATTATTTTCAAAATTTTAAATTAAATATCAACTAAAATACAATTATTTTCAAAATTTTCAATCAAAAATCAACTAAAATTAAAATTTTGTCGTAAATTTAAATTAAAATTCAATTATTTCCTAAAGTTTCAATTTAAAATCAAAGAAAATTCAATTATTTTCAAAATTTTCAATTAAATATCAACTAAAATACAATTATTTTCAAAATTTTAAATTAAATATCAACTAAAATTCAATTATTTTCAAAATTTTCAATTCAAAATCTTTTAAAATTCAATTATTTTCAAAATTTTAAATTAAATATCAACTAAAATTCAATTACTTTCAAAATTTTCAATCAAAAATCATCTAAAATTAAATTATTGTCGAAATTTTCAATTAAACTTCAATTATTTCCTAAAGTTTCAATTTATAATCAAAGAAAATTCAATTATTTTCAAAATTTTAAATTAAATATCAACTAAAATACAATTATTTTCAAAATTTTCAATCAAAAATCAACTAAAATTAAAATATTGTCGTAAATTTCAATTAAAATTCAATTATTTCCTAAAGTTTCAATTTAAAATCAAAGAAAATTCAATTATTTTCAAAATTTTCAATTAAATATCAACTAAAATACAATTATTTTTAAAATTTTCAAACAAAAATCAATTAAAATTAAAATATTGTCGTAAATTTCAATTAAAATTTAATTATTTCCTAAAGTTTCAATTTAATATCAAAGAAAATTCAATTATTTTCAAAATTTTCAATTAAATATCAACTAAAATACAATTATTTTCAAAATTTTAAATTAAATATCAACTAAAATTCAATTATTTTCAAAATATTCAATCAAAAATCAACTAAAATTAAAATATTGTCGTAAATTTCAATTATAATTCAATTATTTCCTAAAGTTTCAATTTAAAATCGAAGAAAATTCAATTATTTTCAAAATTTTCAATTCAAAATCTTTTAAAATTCAATTATATTCCAAATTTTGCAATTTAAAATCAAATAAAATTTTTTTATAATTTTCAATTCAAAATCAACTAAAATTCAATTATTGTCAAAAATTTTGAATCAAAATTAATTATTATCAAAATTTTCAATCAAAAATCATCTAAAATTAAATTATTGACGAAATTTTCAATTAAACTTCAAATGATTTTCTAAAGTTTCAATTTAAAATCAAAGAAAATTCAATTATTTTCAAAATTTTCAATTCAAATTTTTTAAAATTCAATTATTCTTAAAATTTTCAATCCAAAATTAACAAAAATTGAATTGAAATTTAATTATTTTCAAAATTTTCAATTCAATTATTTTCAAAATTTTAATTTACAATAAACTACAATTCAATTATTTTCTGAAATTTTAATTGAAATTCAATTATTTTCAAAATTTTCAATTTAAAATCTTTTAAAATTCAATTATTTTTCAAATTTTCAATTCAAAATCAAATAAAATTCAATTATTACCCAAAATTTCAATTCAAATTCAATAATTATCCAAAATTAATTATTTTCAATTAAATATTCTCAATAATATTTTTATAATATTCTTTGAAAATTCAATTATCTGAAATCATTATTTAACTAAAAATAGTTTTCTAATTATTGTATTTTTGTTCGCAAATTCTAATAAAATTTTTAGTGAAATCAACAAAAAATTTTAATTAAAAATCACTTTGAAGTTCAATTAATTTCAAAAAAAAAATCTCAATTATAATTCTTTGAAAATTCAATTACTTTTAAAAAATGTTATTCAAAAATTATATTTAATAAATTATTTTTAGTTCTGTAAAATTTAATTATTTTCTGAAAATTAACAAAATCTTTTGAAATTCAATTATTTCTAAAAATTTTAACTTTAACCCTTCGAAAAGTATTATTATTAATAAAAAAAAAAAAAAAAAAAATTCCATTTAAAAATCTGTAAAATATTTTTGTTAAAATAAAAATAATCAATTTTTTCCACTTTTTTTGAAATATAAATCGACTAAAGCGACTTTTTTTTGTGCTTTTAAGTTCGATCCGAGGCCTGTTTATATTATTATTTATTATTATTCCCATTTATTATTATTAAATTGAAAAAGTTAATTATTTAAAAAAAAAAATTACAATTCCATTATTTGTTATTTTCGAAACTTTAAACTGATTTAAAAAAAAATTTAATTAAATTATTATTAAATTTATTTAATTTATTATTATTATTAAATTATTATTAAATTAATTTTTATTTATTATTATTGTTAAATTATTATTAAATTTATTTAATTTATTATTATTATTAAATTATTATTAAATTATTATTAATTAATTTAAATTAAATAATATAGAAAAAATTTGTACTTTTTTTTTTAATCGATGGAAATAAGAAAATTTGTGAATAAATTTTTTTTTTTTTTAATTTAGAAAAGAAAAAAAAGGGAGGAGATTAAAAAAAAAAAAAAAAAAAAAAAACAAAAAATGTCAGGATATAAATTGGCAGCACGCAAAGCCGCGAGGCATTTAAATCCAAAAAAGGTGATTTTTTCATTTCTCACCGAGGAGGAAATTCGAAAATTAAGTGTTGCAAAAATTTACAAACCTTATCCATTTAATGAAGTAAATCATCCGGAAAAAGGTGGACTTTACGATCCGGCACTTGGTAAATTTTATTAATTTTTTTTTATTCTATTTTTATTTATTGTGTATTTTTTATTTTTTTCTATTTTAATTTTTTATATTCATTTTTTTTTTAATTGTATTTCAATTTTTTTCTTTATTTATTTATTTTTTTTTTATTTCAAAAAATTGCTAATTTTATATAAGAAAAAAATTAATTTTCAGTTTCCAGAATTTTTAAATTAAAAAAAAAAAATTAGTTTTCTTTTTTGACAAAAATTTTGTTTATTATTATTATTATTATTATTTTATTTATTAGTTTATTTTATTATATTATTTTTTTTATTTATTAGTTTATTTTATTATTTTTATTATTTATTTATTGTATTTTTTATTTTTTTTCTATTTTAATTTTTTATATTCATTTTTTTTAATTGTATTTCAATTTCTTTATTTTTTTTTTTTATTCCAAAAATTGCTAATTTTATATAAGAAAAAAATAAATTTTCAGTTTCCAGAATTTTTAAATTTAAAAAAAAATTTAATTTAAAAAAATTAGTTTTCTTTTTTGACGAAAATTTTGTTTATTATTATTATTATTTTTTTTTTTTTATTTATTAGTTTATTTTATTATATTATTTTTTTTATTCATTAGTTTATTTTATTATTTTTATTATTTATTTATTGTATTTTTTGAATTTTTTTTTTTTTTTTTTTTTTTTTTTTTTTTGAATTGTATTTTTAATTTCTTAAAAAAATTCTTTCTGTTTTTTTTTTTTTTATTTCCAGGACCTTTACACGATGACTCGGATCCATGTGCAACATGTGGTCTTGCAATACTTCAATGTGATGGACATTTTGGTCATATTGATTTACCATTAATTGTTGTTAATCCATTGTGTCATAAAATTTTATACACAATATTACGTTTAACATGTCGACAATGTTTTAGTTTACAATTTCATATACATGAAAAATTATTGATTGTTGCAAAATTAAAATTACTTGAGGAGGGCTTTTTTAGTGATATTATTGAACTTGAACAAGAAGTTAATTCATCATTAATTGATATTAAATTAAAAGGCAACGATTGTATTTATACATATGTTGAGGATATTATTAAAAGTTATATACAAAATTTATATAATCGTGAAAGATATAAAAATAATTTAAAATCAAATGAAAATATTAATGATATTAATACAAAAAATTATAATCAAGAATTTCAATTGCATATTGATAAAATAATGAAAAATTGTAAATTACCAAAAAATTGTATTTATTGTAATGAAACATTTTTAAAAGTAACAACAAGTGGAAACAAACTCATGACGCCTAAGTAATTAATTTAATTTAATTGTTTTATTAATTTTGAAAATGAAAATTATTTATTGAAAAATAAATTTCTATTTTTTCAGAATAAATCATGTGGGCCCATTAAATAAAGATAAAATTGTGCCAATTTTACCTGATCAATCAAAAGAATATTTACGTAAATTATGGAAAAATGAAAAGGAAGTATTAAAAGTAATTGTACCGGCATTGAAATTAATTAAAATGGAATATCCAACGGATATTTTTTTTAATAATGTAATATTGGTATTGCCAACAATTTTTCGTCCAATAAGTATGTTAAATGGACAAATGGTTGAACATCCACGTACACAAGTTTATAAAATAATAATACAAAATTGTTTAATATTGAGAAAAATAATTCACGATTTAAAAATGGAATCAACACAAAATGAAAATATTGAAATGGAAATTGAGAATAATGGAAGAAGAAGTAATTCACGTGTTCGTGATAATATCAATGAAGAAACTTTGGTTTGTTGATTAATTTTTTTTTTTTTTTTTTTCATTTTATTATCAAAAAAATAGAAATTTCAATTATTTTAATTTATAATATTAAATTTTATTTATTTTTTAAAAAGGCGAAAAACAAATTCTAATTATCAAAATAATTTTTATAATAAATAAATGAAATGGAAAATTTTTTTTCAGCAACTATTGAAAAAAGTAAAGGGTGCAAGTTTAATAGAAAAATTACACAATTCATGGCAGGATTTACAAATAAATGTAAATCATTTGGTTGATCGGGACATGAATCGTACAGTTGATTCGGCGTCTTGTCTTGGTTTAAAACAAATTTTAGAAAAAAAAGAAGGAATTATAAGAATGCATATGATGGGAAAACGTGTTAATTATGCAGCAAGAACAGTAATAACTCCCGATCCAAATTTAGATATCGATGAAATTGGAATACCTGAGGAATTTGCATTGAAATTAACGTATCCAGTTCCAGTGACACATTGGAATGTTCATGAAATTAAACAAATGGTTATTAATGGACCCGACGTACATCCTGGGTATTTTTTTCCAAAACTAAAATTTTTATATTTACAATTATTTTTTTATTTTATTTCTTTTTTATATTTATTTTATTTCCATTTTATTTCAATTTTATTATCCTTTTTATATTTTTTAGTATATTTTATTTTCTAGTAATTTTTTCTTTAATTAGAAAAAAAATTAATTTTTCCTTTTTTTGGAGGAAATTAATTAATGGAGAATTCTATTATTTTTTTTCAGAGCTGTTTTAATTCAAAATGAAGATGGAACGATAAAAAAAATTAGTGGCGATTCATTGGCGCAACGTGAGGGTATTGCAAAAACTTTAATGACAAAATGTTCGCGTACAAATAAATTTTATGATGGTGTAAAAATTGTACATCGACATTTACAAAATGGCGATATGTTACTTTTAAATCGTCAGCCAACGCTTCATAAACCAAGTATTATGGCGCATAGAGCAAGAATTTTAAAAGCTGAAAAAACATTACGATTACATTATGCTAATTGTAAGGCGTATAATGCAGATTTTGATGGCGATGAAATGAATGCACATTTTCCACAGAATGAAGTTGCACGCGCCGAGGCAAAATTGATTGGTAAATGATTTTTTTTTTTTTTTTTTTTTTCATTTTTGTCAAAAACAAAATTCTTTTCTTTTTTTATTTGAATTAATTAATATTTGAATATTGTTTTGTTTATTTTTTAGCAAATGTTGCAAATCAATATTTAGTACCAAAGGACGGAACACCATTGAGTGGATTAATTCAGGATCATATTATTTCCGGTGTACGATTAACAATGCGAGGACAATTTTTCAATAAGTGAGTGAAAAAAAATTTCAAAAATAATTACCAGGGGCCAACGATTACCTATATTAAATATTAATTATAAAAACACAGGCCTCGAATTAATTTAAAGACACAAAAAAAGTCGTTTTAGTCGATTTATATTCGAAAAAAAAGTGGATTTGTTTTTTATTTTAACAAAAATATTTTACAGATTTTTAAATAAAAATTATTTTTTTTTAATAATAATCCTTTTCGAAGGGTTAAAGATGAAATTTTTAGAAATTATTAAATTTCAAAAGATATATTGTTAATTTTCAAAAACAATTATTAAATTTTACAGAACTAAAAATAATTTATCAAAACAATTTTTGGAAAACATTTTTAAAAATTTAATTGAATTTTCAAAGATTTAAAATTGAGATTTTTGAAATTAATTGTAACTTTAAGTGATTTTTAATTAAAATTATAGATGATTTCACTAAAAATTTATTAGAAAATCCGGACAAAATACAATAATTTGAAAATCATTTTTAATTGAAAAATGGTATCAGATAGTTAAAATTTCAAAGAATATTATTAAAAAAGTTAAAAATAATTGAATTTTCTTAGAGCTATATAATTAAAATTATTAAATTTCAAAAAAAAAATTTTCCATGGAAAATTTTAGATGCTTTTAAATTCAAAATTATTGAAAATTCAATTAATTTTGAATTCAAATTTTTGAGAATAATGAAATTTTATTTGATTTTGAATTGAAAATTTTAAAAATAATTGAATTTTAATTGAAATTTTGGAAAATTATTGAACTTTTGTCAATTTTGGATTGAAAATTTGTAAAATAATTGAATTTTAATTTACATTTGGAAAATAATTGAATTTTGGTTGATTTTGGATTGAAAATTTTGGGAAATAATTGAATTTCAATTGAAATTTTGGAAAATTATTAGAATTTGCGGACAAAAATAAAATAATTTGAAAACTATTTTTAGTTAAAAAAATGGTTGCAGATAATTGAATTTTCAAAGAATATTATAAAAATTGTTAAAAATAATTGATTTTCCTTAGAGTTATAATTGAAATTATTAAATTTTTAAAAAAATTTTCGATCGAAAATTTTAGAAATAATTAAATTTTAGAAGCTTATAAACTCAAATTTTTGAAAAAAATTAAATTTTAGTTTATTTTGAATCAAAAATTTGGAAAATAATTAAATTTCAATTGAACTTTTGTTAATATTGGATTGAAAATTTTAAAAATAATTGAATTGAAAATTTTGAAAATAATTGAATTCTCTTTGATTTTGCATTGAAATTTTAGGAAATAATTGAATTTTAATTGAAATTTTGGACAATAATTTAATTTTAGTTGATTTTTAATTTAAAATTTTGAAAATAATCGAATTTTAGTTTATTTTGAATTGAAAATTTTAAAAATAATTAAATTTCAATTGACATTTTGGTAAATAATTGAATTTTTGTCAATTTTGGATTGAAAATTTTTAAAGTAATTGAATTTTAATTTATATTTCGAAAATAATTGATTTTTGGTTGATTTTGGATTGAAAATTTTGAAAATAATTGAATTTCATTTGAAATTTTGAAAAATAATTGAATTTTAGTTGATTTTTAATTGAAAATTTTTTTAATAATTAATTTTTAATTGAAATTTTTATGAATAATTGAATTTTAGTTGATTTTGATTTGAAAATTAGAAAAAAAAATTTCTTTGATTTTAAATTGCAAAATTTGGAAAATAATTGAATTTTAAAAGATTTTAAATTGCAAAATTTGAAAATAATTGAATTTTATTTGATTTTGAATTGAAATTTTAGGAAATAATTAAATTTTAATTGAAATTTTGGACAATAATTTACTTTTTAGTTGATTTTTGATTCAAAATTTTGATAATAATTAATTTTTATTTTAAAATTGGATAATTATTGCATTTTAATTGATTTTGGATTAAAATTTTAGGTAATAATTGTTTTTTATTTGATTTTGAATTGAAAATTTGGTAAATAATTGAATTGTAAAAGATTTTGAATTGAAAATTTTGAAAATAATTGAATTTCAATTTAATTTTGGAAAATAAATAAATTTTTGTTAATTTTGGATTGAAAATTTTAAAAGTAATTGAATTGTTGTTTATTGTGAATTGAAAATTTTGATAATAATTGAATTGTAGTTGATTTTGAATTCAATTTTTTGAAAAAAATTGAATTTTAATTTAAATTTTGAATAATAATAAAATTTTTGTTGATTTTTGTTTGAAAATTTTTATAATAATTAATTTTGAATTGAAATTTTTAAGAATAATTGAATTTTAGCTGATTTTGAATTGAAAATTAAAAAAAAATTGTCTTTGATTTTAAATTGCAAAATTTGGAAAATAATTGTTTTTTAAAAGATTTTGAATTGAAAATTTTGAAAATAATTGAATTTTAATTGAAAGTTTGAAAAATAATTGAATTTTAATTGAAATTTTAGAAAATAATTGAATTTTAGTTGATTTTGAATTGAAAATTTGGTAAATAATTGAATTGTAAAAGATTTTGAATTGAAAATTTTGAAAATAATTGAATTTCAATTTAATTTTGGAAAATAAATAAATTTTTGTTAATTTTGGATTGAAAATTTTAAAAGTAATTGAATTGTTGTTTATTGTGAATTGAAAATTTTGATAATAATTGAATTGTAGTTGATTTTGAATTCAATTTTTTGAAAAAAATTGAATTTTAATTTAAATTTTGAATAATAATAAAATTTTTGTTGATTTTTGTTTGAAAATTTTTATAATAATTAATTTTGAATTGAAATTTTTAAGAATAATTGAATTTTAGCTGATTTTGAATTGAAAATTAAAAAAAAATTGTCTTTGATTTTAAATTGCAAAATTTGGAAAATAATTGTTTTTTAAAAGATTTTGAATTGAAAATTTTGAAAATAATTGAATTTTAATTGAAATTTTAGAAAATAATTGAATTTTAGTTGATTTTGAATTGAAATTTTGGAAAATAATTGATTTAAAATTTTAAATTTTGGAAAATAATTGAATTTCAATTAAAATTTTTCAAAATAATTGAATTTTAATTGATTTTGAATTGAAAATTTCGGGAAATAATTGAATTTTAATTGAAATTTTGGATAATAATTTAATTTAAGTTCATTTTTGATTGAAAATTTAAATAATTAATTTTGAATAGAAATTTTAGAAAATAATTGAATTTTATTTCATTTTAAATTAAAAACTTGGTAAATAATTAAATTTTAAATTGAAAATTTTTGATAATTATTGGATTTTTAATTTGATTTTGAATTAAAATTTCGGATAATAATTGAATTTTAGTTTTTTTTTTTAATTGAAATTTTTCAAAAAATAATTCAATTTTATTGTGATATATATTTTTTTAAATTATAAACAATTGTTAAATTTCATAAAAATTTGAATTGAAAAATAATTTTGATATAATTTAATTTTTGATGTATTTCATTAAAATTATTAAAAATAATTAATTTAGTGAAGAATCATTTTAGTTGAAAATTTGTTAATTAATTAAATTGAAGAAGATCTGAAGAAGATCTACATTTTATACTACAAAAAATGTATTTTATTTACATTTTGTTTTCAAATGTAAAAAAAAAATGTCGCATTTTATTAAAATAAGTCGATAAAAGTCGAATTTTTGAAAAAAAAAGTCGGAAAAAGTCGTATAATCCGAGGCCTGTATATAATTTTCATTATTATCATTTAATATGTAATAATATTCTAATATATTAAATTATTATTGATAATAATAATCTTTAATTTCTTTATAACAAACAATTAAATACTCAATTTGGCGCGCGTTTAATTTTGCTAGTTTATTAATAAAACAGTAATAAAAATAATTATTATTAATAAAGATTAATAACAGTTCAAAAAGAAAATTTTTTTTTCTTTCTTTTTAATTTCGCATTTGTTTTTATTTTAAGAGAGGAATATCAACATTTAACATTTGCTGCACTTTGGTCATTGCCTGGTGATTTTATTCTTCTACCGCCGTCAATTTTAAAACCAAAAGTCCTTTGGTCTGGTAAACAAGTGATATCAACGATTATTATTAATTTAATACCAAAGGGTAAGGCGAGAATAAATTTAACGGGTAAGGCAAAAATTGGCAATAAAGAATGGACAATTGAAGAGCCACGTAAACCAAAATGTGGTGAATTAGAAAAAAATTCAAATACAATGTCCGAAGCGGAAGTTATTATACGTAATGGTGAATTACTTTGTGGCGTTTTGGATAAGGCACATTATGGCGCTACAACATTTGGCCTAATTCATTGTGTTTACGAGGTAAAAAAAAAAAAAAATTTATTTTCTCTTTCAATTAGAAAATATTTTTCCTTTTTTTTTTTTTAATTTTATTAGACAAATTTTCCATTTTTTGAATTGGCATAAAATTTTCTTTTTATATGAAATTAAATTTTTTTCAGCTCTACGGTGGAAATTGTTCGACAAAAATGTTAAGCGCTTTTGGAAAATTATTTCAAACTCATCTTTTACAAACGGGTTTCACTTTAGGTGTTAAGGACATTTTTTTAACAGCCAAAGCCGATAAAAAACGAAAGAAAATCATGAAAGAATGCCGTAAGGTAAGTTTGAAGAAAAGAAAAAAAATAATTTTATATTTTATTTATTTAAAAATTGTAATTTTTTTTTTCTTCCCTCTTTAGATTGGAGAGGAAATTCAAAGAACAGCCGTTGAATATTCAAATGATACGCCACGTGAGAAAATAGTGAAAAAAATTGAATCTGAATTGGCAACAAATCCACGTTTTCGTACATTACTTGATCGTAAATATAAAACGGCATTGGATAATTATACAAATGAAATAAATAAAATATGTTTGCCGCAGGGTTTAATTGAAAAATTTCCAAAAAATAATTTACAATTAATGGTACAATCGGGTGCAAAAGGTTCAACTGTGAATACAATGCAAATATCATGTCTTTTGGGACAAATTGAATTGGAAGGTAAACGACCGCCTTTAATGATTAGTGGCAAAAGTTTACCATCATTTGCCGCTTATGATCCATCACCACGTGCTGGTGGTTTTATTGATGGACGTTTTATGACGGGCATTGAACCGCAGGAATTTTTTTTTCATTGTATGGCCGGTAGAGAGGGTTTAATTGATACAGCAGTGAAAACAAGTCGTTCGGGATATTTACAAAGATGTCTTATTAAACATCTTGAGGGTGTTTGCGTTCATTATGATTCAACGGTGAGTGAAAAAATTTTTATTTTTTGTAATTTTCAAAATTATTATTAATTAATTAATAATAATTTAAAAAATATTATTAATTTATTAATTAATTAATAATTTTCGAAATATTATTAATTAATTAATCAATTTATTATTAATATATACGTTTTTTTTTTTTCTCCAAAATTTGTATTTTTTGGCTTTAAAGAATATAATTCATTGCAAAGAACATAATTACCAAGTTTCATAATAATCCGCTTATTTTTTTGAAAGTTATAACTGTTTTTTTTTTGAATTTTTTTCGGGTCGTTCTGTAATAAATATAATTTTTTTCTTTTTCCAAAATTTACTTTCTCTATTTAAAAAAATGAAATGAGAACAAAATTACAAAGTTTTATAAAGATCCGTTAATTTCTTTAGAAGTTATAACCGTTTTTTGAGTTTTTTTTTGGGGTCATTCCATAATAATTATGCGCTTTTCATTTCCTTTTCTGTATTATTCGCCTTTAATGGTTGTTATTTATAACAAAGAACATTATTAAAAACTTTTTTTGACGATCCATTAATTTTTTTTGAAAGTTATAACAGCTTTTTTGGATTTTTTTTGGGGACATTCCGTAATAATTTTACGTTTTGTTTTTCCTTAATTTTTAATTTTTCGCCTTAAAAGGATGTTATTTATTGCAAGGAACATAATTACCGAGTTTCATAATAATCCGCTTATTTTTTTGAAAGTGCTAACGGTTTTTTTTTTTTTGAATTTATTTTTCGGGCCGTTCTGTAATAAATATAATTTTTTTCTTTTTCCAAAATTTTTGACTTTCTCTATTTAAAAAAAAGGAAATGAGAACAAAATTACAAAGTTTTATAACGATCTGTTAATTTCTTTAGAAGTTATAACCGTTTTTTGAGTTTTTTTGGGGTCATTCCATAATAATTATGTGCTTTTTTCCTTTTTTTTTTATTTTTCGCCTTTTAAAAGTTGTTATTTATTGCAATGAACATAATTACCAAGTTTCATAATAATCCGCTTATTTTTTTGAAAGTTCTAACGGTTTTTTTTTTTTTGAATTTTTTTTTCGGGCCGTTCTGTAATAAATATAATTTTTTTCTTTTTCCAAAATTTACTTTCTCTATTTAAAAAAATGAAATGAGAACAAAATTACAAAGTTTTATAAAGATCCGTTAATTTCTTTAGAAGTTATAACCGTTTTTTGAGTTTTTTTTTGGGGTCATTCCATAATAATTATGCGCTTTTCATTTCCTTTTCTGTATTTTTCGCCTTTAATGGTTGTTATTTATAACAAAGAACATTATTACAAACTTTTTTTGACGATCCATTAATTTTTTTTTAAAGTTATAACAGCTTTTTTGGATTTTTTTTGGGGACACTCCATAATAATTTTACGTTTTTTTTTTCCTAAATTTTAATTTTTTGCTATAAAAGAATGCTGTTCATTGCAAAGAACATAATTACCAAGTTTCATAACGATCCGAAAATTTTTAAGAAAGTTACAATTGTTTTTTTGGATTTTTTTTTTTGGGGGGGGACATTCCGTAATAATTTTACGTTTTGTTTTTCCTAAATTTTTAATTTTTCGCCTTGAAAGGATGTTATTTATTGCAAGGAACATAATTACCGAGTTTCATAATAATCCGCTTATTTTTTTGAAAGTTATAACGGTTTTTTTGAATTTTTTTTTTCGGGTCGTTCTGTAATAAATATAATTTTTTTCTTTTTACAAAATTTTTGACTTTCTCTATTTAAAAAAAGGAAATTTTATGGCAAAGAACAAAATTACAAAAGTTTTATAACGATCTGTTAATTTCTTTAGAAGTTATAACCGTTTTTTGGATTTTTTTTTTTTGGAGGATATTCCGTAAGAATTACGCAGTTTTTTCATTAAAATTTGTATTTTTTCACTATTATAGAATATAATTTTACACCAAAAAGTCATTGTAGTTGTTTTACAAAGTTTCATAAAGATCTGTTAATTTATTTAAAAGTTATAATCGTTTTTTGGATTTTTTTTGGGATCATTCCAAAATAAATATTCGTCTTGCTACAAAAAAAAAAATGTTATTTATTGCAAGAAACAAAATTACAAAGTTTTATAAAGGATCCGTTAATTTCTTTTGAAGTTATAATGATTTTTTGGATTTTTTTTTGGGGGACATTCCGTAATAAATTTACGTTTTTTTTTTCCTAAATTTTTATTTTCCCGCCTTTAGAGGCTGTTATTTATTTAATGTAAAATAATTACCAAGTTTATTAACTATTCGGTAATTATTTTTGAAAGTTATAACTGATTTTTTGAATTTTTTTTGAAGTCATTCCGTCATAATTACTTGTTTTCTTCCTAAATTTATATTTTTTATTTTTTAAAAGCTGTTATTCATTGCAAAGAACAGAATTACTGAGTTTTATAACGATCCATTAATATTTGTCAAAGTTATAATCGTTTTTTTGGATTTTTTTTGGGGTCATTCCGTTAAAATTAGGCGCTTTTTTTTTGGTAATAGTTTTATTTTTTCGCCTTTATAGAATATAATTTCATGCAAAAAAGTAATTTTTGTCGTTTTATCAAGTATCCTAAGGATCTGTTAATTTTTTTGAAAGTTATAATTGTTTCTTTGAATTTTTTTGTGGTCATTCGATAATAATTATGTGCTTTTTTTCCTTTTTTTTTATTTTTCGCCTTTTTAAAGTTGTTATTTATTGCAATGAACATAATTACCAAGTTTCGTAACAATCCGATAATTATTTTGAAAGTTATAACGACTTTTTTGGATTTTTTTTGGGGTCATTCCATAATAATTATGTGCTTTTTTGGTAATAGTTTTATTTTTTCGCCTTTATAGAATATAATTTTAAACCAAAATTAATTTTTGTCGTTTTACTAAATTTCATGAGGATCTATTAATTTTTTTAGAAGTTGTAACTGTTTTTTGGATTTTTTTGTGGACATTTCGTAAAAATTATGCGCTTTTTCATAAGATTTGTATTTTTTTCGCTTTTATAGAATGTAATTTTATGTCAAAAAGGCATTTTAGTCGTTGTAACAAGTTTCATAACGATCTGTTCATTTCTTTTGAAGTTATAATCGTTTTTTGAATTTTTTTGGGGTCATTCCATAATAATAGTGCGCTTTTTTTTCCCTTTTCTGTATTTTACGCCTTAAATGGTTGTTATTTATCACAAAGAACATAATTATAAAGTTTCATTACAATCCGATAATTATTTTGAAAGTTATAACGTCTTTTTTGAATTTTTTTGGGGTCATTCCGCAGTAAATATTCGTTTTTTTTTATCTAAATTTGTATTTTTTGCTATAAAAGAATGCTATTTATTGGTAAGAACATAATTACCAAGTTACATAACGATCTGTTCATTTCTTTTAAAGTTATAATGTCTTTTTTGGATTTTTTTTAGGTCATTCCATAATAATTATGTGCTTTTTTGGTAATAGTTTTATTTTTTCGCCTTTATAAAATATAATTCTAAGCAATAAAGTAATTTTTGTCGTTTAACCAAATTTCATGAGGATCTATTAATTTTTTTAGAAGTTGTAACTGTTTTTCGGATTTTTTTGTGGACATTCCGTAAAAATTACGCGCTTTTTTATAAGATTTGTATTTTTTTCGCTTTTATAGAATGTAATTTTATGCCAAAAAGGCATTTTAGTCTTTGTAACAAGTTTCATAACGATCTGTTCATTTCTTTTGAAGTTATAATCGATTTTTGAATTTTTTTTTTTTTTGAGGTCATTCCATAATAATTACGCGATTTTTTCCTAAATTTTTATTTTTTGTTTCAAAACGATGTTATTTATTGCAAAGAACAGAATTACTGAGTTTTATAACGATCCGTTAATATTTCTCAAAGTTATAATCGGTTTTTTCTATTTTTTTGGGGTCATTCCGTATCAATTATGCGCTTTTTTGGTAATAGTTTTATTTTTTCGCCTTTGTAGAATATAATATCATGCAGAAAAGTAAATTTTGTCGTTTTATCAAGTATCATAAGGATCTGTTAATTTTTTTGAAAGTTATAATTGTTTTTTTGAATTTTTTTGGAGTCATTCCATAATAATTATGTGCTTTTTTTCCTTTTTTTTATATTTCGCCTTTAAAAATTGTTATTTATTGCAATGAACATAATTACCAAGTTTCGTAACAATCCGATAATTATTTTGAAAGTTATAACTGCTTTTTTGGATTTTTTTTTTGGGGTCATTCCGCAATAAATATTCGTTTTTTTTTACCTAAATTTGTATTTTTTGCTATAAAAAAAAATGTTATTTATTTGTAAGAACATAATTACCAAGTTTCCTGGCGATCCGTTAATTTCATTAGAAGTTATAATCGATTTTTGAATTTTTTTTTTGGGTCATTCCGTAAAAAATTATGCCCTTTTTTCTAAATTTTTATTTTTTGTTTCTAAAAATTGTTATTTATTGCAATGAACAGAATTACTGAGTTTTATAACAATCCGTTAATATTTCTCAAAGTTATAATTGTTTTTTTGGATTTTTTTGGGGTCATTCCGTAACAATTATTCGCTTTTTTTGGTAATTGTTTTAATTTTTTGCCTTTATAGAATATAATATCATGCAGAAAAGTAAATTTTGTCGTTTTATCAAGTATCATAAGGATCTGTTAATTTTTTTGAAAGTTATAATTGTTTTTTTGAATTTTTTTGGAGTCATTCCATAATAATTATGTGCTTTTTTTCCTTTTTTTTATATTTCGCCTTTAAAAATTGTTATTTATTGCAATGAACATAATTATCAAGTTCCGTGCCAATCCGATAATTATTTTGAAAGTTATAACTGCTTTTTTGGATTTTTTTTTTGGGTCATTCCGCAATAAATATTCGTTTTTTTTTTACCTAAATTTGTATTTTTTGCTATAAAAAAAATGCTATTTATTTGTAAGAACATAATTACCAAGTTTCCTGGCGATCCGTTAATTTCATTAGAAGTTATAATCGATTTTTGAATTTTTTTTTTTTTTGGCTCATTCCGTAAAAAATTATGCCCTTTTTTCTAAATATTTATTTTTTGTTTCTAAAAGATGTTATTTATTGCAATGAACAGAATTACTGAGTTTTATAACAATCCGTTAATATTTCTCAAAGTTATAATTGTTTTTTTGGATTTTTTTGGGGTCATTCCGTAACAATTATTCGCTTTTTTTTTGGTAATTGTTTTAATTTTTCGCCTTTATAGAATATAATTTCATGTAAAAAAGTAATTTTTGTCGTTTTACCAAGTATCATAAGGATCTGTTATTTTTTTTGAAAGTTATAATCGTTTTTTTTTAATTTTTTGGGGGTCGTTCAATAATAATTATGTGCTTTTTTTCCTTTTTTTTTTTTTATTTTTCGCCTTAAAAGTTGTTATTTATTGCAATGAACATAATTATCAAGTTCCGTGCCAATCCGATAATTATTTTGAAAGTTATAACTGCTTTTTTGGATTTTTTTTTTTGGGTCATTCCGCAATAAATATTCGTTTTTTTTTTACCTAAATTTGTATTTTTTTCTATAAAAAAAAATGCTATTTATTTGTAAGAACATAATTACCAAGTTTCCTGGCGATCCGTTAATTTCATTAGAAGTTATAATCGATTTTTGAATTTTTTTTTTTTTTGCTCATTCCGTAAAAAATTATGCCCTTTTTTCTAAATATTTATTTTTTGTTTCTAAAAGATGTTATTTATTGCAATGAACAGAATTACTGAGTTTTATAACAATCCGTTAATATTTCTCAAAGTTATAATTGTTTTTTTGTTATTTTTTTGGGGTCATTCCGTAACAATTATTCGCTTTTTTTTTGGTAATTGTTTTAATTTTTCGCCTTTATAGAATATAATTTCATGTAAAAAAGTAATTTTTTTCGTTTTACCAAGTATCATAAGGATCTTTTAATTTTTTTGAAAGTTATAATCGTTTTTTTGAATTTTTTTTGAGGTCATTCCGCAATAAATATTCGTTTTTTTAACCTAAATTTGTATTTTTTGCTATAAAAAAAAATGCTTTTTATTGGTAAGAACAGAATTACCAAGTTTCCTGCCGATCCGTTAATTTCTTTAGAAGTTATAATCGATTTTTGAATTTTTTTTTTTTTTTTTGGGTCATTCCATAGTAACTATGCCTTTTTTTTAATTTTTGCAATTTTTCGCCGTTAAAGGATGTAATTCTCAATAATATAATCTCTAAAGTGAATTTTCAGTTACATAAAAATTCTCTAACATAGAAAATTGATTTAATGCAAAATTCTACATAATATCAAATCGAATTAAAATAAAATTCGTCTCAATAAAAATTATATCCAATAAAATTCTATTAAAATTAAAATTTTAAAAATTGAATTTCAAATCATATTCTTATTCCCCTAATAATAATAATAATAATTTTCTTTTTTTTCCCCCCAGGTAAGAGACTCAGACGGTAGTGTAATACAATTTTATTACGGTGAGGATGGTCTTGATATTTCAGCATCAAAATTTCTCACACATGAGCAATTAAATTTTCTCTATGAAAATCGTGCGGCAATAATGGATAATGATTTAATGGAACATTTGAAATTAAATAAAAATCCCAAAATTGAGAAAGATGAGAAAAAATTGAAAAAATGGCAAACAAAATATGGTTCATTATTAAAAAAACATCGTACATCGGCATTTACTGAATTTTCAGCTGATAATCTCAATGAAAATAGTTCAAAACGTAATCAAATTGATCCCAGTAGTGGACGTACAAAAGCATCATTATCATTAATGAGAAAATGGATAAGAGCAAATGATGATGTGAAAAAACATTATGCCGAGAGGGCAAAAAAATGTCCCGATCCATTAAATTCAAAATATCGTCAACATATGGAATTTGGCGTTTATTCAGAGAATATTGATAAAATGATTGATGATTATTTTGTAAAAAGAAAAAACATGAATAAAATTGAAAATATTAAAAATAATGAATTAAAAGATGAAAAAGAAGAGGAATTAAAAAAAGAAAAAAATGAATTAAAAGATTTAATATCAATGAAATTTATGAATTCATTATGTCCACCTGGTGAAGCTGTTGGTTTATTGGCAGCTCAATCAATTGGCGAACCATCAACACAAATGACATTAAATACATTTCATTTTGCTGGACGTGGTGAAATGAATGTAACACTTGGTATTCCACGTTTACGTGAAATTTTAATGATGGCATCAAAAAAAATTAAAACCCCATCAATGGAAATACCATTTAAAAATAATATTAAACAATTAAAACGTAAAGTTAATATTTTAAGGAGAAAATTAACAAAATGTGTATTAGGTGATATTTTAGAAAATATTGATGTTAATGGATTTATTTCATATGAGCCAACAAGACAATTGATTTATACAATAAAATTAAATTTTCTACCACGTAAATATTATCGTTATGAATATCATATAACGCCTGAGGAAATATTAGATAAAACGGAGAAACAATTTTTTAAAGAATTATTTCGTGAAATTAAAAAAGCTGGTAAAATAAGTGGTATTTCATTTTATGTTGAGGAAATAAAAAATCGTGATCGAAGAGAAAATGCACGACTCGATGGTGATTATGATGATGATAATAATGATGGAGAGGAGAGTGAGAGACAGAAAACAAAAACAAGATTAAATGATGGCGAAATGCATGAATCGTCTGATGAGGAAGAAATTGGAGGTGAAGTGGATGCAACTGTTGAAAGATCAACGGCACGTCATAGGGAAAATCAGGAATATGATGATCCTGATGATGATGAGGAGAGGGAAATGGAAAATGAGGATAATGGAGAAAATGAGGAGAATTTGAGAAATAATGTCAGTTTAAATAATAATGATAATGTTGATGTTGATGATGATGATGATGATGATGATAATGAGGAACGTGGACAAATTGATAGAAAATTGAAAGTTGCAAATTCATATCCAAATGCAATTTCTTATGATTATGATGAGGAGAAAGGTGAATGGTGCAGTTTAACATTTTCGGTATGTTAATTTTAATCTTTATTATTTTATTTTATTAATTAATTATTAATTATTTATTAATTATTAATTAATTATTTTTATTTCTACACGCCTAGAATTATTATTTTGTTGACCTTTTTCCGATTTTCTTTCTAAAAATAAGACTTTTTTTCGACTTATTTTAATGAAATGTGAATTTTGCAAATTTTTTTTTTTTATACATATGTAAAAAAAAATTTTTTTTAAACAAAATACGTTTTTTTTTTTTTAGGTATAAAATGCAGATCTTCAGATTTTTTTTTATTTCAATAATTTAACAAAATTTTTAACTAAAATTCTTCACTAAATTAATTATTTTTTTTTTTTTTTTAATAATTTTTAATGAAATTCAATTCACAAAATTTCAATTATCTTAAATTATTTTTCACATTCAAATTTTTATGAAATTTAATAATTGTTTATAATTTCAAAAAAAAAAAAAAAGAAAACAAAAAAAAAAAATTAGTAAATAAAATTAGCAAAAAAAATTTTAATTTAAAATCACTTGAATTTTTAATTATTTGCAAAAATTTCAATTATTTTTTTAATGATTTTTAAAAAATTCTTCGAAAATTACAAATTTTAAATCAATTAAAATTCAATTATTTTTAAAAAATTTAAATTCAAAATCAATTATTTTCGAAATTTTTAATTCTAAATCAACTAAAATTCAATTATTTTCAAAAATTTCAATTCAGAATCAATAAAAAATCCAATGATTTTTAAACATTTCATTTCCGAATTAATTAAAATTCAATTTTTTTCAAAAATTTCAATTCAAAATCAACTAAAATTCAATTATTTTCCAAAATTTTAATTGAAATTCAATTATTTTCAAAAATTTCAATTCAAAATCAAATAATTTCAATTATTTTCCAAAATTTCAATTGAAATTTATTTATTTTCAAAGTTTTCAATTGGAATTTGTATTATTTTCAAAATTTTCTATTTAAAATCAACTAAAAATTCAAATATTTTCAAAATTTACATCAAAAATTTCAACTAAAATTCAATTATTTTCAAAAATTTTAATTTAAACGCTTCTAAAATTTAATTATTTCTAAAATTTTTTGGAAATTTAAGAATTTTAATGATAACTCTCTAAATTTTTTTAATTAAAAATTTTGAAATTAAATTTTTTTAGATATTAAAAAAAACTAATGTTATTTTTTTTTTTTTTATTAAAAATATAAAATAATCTTTATGAAATACGAAATATTTATTTATTTACCTTTAAAATCTTTTCGGTTTTTTTTTTGTTTTAAGGATTTTTTTGTAAATACTAGTTTGTAAGAAAAATGTATTTGGGTCCTCGAACCCTGCGTAAGGCAGGGAGAGTAAATAAAAGATATATATTTTTAATTTTGATGTTATCCATTTTTTTTTTTTTTTGCAGCTTCCGCTAAAAATGTACAAACTAGATCTTCAGTCGCTTTTAAAAACCGCAGCGAATAAAGTAATTTTATGGGAGACTCCAAATATTAAAAAAGCATTCACTTTTCAAAATCAAGAAGGTGAAACAATTCTCAAAACGGATGGAATCAATATCATTGTAAGTTGCATTTTTTTTTTGTTTTTGTTTTTTTTTGTTTTTATCTCCTTGGTTTTAGTTTCTATCGTAAATTAATAATAATTTTTAAATATTTTAATATAATTAATAATAATGCATCTAAAATTTAATTATTTCTAAAATTTTCCATCGAAAATTTTTTTTTTGAAATTTCAACTATCTGAAACCATTTTTCAATTAAAAATGATTTTCAAATTATTAACAATATATCTTTTGAAATTTAATTATTTCTAAAAATTTCAACTTTAACCCTTCGAAAAGGATTATTATTAAAAAAAAAAATTTTTTTATTTAAAAATCTATAAAATATTTTTGTTAAAATAAAAAACAAATTCACTTTTTTTTTGGAATATAAATCGACTAAAATGACTTTTTTGTGTCTTTAAATTGATTCGAGGCCTGTGTTTTTATAATTAATATTTAATTAGTATTCGTTGTCCCCTGGTAACTTAAAAAAAAAATTTTTTTAAATAAATTTTTTTTAAATTTACCAATCTTTTAATTTAAAATGAAATAAAATTCGATTATTTTCTAAAATTTCTATTCAAAATTTATTATTTAAATTTTCAATTAAAAATGAATTTAAATTAAATTATTATTCAAAATTTCAATTGAAATTCAATTATTTTCTAAAATTCCAATTCAAAATCAACTAAAATTCAATTCTATTCCAAAAATTTAAATTCTAAATTAATTAAAATTCTAAATTAAATCAAATTCAATTTTTTTCAAAAATTTCAATTCAAAATCAACTAAAATTCAATTGTTTTCTAAATTTAAATTCAAAATCAACTAAAATTTAACTAAAATAAAATTATTTTCCAAAATTTTAATTGAAATTCAATTATTTAAAAAATTTTCAATTTAAAATCAATCAATTACTTTCAATTCAAAATGAACTAAAATTCAATTATTTTCCAAATTTAAAATCAAATAAAATTTCATTTATCTCAAAAATTTGATTTCAAAATTAATTGAATTTTCAATAATTTGAATTTAAAAGCATTTAAAATTTAATTATTTCTAAAATTTTCCATCGAATTTTTTTTTTTTTTTTTTGAAATTTAATAATTTCAATTATATACCTCTAAGGAAATTCAATTATTTTTAACTATTTTAATAATATTCTTTGAAATTTCAAATATCTGAAACCATTTTTCAATTAAAAATGATTTTTAAATTATTGTCTTTTGTCCGCATTTTTTAATAAATTTTTAGTGAAATCATCTCGAAATTTTAATTAAAAATCACTTAAAGTTTCAATTAATTTCAAAAATCTCAATTTTAAATTTTTGAAAATTCAATTAAATTTAAAAAATGTTTTTCAAAAATTGTTTTGATAAATTATTTTTAGTTCTGTAAAATTTAATAATTCGTTTGAAGATTAACAATATCTTTTGACATTTAATTATTTCTAAAAATTTCAACTTTAACCCTTCGAAAAAGATTATTATTAAAAAAAAAATTTTTTTATTTAAAAATCTATAAAATATTTTTGTTAAAATAAAAAACAAATTCACTTTTTTTTTGGAATATAAATCGACTGAAATGACTTTTTTGTGTCTTTAAGTTGATTCGAGGCCTGTGTTTTTATAATTAATATTTAGTAGATATTCGTTGGCCCCTGGTACCTTAAAAATTAATTTTGAAAAATAAATTTTTTTCAAATTACTATCTTGTACGGAAATTTCCTGGCGCATCTTTTTTCTCATTATAAATTTTTTCTATTTGTATACAATTTTTGAATGAATATACAAGTTTAAAAAAAATTTCGTTGGTAAACGTTGTGTACTTCAGTTTCGTGAATTGAATTTTCCAATTTGGAATTTTAAAGAAACTTATTCCAAAATTTGGAAACACAATTATACAACTTTGGCAAAAATGAGAAAAATAATTGTCAAAATTTGACACGTCATAAGATTATTATTAAAAAAAAAACACGTGAAATCAAAAAAGGCCAACTTCAAGTTAGGACAGAAGGACAGACCAAGCATTTTATTATTATATAATAATTATATTATTTTTGTATGTTTATTTTAATGTTAATGCTTTCTCCACGAGGAAGCAATTTTTTTTTTTTTTTGTTGATCGTAAAGAGGAAGCAAAATGTTCCATGTAATGAACATCTGAATTTACAAATTGTTTTTTTTTTTTTTTGCTATTTTAAAGGAAATGTTCAAATATGCGGATATTTTACAATTGGATAGACTTTATTCGAATGATATTTATGGAATTTCACAAACCTATGGAATTGAAGCGGCAAATCGTGTAATAGTAAAAGAAGTAAAGGATGTCTTTAAAATGTATGGAATAACGGTTGATACACGACATTTATCATTAATTGCTGATTATATGACATTTGATGGAAGTTATCAGCCAATGAGTCGAAAGGGAATGGAATTCTCTGCATCGCCATTGCAACAAATGACATTTGAGAGTTCTTTGCAATTTCTCAAAAATGCAACGCTACAAGGTCTTTATATATTTATTTTTTTTTTATTATTAGTATTATTTTTCTTTTTTCTGTTTTCAAAAAGTTTACATTTTTTTGTAATTTCTTTAAGAAAAAAAAAAACGTTGAAAATTTAAAAAATTTGTTTTTAAATAATAGACGCATGATTATGTTCTAAAAATCATTAGTTAAAATTTTCATTTATCAATAATTATTTTTGAGTCGAATTTTTATTTTTTCGAATTAGTATTTTTGCAAGAATTTTTTAATAATCAAAAATTCACTCCACAGAATTTTTTAATTTTCGAATTTTTATTTGTCAAAATTTTCATTTAACATAATATATAGACATTTTAAAGAATTTTTATTGGCTAGAATTTCATTGTATAGAATTTTCATTTATTCGAATTATTATTTGTTTAAATTTCCATAAAAACCGATTTTTTTTTCTTTTTTTTTTTTGCAGAATTTTTTACTTAACTAAAAAATCATTTAACAGAATTTCTTAATTGATAGAATTTTCATTTGTCCAAAATTGCAAATGACCGAACAAACAATCGATTTTTAAAATTCAACCAATCAAAAATTATCCATAAAATTGTGATTGGTTGATTTAAAATTTTTTTTTTTTTTTTAATTTTAATTTCTTTTTAATAGGTAAAATCGACGATTTAAGATCGCCGTCAAGTCGATTAATGTTGGGACAACCAATTCGAATAGGAACTGGAATGATTGACGTAATGTTTGACTTGAGTAAAGTACTCGAATCACAGAGAAAAAGTGAAGCTTGGTAAAAAAAAAACAAATTTTTTTTAATATTTAAAACAAAAAATATTTGTATATTTAAATTTTTTATTCTTTTTTTTTTAAATTTTATTTCAAAAGCGATTTAGCTGAAGAAAAAAATAATTTCTAAAATACACTAAAGAAAAAAAGAATTTAATTTCTAAAAATTTGTGAAAAGCAATTTTTTTTGTTTTTTGTAAATAGACGTTAAAATAATTTTATTTTTACTAAAAAAAAAAATGTAAAAATAAATTATGAAAAAATAAAATTTGTATTTATTTATTTGTAATTTACGGTCAAGTAAACAAATTTTAGAAATTTGTTTTCCAAATTTGCAAAAAAAAAAAAAAAAAAATTAAAAATAAAATTTTGGTATTTTTGTAAATTATAAAAAAAATAGTTATGGAAATTAAAAAATGTTTTTTGAATTAGAAAATATTTCTTAAATTAAAAAATTAGTGAATTATAAAAATTGGTTTATTACAAACAGACAAATTATATTTATTGCAAGTGAAATTTTTATTTATTTTTTTTTTTTTTATTCTTTTGATGAAGACACAGTTTTTTGCTTATAAAAAGCTTACATTAACAGGCAAAAATTAAATTAAAAAAAAATAAATGACGTATTTTTTTTTTTGGTTTTTTTTTTTGTTTTCCAAAAATTATGTTCGTATAACAAAAAAATATTAACAGAAATAACCTAAGGTGGGATTTTTAGTTTTATTTGAATTTTTTTTTTTTAAGCTAGTCGATGTTTTTCAATTGTTGTCTTAATTTTCCCCGCATTTGCGCCAACGACAGTTTCCAACTGAAATTTAAAAAAAAAGAAAATACATTTTACATTTTTTTTAAAGTAAAAATTCGTATAAAACCTATTAAATTTCAATTTTGAAAATTTAGCTGAAAATATTATAGAAACAATTTGTTTTTTTTTGTTGAAATTAATTTAAAATAATTTTAAAGACTATTTATTATAATAATTATATATATATATATAAATATTAAATTAATTTTACCATTGTATTATTTTTAATGAAGAGGAACGTTGGCATGCTGTTAACATTGTATTTAACAGCAATATCGTCGCATTCGTCGACGTCAACTTTCACGAAAATGACGTCGGGAAATTCCTCGGAATATTCGTCTATTTTCGGTGCAATTACTTTACATGGTCCACACCATGTTGCATAAAAGTCAATTACAACAAGTTTATCGCCAGCTGCGGTAAGTTGCTCTTCCAAATGTGCCTAAAAAGAAAAAATTGTTTATTTTTTTATTTTTTTTAATATTCAATTTTTTCCCCTTTATTTGATAAATTTCATTTTTTTATCAAAAATAACCAAAAATAAAATTAAAATTTTCTGGATAGAATACAAGAAAAATTCAAATTCTTCCGTTTTTTGCTTTTTTTTTTGAAAAAACCAATCAAAAATTTAAATTTCAGGGTTCTTGTTCTATTTTTATTAAAGAAAAATTAGGACAATGTTTAAAAATTATTTAAAAATAATTGAATTTTAGTTGATTTTCAATTGAAATTTTGGAAAATAATTGAAATTATTTGATTTTGAATTGAAATTTTTGAAAATAATTGAATTTCAATTAAAATTTTGGAAAATAATTGAATTTTAGTTGATTTTGAATTGAAATTTTTGAAAAAAATTGAATTTTAATTAATTCGGAAATGAAATGTTTAAAAATCATTGGATTTTTTATTGATTCTGAATTGAAATTTTTGAAAATAATTGAATTTTAGTTGATTTTGAATTAAAATTTTTAAAAATAATTGAATTTTAAAAGAATTTGTATTGAAAATTTTGAAAATAATTAAATTTCAATTGAACTTTTGTTAATTTTCGATAGAAATCTTTGAAAATAATTGAATTTTAGTTAATTTTGAATTGAAATTTTCAAAAATAATTTATTTTTGGTTGATTTTCAATTAAAATTTTTTAAAATAATTTGACATTTATTTGATTATAAATTGAAATTTTAAAAAATAATTGAATTTTATTTGATTTAGAATTGAAAATTTTTAAAATAATTGATTTTCAATTGCAATTTTGGAAAATAATTCTATTTTAGTTTATTTTGAATTGAAATTTTGGAAAATAATTGAATTTTTGTTGATTTTGATTTGATAATTTTGAATATAATTGAATTTTAAAAGAATTTGTATTGAAAATTTTGAAAATAATTAAATTTCAATTGAACTTTTGTTAATTTTCGATAGAAATCTTTGAAAATAATTGAATTTTAGTTAATTTTGAATTGAAATTTTCAAAAATAATTTATTTTTGGTTGATTTTCAATTAAAATTTTTTAAAACAATTTGACATTTGTTTGATTATTAATTGAAATTTTAGAAAATAATTGAATTTTATTTGATTTAGAATTGAAAATTTTTAAAATAATTGATTTTCAATTGCAATTTTGGAAAATAATTCTATTTTAGTTTATTTTGAATTGAAATTTTGGAAAATAATTGAATTTTAGTTGATTTTGAATTAAAAAATTTTTGAAAATAATTGAATTTTAGAAGATTTTGAATTGAAAATTTTGAAAATAATTGATTTTCAATTGAAATTTTGGAAAATAATTGTATTTTAGTTTTTTTTTGAATTGAAATTTTGTAAAATAATTGAATTTTAGTTGATTTTGAATTAAAAATTTTGAAAATAATTGAATTTTAAAAGAATTTGAATTGAAAATTTTGAAAATAATTGAATTTCAATTGAACTTTTGTTAATTTTCGATAGAAATCTTTGAAAATAATTGAATTTTAGTTGATTTTGAATTGAAATTTTGGTAAAGAATAAAATTGATTTGATTTTTAATTCAAATTTTTATAAATAATTGAATTTTTATTGATTCTGAATTGAAATTTTAGAAAATAATTGAATTTTAGTTTATTTTGAATTGAAATTTTTAGAAATAATTGAATTTCAATTAATTTGGAAATGAATTTTTCGAAAAAAAAAAAATTGAAAAATTTATTAGAAATTTCAGACGAAAATTGATTTTTTAAAGATTTTAATTGAAATATTGCTTTCTGATAATTGAATTTTCGAAGAATATTTTTTAAAATATCATTGAAAATAATTGAAATTTTTGCAAATTAATTCAATTTCAAGTGATTTTGAATGAAAAATGTTTTTGGTAATTTTATTTGTTAATTTTTTTTTTCTTTTTTTTTTTTGAAAATTATAAACAATTATTAAATTTCATAAAAATTTTAATTGAAAAATAGTTTAAGATAATTGAATTTGTGAATTGAATTTCATTAAAATAATTAAAAAAAATAATTAATTTAGTGAAGAATTTTAGTTAAATATTAGTTAAATAATAAAGAAGATAAAAGAAAATTAAAGAAGATCTGCATTGTATACTAAAAAAACGTATTTTGTTGAAAAACTTTTTTTTAAAAAATGTTAAAAAAGTCGAAAAATTCGCATTTTATTAAAATAAGTCGAAAAAAGTCATATAATCCGAGGCCTGATTAATAATTATTTCGAATTAATTATTATTCAGAGCAGAAATTTTTTTTTTTTTTTTTATTGATGTTACGAAACAAAATACAAGATAAAAAAACGGTCTATTTTTTTATCATTCCAATTTTAGAATAAAATCTCTTTTCTTATCTTCGGTTATACATATACTGGTTGAGTGTTTTTTTTTTTTTTTAATGAAACGTAATTTTTTTTTAAAAAATTTTAAGCAATGATAATTTTATTTAATAAAAATTAATTTTTTTTTATCAATCATAACAGAAAAATATTTTGCTTTTATTAAGTCCAATTATAAAAAATTAATATTCCGATTTTAAAATTTTTCCGACAAAATTTATCGATTTTTAATAATAATAATAATAATAATAAATAATAATAATAAAAATAATAATATTAAAAATCTTTTATTAATTACAATTATAAAATTTAATTTATTCTTTATAAAATTAAAATTAACAATTCGTGTTTAATAACCTTCGGATATTTTAGGCGCGAAATTATTGGTACAACCGACTTTTTAAATTTTCCCGCCAAAATTCATGGATCCGATTTTTTATCGATCGAAATCAATTTCCGTTAACTTCTCCACTAACAATAATTTATCTTTTATTTTCAAAAAAAAAAAAAAATAAATAAATAAATAAAACAAATTTCTGTTTTTTATCTACATATCGATTTTAATTAAATCCATCTCGCGTGTTAATAATCCAACTATACAATCTAACGTAAAATGAGGCTAAGCATAATGATTCTAATTTATTACGCGTTCTTATTCGATATTTCATACCCTTTTCAAGGGCAAGAAAAAAACTTGAGAACACGATTTATAAAAAAAAAAAAAAAAATTCAAACACAACGTAAAGAAAAATTAAAAGATAATTAATATTCATGGAATTTATTTAACCGGAACGTGTGTGCGCCACGATGCCGTGTACATTTTTCTTTCAAGGTTATAGCGGCACATATAATTCTTTTCCTTTTCAAATATATATATAAGGGGTAAATTCACGTAATCGTGAAAATATATGGAAATTGGGTATAAATATTTTTTTTTTGTTTTGCAATTGGTACTTACTGAATCTTTAATTGAGAGAACCATTTTTTCACTTTAGGGTTTTGTAAACCTGTTTTTTGTTTTTTTTTTTTTTATTTCCTTAACGCGAGAAATGCCTAGTTCAATACTAAACGAAGATACAATGAAAACTGAGAGCGGAATTGAAAATTATGGGTAACTTTACTGTAGAGTGAGAGAGGTATGTGGGGCGAGGTAAATACTATAGCACTAAATCGACCCGAAGAAATACGAAAATACGCGAAAGTTACCACCTGCGCGGTTCGAAACTGTTTTATTTTTTTTTTTTTTTAATATAAAAAATAATAATAAATCTATATTTTTAATTATAAATCATTGAAGGTGAAATTTAATTGAAAATTTTAGATTAATATAGTAAAATTTATAATTATTAATTATAAAAAATAATTATTAATTTATTATATAACTATATATATATATAATTATATTAAAAAATTTAAATTAATTATTTAACTTTAAAATTTTTATTTATATTTATAGTGAAGATTTTATTTTTTATTTATAATATCGTTTAAAATTATAAAATATATATTTTTTTTTTAAATTGAGATTTTCTTTATATATTTTCTATTTATATACTTAAAATATTTATATGCAATAGAAGGTTAGGTTTATGTTGGTCATATTTTTTAATTTTTTTTTTGTAAAAGAATTTACATAATATATATATATATATATGACTATTTATATAAAATTATAAATATTTTATGATTTTATTATTAAAAAAATTATTAATTTATAATTTTTTAATTTATTATTATAAACTTTTAATGAAAATTTATAATATAAATTTTTCTACTATTGTAACAATGAAATAATAATAATAATAATAATAATAATAATAATAATAATAATAATAATAATAATAACAATAATAATAACAATAGTAATAATAATAATAATAATAGTAATAATAATAATAATAATAGTAATAATAATAATAATACTAGTAATAATAATAATAATAATAATAATAATAATAATAGTAATAATAATAATAATAATAATAGTAATAATAATAATAATACTAGTAATAATAATAATAATAATAATAATAATAATAATATTAATAATAATAACATTAATAATAATAATTTACATTAAACAAATAATTTGTAAATTTCTTAAAAGTTTTGCAATAATAATAACTAATTTTAATTATTATTTGTTAATTATTAATTTAAATAATTAATTTTTTTTGAAATTTGATTTTAAATTTTTATAATATTATTTATTATGGTACAGTTTTACAACATATATATTTCTAATGAGGAGAAATTGAAGAGTCATTCTCTGTCCCATATGTATAGTATTAACGCAATGATTACAGTTTGCTTTTTTTATTCGTTGAAGCTTGTCTCTATATATACAATAAATGAATAAATCATTCTGAGTCATATATATATATATATATAATAGCGAAATTCCGCTCGTGACGTCATTTTCTTTAAAGGTACGTGCTTCCATAGATTTGAAATTTTATTCATCCGGAGAATTTAATTTATTTTCATTAAAAAAAATAAAAAATTACTCAATATTAATGGCTTTTTTTTAAAGAAAGAGCATTTTTTTCATCATGGATAAAAATAAAATTTAATTGCATTTTTTTTTTTTTTTTTTTTTTTTTTTTTTTTTTTTTTTTTAATTTAAATGATAAATTATATTCACCCGGAACTGAGACAATTGAATAAATATATAACAAGGAAATTTTAAAATTATAATGAGAAATTACAATTATTATATTATACAATTTTTTATTATTATTATTATTATTATTTTTAAATATATTTATAATGATATTGCATTTATTTTTTATGATTCATATTGAATTTGAATTAATCATTGCTATGAATATATCATTGTCGTAATAATGACAAATATATACTTGATAATGAAAGATTTTATTGATTTTAGATTATAAAATATTTTTAAATTTCTCTATTATATATAATGGGAATTGAATTTCTATGAAAATTGATATTAAAAAAAAAAAAAAATTCTATTTTTAATTAAGAAATTAAAATCAATTTTTAAAAAAAATTTTTTATTTTTAATTAAGAAATTAAAATCAATTTCGAAAAAAAAATTTATATTTTTAATTAAGAAATTAAAATTAATTTCGAAAAAAAAAAATTTGTAATTTCTTTTAAAAATTTATTATTTATTCTCTAATCTTTGTTATGTAATTTTATTTCAGTGTACCTATCATTTTTTGTTTTATTTTAGCGTAATTTTTATTGCACAATATTTCGTAATTTTTAAAATTTTAGATTTTTTTTTTTAAATTTAATTAAAATATTGATTTTTAATAATAAAAATTTGCGAATTTAAAATTTCTTTTTAAAAATTTTTCCCATATATTTTTGACTTTAATCGATTTGGCAAAGAAAAGAGAAAAAAAAAAAAAAAAAACGAGTGTCAAGGTCAAAAAACAATGCAGAGAACATAAATTTACTTTTTCCGACGATAAAATTGATATTACAAATGAGCATTTAAAGTATTAACAGTAAAACACGAAGGTTATCCATTTTTATCACTTTCAGTGCTAATAATAATTTATAAAGTATCTTTCACTTGAAAATTTTATTTTTATTATTATTATTATTATTTTTATTATTATTATTATTTATTATTATTATTGTTATTTATAATTATTATTATTATCGTTAATAAAAATGAAAAAATTATTTTGTTCACTAAATCTAGTGTAGAATTTTTAATTTTCATCCGATTGTGCTCTACTTGGACTCAAAATTTTCGTAATTAAATAGATTATCGATAAAAAATTTTAAATATAAACTTTTTTTTATTGTCTGCTTTTACAAATGTTTGTTCTAATTCTGTTTCGCTGGAAGAATGTGGCTTTTGGTTTTAAATTCCACAGAAATAAGAATTGTTAAATCTTTTGTAAAATTAATTAGTCAATTGCTGCATGAACGACATAATAGTGAAATGAAAGAGTATTAATGTGTTACAGTCACTTCTATCGTTTTTTTTTTTTTTTTTTTTTTTTTTTGTTTTAATTTAATTGTTTCTGTATGAAGTAAATATAAATGTAATTTCATCAAAATTTTAATGTTGCAAATTCAATGGTTACACCTATTCATATTCAACCAGAATGATATTTTTTATTTGCTTATGCAATTTTGCATTCAATTCCAAATAAATTAGGGGGAGTAATTGCATTGTTTTTATCTGTAGGAATTTTAATAATTCAGTTTTAGTCTCTTGCGATAGCGATTCTCCGCTTTTGTATACTCATGTAAAGAGGTAGACAAGTGTAAATAAATTATTATTTAGAAACAATTTAAATCACTTAAAACTTTTGCTGAAAAAAAAAATTCATCAGTCTAAAAGACTAATTTCGTGGTATCATCCTCTCGAGCCACACGAAACTAAAAACATAAAATAAAATTAATTTTAAACTATATATATATATATAATTTTTATGAATAAAAAGAAAAAGAATTTGAAGCATTTGTACAGAAAATATATAATAAAACCAAAAAAAAAAAAAAAAAAAATATACTCCAATAGATGGTAATAAATTGCAAAATCAATTTTTTAAAATTATATATTTATTCAAAAATAATATACATTTTTTGAATTATTTCGCCCTCTGAGGGGGTGGATATTTTATATACATTTTGCCGAGATCGTCCGAATGTTGACGCAGCAGTTTCGCTGATGTCATTTTATCGATCCTAAGCTTTTCAAAGTTGGCCAGCAAATCGACGCTAGACTTTGTCTTTTTTTTTAGAAAAGCAGTATCTCCGTGTTTTTGGTGTTTAATAATCTGAAAAAAGAACTCCCAAAGGCATTATTTTTATTTGGTGCTATTGAAATTTAAAATAATTTTGAAGGCCCAGACGAGGATGATCGATCAGGAAGAGTTGGATTACTATATAATGTTTCCCTCGTTTCCTGTTTCACCAAAAGATCCAACCATCACATCCACAATGGACAATCAAGATCGTAGGGATGATTTTGTATTTGTTTATGAAGAAGATAAACGACCGGTGGTCGTTCTCCTCGGCTGGGCCGGTTGTCAGGATAAATATTTGGCTAAATATAGCGCAATTTATGAAGAAAAAAGGTATTTTTTTTTGGCTAATGAAAAAAAAAAATAATAGTAATAATAGCAAAAAAAAAAAAAAAAAAAATTTTTTAATAACCAATTCATTTTTTCGAATAGTTGTATTACACTTCGTTATACGGCACCAGTGGATTGTCTATTTTTGAGAAGAGACAAAATGCCATACATTGGAAAACGATTAGTTCAAGTTTTATTGGATAAAAGTTTAGGAGAACATCCAATATTTTTTCATATTTTTAGTAATGGTGGTGCATTCCTTTATGAATATGTGAGTGTTGCAATGCAACAAGCTGGATCACCATTTCAGGTATTTTTTTAAGTTCTGAATTTATTTCTAAAAATTAACCTACTATTTTGTATATAGCGAATTATGGAAAATATTTTTGTTTCCAGTACAAGTACATAGAAAAATATGCTATTGAATCGTATTTCTGCCAAAGGTATAAAAATTACTGAAATGCTGTAGAATTTATAAAATTTTTACAAATTTTCATAGCATATGCTTTTATTTTTATACCTTTAGCTGTTGATTCAATAGAATATTTTTCTCAGTATGGGAAAAGATAATTGGATTCCTTTTTTTTTTTCAGGTGAAAGGCGTGATTTTTGATAGTGCTCCAGGAGAGAGACGAGTTCTATCTTTATATAGAGCTATTAGTGCAATAATTGGTGGTCATCCTCTCACCAACATTCCAATGTCTTTTGTCATAACATTCTTTCTCTCTGTGATTTGGATCGTCGAAGTAGGTTTCTAATAAAATTATGAGAATGGAAATAATATTTTTTATCTAACATTTTTTCAATTTTATTGCCGTAGATTTTCATTCAATCTTCATTGAGAAAAGGAAAAATGATGGCAAGTCTCGCAACACTTGCAGAAGAGCCCTATTCATGTCCTCAATTATTTCTTTACTCCAATACAGATACTTTAATATCATCCGCGGTAAATATTAAATTTTTATTATTATTATTATTATGATACTGATCCAAAAAAATAAGTTACCCAAAATTTTTTACAACCGATTCTTATTGGATTTTGTTCGTTAAATCCAAAGCTGAAAATATTCGATTGGCTTCAGTTTTTCAGCAATTTAGGATTTAGTGTTAAAAACCGTATTTTTGGTATTTCTAAATTTTTAATTGGTCGAAAAATGGAGCCAATTGAATATTTTTAGCTTCGTATTTTACGAACAAAATCCTATAAGAATTGGTTCTAAAATTTTGGGCAAGCAAAGTTTTGTCATTTATAAATTTCTTTTCCCAAAATCCAATTTTACAACCGATTCTTATTGGATTTTGTTCGTAAAATCCGTAGTTGAAAATATTCGATTGGCTCTAGTTTTCGAGTAATTTAGGTTTTAGAATCGAAAAACGAATTTTTGGTATTTTTAAAGTTGCTCAAACCTAGAGCCAATTAAATATTTTCAGCTACGGATTTTACGAACAATATCCTATAAGAATCGGTTCTCAAAATGTGTTTTTGGTAAAGAAATTTATAAATGACAAAATTTTGCTGCCCAAAATTTTAGAAACAATTCTTATAGGATTTTGTTTGTAAAATCCGAAGCTGAAAATATTCGATTGGCTCCAGTTTTCGAACAATTTAAGATTTAGAAATACCAAAAATTCGGTTTTTAACACTATATCCTAAATTGCTCGAAAACTAAAGCCAATCGAATATTTTCAGCTTCGGATTTTACGAATAAATTCCTATAGGAATCGGTTGTAAAATTTTTGGGTATAACTTAAAGGGGGAAATCACATTAGGACGCTGTTTTTTTTAGCCGTTTTTCGGGATTTTTTTTTTCTTGAAAGGGATAACATTTTTTAAATAAAATGCAAGAATGACATTATGTTGTACATATATTTAGCTGTGTCTCATCATTTTTTTTGAGCATTTTAATTAAAAACAATTGAAGTTAGTAGCCATTAAACCTGGAGCTGCGCCGTCTGAGTTTATAATTGCTGTGCAAAGTGGAGTTCACAAATTTGATCTAAAAGTCAAAAATTAACTACTTTTAAGTTAATTTTTGGCTAATTTTTTTTTTGTCCTTCCTCTTCTTTATAAGTCAAATCATAAATTCACAAAGGAACTTCCTCAAGAACGCCGTTACCAATCTGTTTCGCTACTCGTAGCAAGCTTCATTTATTACAAAATTCCATTTTTTAAATCCTCTAATATGTGGTTTCTCCCCCATAAAAATATGGTCAGTTAATTTATAAAATTACTTCAAATGATGCAAAAATAAGACGTTTTTATATGTTTTTTTTTCCCTCAAGGATGTGGAAAAATTTGCAACTCGTAGAGCAGAACGTGGTGTTAAAGTTGAAATGGTGCTTTTTACTGATTCACCTCATGTGAAACATTTCACGACATATCGTGATGTTTATGTAAATACTGTTTGCAATTTCGTTAATGAATCATTGAGAATAAAGCACAAGACAATCGAGGCTAATAATGGACAATGTGTCGATGATGATAATGACGTTAATCTAATTGAGACTCAAGGTTTAACGAAACGAGTGGTCCTTCCTCACGAAGCGACAAAGTAGTAAATTATATTTATATTTTTAACGAATATAATATATATATATATATATATATATATATATATATATATATATATATATATATATATATATATATATATATATATATATATATATATATATATATATATTTATCTGTCTCGAAAATCCCTCCTCGCTAATTTTAATCGAAAAAAAAAAAATTTTTTTTTGATTCAAATAATCAGTTACTTTGACTATCTGATAAATATTTTCTGAAAATAATTTTTAAGTTTTGGTTTCAAATACAAAAATTGTTATTGTTTTAAATACAATTTCACTATTTGAAACCAAATTAAAAAAAATTAATTTAAGAAAATATTTGATGATAGTCAAAAGTAACGGATTATTTGAATGAAATAAATTTTTTTTTCCACTGCATAATTATAATTATAATATAATATTATAATTATTTTATAATTATAATGGATTTTATTCTCATAATACGAAAAAAAACTAATAGATAAGAATTAATTATTTAAATAAATATTTGTTTCTCTCAAAAAAAAAAAAAAAAAAAAATATGAGAATAATTCGACACAAAAAAAAACTGTAAAATTTCATTAAATAGAAATTTAGCACAAAAAAAATAGAAATTAGGATCGATATCAAAATATTAAAAATTATATTTGTTACATACATATATATATATTATTATTATTATTATCGAATTTAAGAAAAAAAAAGACGAAAATCCTAATTTTTTTACACCAATCGTATAAAAAATTGTAAATACACTCATAATATTTCATTTATCATAGTATTTTCATTTTTTTTTTTTTTTAAATAAGATTTTAAAATATAATTTAATAATATTTTGTCAAAAATATTTATTGGCTTATATTTTATTTACTTTTTATTTATATATTTATTATATTGTTTCTCTTCATTTTCTATATATTATAATATTTATAAAGTCTATTTATTTATTTAAAATAAAAAAAATTTCTTACAAAAAAAAGGAATTTTTATTTAAAAAACAATTTAAAACAATTACTTTTATAGAGAATGTGGCGAAATATTTATATAAGTATTAAATTATTTCTAGGTATTCATTATTATTATTAACAATAATAATAATTATTATTACTTTTTTTTAATTCTATTTTTTTAATTTTTTAATATTTAGTACAAATTTTTATTATCATTTTTTTTTTTAATTGTACCAAAGAATTAACTTATAATTTTAATTAATAAAAATATAATTATTAAATTTATATTATATTTAATATATTTAATTATATTTTTTTAAAAAATTTAATAATTTTTAATTTTCTTAATATTTATAAAAAAAATTTATTATTTTTTTTTATTTGTACCAAATAATTAATATTTGAATTAATAAAAATATTATTATTAAACTTATATTGTATTTGATTATTATACATTTTTTTTCTTGTTTTTTAGTTTTATTTTTTTCACTTTTGTTTTACGAGACTTTTTTATGTTTATATTTTCTTTTATATATATATAGAAATTTTTTTTTTTTTTAATATTTAGTAAAAAATGTTTATTTTGAAAAATTTGTTTCCCAATTATCATAATATTATTATATATTAAAAAAATTTTGTGGTTATATACGAAAAAAAAATTTTTTCGATACAAACCTAACCTCAAATATACAACAAATTTATTTACATTTATTTCGTATTATTCAAAAAATTAATTTTATTCGATTTTAATTTTATTCTAATTTCGAAGAAAATCAATTATTTGTACTAAGTGATTTGTTATTAAAAATTTTATTTTCATAAAATTAAAATTATTATATATGCGCGTCAATTTTTCTTATTAAATTACGAAACAATAAACAAAAAAACTATTTGATAATTAATTTTTCAATTATAAATTAAAATAAAACTAAAAATAATGTATAATTTATTACTTACTTGTTATTTTTTCAATTATAAAAAAACAAAAATTTTTTTTTTTAACGCTTATTCTTCTTTTGTTATAACAATTCAAAATATATATATATAGGACACACATTTCCTGGAAATACATTGGAGGCGACATCTGTGCGAATATAACTAGAAGTAACAATATTCAAAATGGCGCAACAAAGCAGCAGGAAGTGAAAAAGGTTCGCGTTTTTTTTTCTCATCACACGCAATAACGTATAATAGTGAAATAATTTCTGTTAAATTAAAAAATTTTCCACTAAATTTCGTATGAAATTTTTAATTAAAACTCACGACAATTTAAATCCGCTTATAAAATAAAACGGTGTGAAAAAAATAGTGATTTATGCAACACAGAATTTTGTGTATTATATAGTGAACAAAGGATTTTTGATTATAATTATTACAAAACTTTTTTGGAAAAATAAGCCTCGGTAAGTTTTTTCTTAAATAAAATAATATTAAATAAATAATTACTGAATTTTTTGTTTTAAAGAAATTTTTCTATATCAAAATTCATTTGTTCTGATTTACGTTGTGCAGATAGTTTAGGCGCGAAATTCAAATTGTTTAAAAAAAATATATATATATAATTAAATTGTTTTTTTTTTAAATGAGGGGTAAAAAATGAATTCATCAATGTTTCGTGTGCCAAAAACAACAATGCCAACAATTTGCCCAGTGAATCAGGGTAAAAAATTGAAAGAATCACAATCAAGATGTTCGTATCTTTCATATGAATGTAGTCAACCTTGTTTAGATGGTTATACATATTGTGTTAAACATGTGTTGGAGGATCAAAATGCACCGTTTAAACAATGTAATTTTGTTTACAATACAAATGGACGAAAATGTCAGAATGCCGCTCCAAAATTGGATCGACGCGAAGCTTCGTAAGTGGTTTTTATTTTTTTTTAAGTTACGAAAAAAAAATTCCCGCCTAAATTTCAATTACTTTAAATTTTTATAATACAAAAAATTCAAGTTTAGTATTTTCAAAAATTACGAAAAAAAAAACAAAATTTCCCGTCTAAATTTAAATTATTTAAAATTTTTATAATACAAAAAATTAATATTAGTATTTTAAAAAATTACGAAAAAAAATTCCCGCTTAAATTTCAATTATTTAAAATTTTTATAATACAATAAATTAATTTTAGTATTTTCAAAAATTACGAAAAAGAAAAATTCCCGCCTAAATTTCAATTATTTAAATTTTTATAATACAAAAAATTAATTTTAGTATTTTAAAAAATTACGAAAAAAAAACAAAATTTCCCGTCTAAATTTAAATTATTTAAAATTTTTATAATACAAAAAATTAATTTTAGTATTTTAAAAAATTACGAAAAAAAAATTCCCGCTTAAATTTCAATTATTTAAAATTTTTATAATACAATAAATTAATTTTAGTATTTTAAAAAATTACGAAAAAAAAACAAAATTTCCCGCCTAAATTTCAATTATTTAAAATTTTTATAATACAAAAAATTAATTTTAGTATTTCTTTTTTTTTTTGCAATTTATAATTATTTAAATTTATTCTTTTTTAAAAATTATAAAATTTTGTAAAATCATTTCTAAACTAGACAATTTTGTGGAGTTTTGTAAATTAATTTTTAGAAATTAGTATTTTTAATTTATTTTGAAATAAATAAATTAATTTTTAGAAATTTTTTTTTTTAATTTATTTTGAAATAAATTTAAAAATTTACTTCTTTTGAACAGCAAAGAATGCATATTTAGGTTTCAGTAAAATAATACCGAATTAATTTGAAAAAAAAAAATTTTTTTTCAAAAAATTAATAAAAAAAAACAATATTTTAATGCTAAAAATTAATTTTTTCCTATAATTTAAAAAAATTGTAATTTTGGAAATTTAGTTAATTGTTAACATTATTTATAAAAAAAAGTTATTTAAAAAAATAAAAAAAAGTATTTAAAACTATTTATTTTTATTTAGAATATTTAATTATTATAATAATTGATTATTAAATAAATTTTCCCAAAACAAAATTAGTAGAAAATTAGTTTTTATTATTATTAAATTATGATAAAATAATAAATAAATTTTGTTTATTTAATATTTATTAATTATTATTTATTATTAAAATAATAAAGTATTTATTGATTATTATTTATTATTAAAATAATAAAGTATTTATTAATTGTTATTAATTATTAAAATAATAAAATATTTATTAATTATTATTAATTTATTTATTATTTAGAAATTTTTTTTTTATTAAAAATAATAAATAATTTATTATAATGTTAATTAATAAGGAAAAAATATTTTTTTTTTTGTATTTAAATTTATAGATATTGCCCTGAACACACGAGGAAAGCTCAACTTCTTCGAATAAAATCAACATCAAAACATTCTTTACCTCAAACTCCAGAAATGTTGCTCTTAAATCTCAATCATTATGTGAAACCAACAAATTTATCCGAAAAGGATGCAAAAAATTTACCGGAAAAATCTAATGTCCTGGATCCTTTCAGTGAGTCATTTTTCGATGAATTAATAAAAAAACAATAAATAATAATAATATTAATAATAAAAATAAAAGGATTTTTTTTAAATTATTAAAAAAATTATTTAAAAAATATGAAATTATTAAAAATAATTTTTACATTTCTAATAAAATAAATTATTTAATTTTATATTATAAATTTTTATTATTATTATTATTATTATTATTATTATTATTATTATTATTATTATAATTACTATATTATTATAATAATTATTATTTATTACCTACTATTATATTTTAATTAAAAATAATTAAAAATTACAATTTATGTAATTAATAAAATAAAAATAAATAATTAAAATTATGAAATTATTATTAGTAAATTATAATTATTAAAATTATTTAAAATAAATTCTAAAGAATGTAAAAACTGAAAATTAGTCCAAAACCAAAAAAGGTTGCGAACAATTAATAAATAAAAAAAAAAAAAATTGTAATTATTAAAAAAACAAAAATTAATTATTTATTTTTTGATTAACTTTAGTTTCTAATTATTATGTTAATTAATTAAATACGTTAATGAAAAAATAAATAATTATAATTTATTGTAATATTAAAATATATATATATATGTTATTTTTATTATTTCCTAATTGAAATTTGTATTTATTTTTTAATTTTAATTTTTAGTTGTAATTTTTTTTGTGTAATTAATGTTTTTTAATTTTGTTTTTCTCTCTTTTTTTCTCTCTTTCTCTCTCTCTCTCTCTCGCATTTAAAGCGGAAATCGAAGCAACGAAGGTAAATGCAAAAGTGAGCGATATTTTGGACTATGCAAGTTCATCGGACAGCGATGTTGAACCAGCGACAGTCAGCGATACAATTCGTGGAATATTTCTCGATGACAGCGATACCGAAAGTGTTCATAGTCCACAGGAGGATCCATTGAAGTACGTTGCAGATTTTATTAAATATTGAAAAACTATCTAAATTTTTTCTCTCTCTGTTTATTTATTTATTTATTTATTTAGAAGAATACATCTAAATAAAAAAACAAATAAATTTGTTTAAAAATATTATTTATATTTAGAAATCTAAATCTAAATAATAGAATAAATTTATTTATATTTATTTAAAAGTAGAAAATCGAATCTAAATAAAAAAACAAATAAATTTCAATTTCTTGTACATAAAATGAAAAAAAAAAAAAAAAATTCTGTTAAAACAGAGTATTTTAAATTTTCTGTAGAAAAAAAAACCGCTAGATATGCTTTGAGCTTGCGCTATTATTTCCAGTATTTAGAAAAAGAAATCTCTTTTTTTTCTAATTAGAAATCTCTTGTACTTTTTTTTTTTCCCCCAGTGATTTTGTATTATTTTTAGATTTTATTTCATTTCGTTTTTATTTTTGTTTTAAAGTTTGTTTCCACTTTTTTTTATTCTTTTTGGTTTTTTTGTTATTACTTTTTAATTATTATTTGTTATTTTTGAATTATTTTCTTTAAAAAATGTGTTAGAAAATATTTATTTATTTTAAATTTAAAAAAAAAATTTTATTATTATTTATAATATTGACAGATTTTTATTACAGGTAAGTTTTTTTTTTATTTTTTTATTAAACTTATATTTTTATTAATTTATTATTAATATTTCATTTTTATTATTATTATTTATTATTATTATTATTATTATTATTATTATTTGATTTTGTTATATATTTTTTTTGCATACGTTTTTTTTTTTGTATTCTTTTTTTTTTTTTGTTTATTCTTTTCAATTTTTCTCTACGAACTTTGTTTTCCATCAAATTTATTCTCTTAGTTAAAATTATTTAAAAATTTTTTATAATATTTTCCCTTTTTTCTTTTCATCTGTCGAAATTTGGATTTGGATTTTAATTTTTTTTTTCTTTTCGTTTTTATTAATTTAAATCCTTTTAGCTTTTGATTATTTCTTTTTTTTTTTAAATAAAAAAATTTTAGAATTTAAAAAAAAAAAATAGTTTCTCTAGGTCTGACTGTCAACTATGTATATATATATATATACAAAAAACTATCTTCTCTTTTAGTTGCTTTTTTTGGCACGAAGAAGATACTGTTTATCTATTGAATCATTAGTATTAATTTTTTAAGGCACGCTGGAATCTTTACTGCCGAGGAGGTGATTTACATCGCTCGTGAAAAACTCATTCGTTTACAATCATTGTACATTGATCAATTTCGAAGATTGCAATATACATTGAGGGAAAAAAGACGTAAATATCTTCATTCATTGAAGAAGGAGAAGGAAACTTTATGTAAGTTTCTCTTTTTTTTATTTTCTTTTTTAATTATTTAAAAAAAAATTTTTTATTTCGATTTTTTTTTTTCTATTTAATTTCAAATTTTTTTCCCTATTTTTTTGTTTTCCCTATATATTTAATTTCTAGTAAAAAAAATGTTATTTCAATAATTATTTACTTTTATATAATTATTATATTATAAAATAAATATATTTTTAAAAAAATCTGCTTTTTTAATTAATAAGTATATTTTATTAAAACGAAATTTTATTCTTTCTATTTATTTGTTATTTATTTATTATTAAATTTTAAATTTAACAATTTTTAGTTCAATTTAAAAATAAAGGGAATTTTATAATTATTGTTTTTATTTCCTTCGGCAATATTAAATAAATAATTAATAAAAAAAAATAAATATTCCAGGTAGTATTCATAATCAACCGAAGGAAGGTGGAAAAGAAAAAAAGATTTATGACAAATTAAAAGCATTAAATCGTTATCATCGACGTAGTGGATTTGAAGCGATTCTTTATCGAAAATCCGTTGAACGACGTGTACAGGTAAAATTCAAAATTATTTTTTGAAATTTAAATTTCAAATTTATTACATTATTTTATTTTAAACAAAAATTAATTTCCTTCTTTTTACATTATTTTTAATTATTAGGATAATTATTATTTTATTTTTTTTTTATTAGTAATTATTATAATTAAATGGAAATATTAATTATTGGAATTGAAAATTTTAAAAGTGACAAAAATTGATGTCTTTTTTTCTCAAAATAATGTTTTCTTTTTGTAGGCAACGGAAGGTCAATCGCAAAAACCGCCGAGCGTTCCAAAATGTATTTTCACTGAAGGTGGCGTAAAATGCGGCGAAAGAACACTTCCCTCAGCGAAACATTGTCGAAAGCATATTTTAAGCGTATGTAAAAAATAATATTTTAAAATAATTTAAAATTTATTTTATTAAAATTCATTTTCTTTTTAATTATTAGATCTTAGATTAAATTTATTTTTTCCATTGTTGTTTTATATACTAAATTATTATTTTTATTTAATCATTTCATGGGATTTATTAATTATTATCACAATTATTGATTATTTAATTATTTATTATTATTATTATTATTATTATTAATTTTTATTATTAATTTTTTTTTGTAAATAATTAAAAAATTTTGTTTTCACTTTTTTTTTAGGATCAAAATCAGGTTTTGTTCAAGGCTTGCGGTGCAATAATGGCAGATATCGAATGTCATGAGCCAGTGCCAGTTATTTTCGATTCAAATTGTGTTTTTCACATGAATTTACCGCCACAATGTAAATTGGAGCCAATGAGAGTAAGATTTTTATATTTTTTTTTTTCCACAAAAAATTGCGAATTTCATTTTCTTTTTTCAATCAAAATTAATTTTTATTTAGAAATTAATTTTTTTTTTTTTTGTAACGCGGATAAAATTAATTAATTTGGTTTTTTTTTTAAATTAATGAATTTTAAAGAATTTTATTAAAAATAAATAATTATTTTATACTCGAATTTTTACATAACAAAACTTTTAGTTACCGAATTTTTTGTTTGTCAGAATTTTTAATTTTCCTGTTATTTTTTTTTCGTAATTTTCTTTTTTTTTTATTTATTTATTTCCCTAAATTTTAATTTCAAATTTTCTATTTTTTTTTTTTTTTTTTATTTATTTTCCTAAATTTTAACTTCAGTTCTCTATTTTTTCTAAATTTTCTACATACAAAAACATTTACTTAAGAAAAAAAAAAGAATATTTTATAAAAATGATTCAGTTTAAAAAATAATTGAATTCTAAAAATAATAAAATTTAGAAAATAACTAAATTCTAAAAAAAAAAATTTGATTTTTGAAAATAATTCAAATTCTAAAAATAATTAAATTTAGAAAATAATTTAAATTCTAAAAATAATTAAATTTAGAAAATAATTTAATTCTAATAATTGAATTTAAAAAATAATTTTCAATTTTCAAATTAAAATTTGATATAATATAAAATATATAAAAATTCTGTCAAATAAAAATTTTGGATCATAAAATTTTATAATAATTGAATTCTAAAAATAATAAAATTTAGAAAATAACTAAATTCTTAAAAAAATTTAAAATTTTGTGGAAAATATTTGAAATTTAAAAATAATTAAATTTAGAAAATAATTTTGACTTTAAAAAATACAATTGAATTTAGACAATAATTGATTTTTGAAAATAATTTAAATTCTAAAAATAATTAAATTTAGAAAATAATTTAAATTCTAAAAATAATTAAATTTCGAAAATTAATTAAATTCTAAAAATAATTAAATTTCGAAAATTAATTAAATTCTAAAAATAATTGAATTTAGAAAATAATTTAATTCAAATAATTGAATTTAGAAAATAATTTAATTCAAATAATTGAATTTAAAAAATAATCTTCAATTTTCAAATTAAAATTTGATATAATATAAAATATATAAAAATTCTGTCAATTAAAAAATTTTGCAGTTTAAAATTTTGTTATAATGTAAAAATTCGTTTAAAAAGAAAATCTGTAAAATTTTATTTGCGAAAATTAAAAAATTCGTCTAACAAAAATAATTATTTCTAATAAAATTTTTTAGAATGTGTTCTTTTTTTTTTTTTTTTTTAAATTCGAATAAAATTAATTTGGTTTGTTGAAATTAATGTTCCTTTTGTAATGCGGATAAAATAAATTTATTTGAAAAATCAAATTTTTTTTTTAAATAATATATTTTTTTTTCTTGTAATGCAAATAAAATTATTTAATTAATTTTGTTTTTTGAATTTAATCGTTTTGTGTTTTTTTTTTTTTTTTTTGCAATGCGAATAAAGTTTGAGGAGAAAACGCCGATAAATGAAGAAACACCAATGACAATGGATGGACAATCGTCATCGTTGGACAATAATGATTTAATTGATGTGAGACGTCAGGAAATTATTGATCCCGACGATGATATGGCTGGTATTATGCGCGAATTAAATGACACGACTCCAATTTTAAATGCAATTAATAATAGTAATAATAACAACAATGATGGGGCAAATAGTGAAGCGAGCACTGAAACTACCTACAGTATCACGCCACATACCAGCGATTTAATGAAAGACATTCAACTTTCAAATTGAAAGTTTGTAAAATTTCTAAATTATCTATTTTCAATTTTTTTTTTCTTTCTTTCTTTCTTAATTTTTCTCTAAAAATTGACGCTCAACAATGCCGAATTATTTTATGTATCACAAATTCTGTGCGTTCGAATATTATTTTTTTGAAACTTGAAAATTTATTTGAATAATTATTTATTTAGTTTGATAAATTTTTTTTTTTTTTTTTGAAAATTTACGAGAAAAAAAAGGTACTTTAAACATTTAGTAAATAAAATTTATATTTTTCAGTACTTTTTACGAATTTAAAATTAATTATTGTGTAAATAAATAATTTATTTTTGTATTAAAAAAAAAAAAAAAAAAAAAATGTTAATAAAATTTTTGGAAATTAGAAAAAAAAAAAAAAAATTATTTTTATTCGAACGTTCAGAACTTTAGAGGCACATATTTATTTTAATATCAATCATTTATTATTGTTATTATTCAATTACTATTGTTACGAAATTATTATTTACTGTTAAATAAATTTAAATAAATAATAATTATTATTAGTATTATTTAAAATGTTTAGTTTTTCAATAATAATAATAATTTATAAGTAAACAATTTATTGGAATTATCAATTAAAAAAAATTTTACGAATTATTATTAATTAAAGTTATTATTATTTGTATTAATTATTTTTTCCAATTATTATTATTTATTGTATTAATAATTTTTTTCAATTATTACTATATTATTATTATCAATTTTCTTGACTTTTTTTTTTTTTTTTTTTAATTTTTGTATAAATAATACCAATGTATTTTAAAAAATGAAAATTTTAAATGTTATTTTTTTTTAATTATATTTTTAAAAGATTTTTATTATTATTATTATTATTATAAAAAATTATTGTAGTAAAAAAAAATTTTTTTTCTAAATAAAGAATATTAAAAAAGAAATACTTTGAAATAAAATAATTTTTAAAATACATAACATTTTTAGAAAATTATTATTATTATTAATATCAAGTATTGAAAATTTAGGATTCATTTTTTTTTTGAAATTATATTTTTATAACCGACCAAGCAGCAATTTTACCAACAATTTTTTGATAACTATATTACCAACTGTCGGTAAATACATGGAAGCTATATTCCTATATTTTATATCAGATTATAGCGCCTCCGACGGCCTTTGGCCATTTCTGTTTGCTTCTATTCTTTGTCTTTTCAATTTATATTTCATAATAATTTATTACAATTATTTTATTAAATATATATTTAATAATATTGTTAATAAAAATGCAAAAAAAAGCATGTAATTATAAAAAAAAAAGTTTCAAACAGAAAAAATAATAATCTATAAATTTGTAAAATTTGTCTGAAAATAATAATAATAATAATTGTTGAATAATTATTTTTAACTGAAAAATTTTTTTTATTTAAGATAAATATTATTTTTATAATAATTTAATTTCTTACAATTATTTTATTATAATTTTTTAATAAATTTCATTATTTTAAAAAAGCGCGCGCGTTATTTTGGGCCAATCAGATGATTTCAACTAAAATTCTGGCATAAAGTGTTCCGTCCAATCAGCGCACGGCAGACAGAGCTGGTGTGTGAAATAAAATTTTGCTACAGCGCACGCTCAGTTCCATCTTGGATGTCATGGAGGCAACATCTGTTTCGCTACAAGAAATTTTTTTTTTTGGATAACTTTCAATTTTAGCAAGCATTGATTTCCCCCACTTTTTTTTTGCAGTAAACGAGATGAATTCAAGGACAAAAAGAAGTTTAATTGATACGACAGGTAATAAAATATATGAATAATTTACAATTTTCCTATCGTATATTGAAAGGTATGAGTGACAATTGCAATAGCAATTAAATATGTATATAAATAATATAATATATAGATAATATAATGTATAATAATATCTCAATTTTTATAGTTTTTCAAATATTATTAATTTTAATTATTATTATACTGCCGTCTAAGGTTGGTTCCACAATAGGCAAAATAGTATCGTTTTGAAGACGATTTTCATGCTAAAACGATGCGCGCGCATGCTTTTTCTATTGTCGCCAATCGTTTCGTTTTGAAAATCGTCTTCAGGACGGTACGATTTTGTCTATTGTGGATTCCAACCTAAAGTATAAAGTAAATATGATCTTTTCTAATATTACTGTTCCTAAAATATATTTATTTCAAGCGATAATAAATTAATTTGATATTATTGGGTTATTGAATTTTTTTTTTTTATTTATTAACCTAAAAACATACATATATTATTATAATAATTTAATTCATGACACATGACATGAAAAAAATACCCATAAAGGTATATGCAGAATAGAAAATATTACCGGAATCGCAACCGGAAGAATCAGTTAGAAAAGGACAAAAATATATTTGCGAAATTATTGTGCGTCGGCCTTAAGTTATGAAAATATCAAAAATTTGTTACACAATGCATTTTTCAGTGGTGGGGGGGGAGTAACATACGTATTTTACCTCTGTAACAAACCATGTAACATACGTAGAATACTTCGAGTTTGTTACATTTACCCATCCCTGCTATGAAGTGATTTTCACAAATTTTTCAGGTTAGATTGTCATATTTTGCACAGTTTTGCAAATCGCACTTATATATAATTTATAAATAATTGAGCTACTTAAATAAATTATATACGCTAGTGTTTTTGACTTGATATTTTTGAAATTCGACAAAGTGTATATATATCAACATAGTAATTCTGGAATCAAAAATATTATTTATCTAATAAATTTTTTTTATTAATTCTTTTCTTTCTATCTTTCTTTCATTTTTTTTTTGTTTTTTTTTTATTAATCAGGGTGTTTAACGGTCATGAAAAAGTCAGGGAATTTATTTAATTTTCTGGATTTTTTTTTATAAATAAATTAAAGTAACTATTAGTTTCAAAAAAAATTTTTTTACTTTTTTCCCCAAAGCAAATGCAAATTAAAAAATTGGCTTTCACACTCAATTATTATTAAGCATGTGATATATATATTAATTAAGTGAATAATTATTTACTACTATTTATTGAATCTAATAAATGATTTTTTAAACTTGGATAACAATTAATTCATTTTTTTTTTCAGTAAAATATTTGGTTTTTTAAAATATAAATCAAAAATTATTTTGATACAATTTTATTTTATCGGTTACAACTTCAAATAAAGTAAATTATTCATTAATACGAATAATTTATTATTTTAATGCTTTTATTATTTATTAGCAATTGCAGACAAAAATACAATAATTTGAAAACTTTTTAAGCGAAAAATGATTTCAGATAGTTGAATTTTTTAAAGAATAAATTAAGAATAATTGAATTAATGCAGAGTTATAATTGGAATTATTAAATTTAAAAAAAAATTTGAGATGGGAAATTTTACAAATTAATAAATTTTAGAAGCCTTTAAATTGAAATTTTGGAAAATAATTGAATTGTAGTTGATTTTTAATTGAAATTTTGGAAAATAATGGAATTCTAGTTGATTTATAATTGAAATTTTGGAAAGTAATTGAATTTTAGTTGATTTAGAATTGAAAATTTTAAAAATAATTGAATTTCAATTGACTTTTTGGAAAATAATTGAATTTTTGTTTATTTTGGATTGAAAATAATTGAATTTTAATTGATATTTTTGAAAATAATTGAATTTCAATTTACAATTTTGGATTGAAAATTTTGAAAATAATTGAATTTCAATTTACATTTTGGAAAATAATTGAATTTTGGTTTATTTTGAATTGCAAATTTTGAAAATAATTGAATTTTAATTGATATTTTTGAAAATAATTGAATTTTAATTTTCATTTTGGAAAATAATTGAATTTTGGTGTATTTTAGATTGGAAATTTTAAAAATAATTGAATTTTAGTTGATTATGAATTGAAAATTTTGAAAATAATTGAATTTCAATTGACTTTTTGGATAATAATTTAATTTTGGTTTATTTTGGATTGAAAATAATTGAATTTTAATTGATATTTTTGAAAATAATTGAATTTTGTTTTATTTTGGATTGAAAATTTTGAAAATAATTGAATTTCAATTGACTTTTTGGATAATAATTTAATTTTGGTTTATTTTGGATTGAAAATAATTGAATTTTAATTGATATTTTTGAATTTATTTTGGATTGAAAATTTTGAAAATATTTGAAATTCAATTTACAATTTTGGAAAATAATTGAATTTTAGTTTATTTTGTATTGAAAATTTTGAAAATAATTGAATTTTAATTTATATTTTTGAAAATAATTGAATTTCAATTTTCATTTTGGAAAATAATTGAATTTTGGTGTATTTTGGATTGGAAATTTTAAAAATAATTGAATTTTAGTTGATTTTGAATTGAAAATTTTGAAAATAATTGAATTTTAATTGACTTTTTGGAAAACAATTGAATTTTGGTTTATTTTGGATTGGAAATAATTGAATTTTAATTGATATTTTTGAAAATAATTGAATTTTGTTTTATTTTGGATTGAAAATTTTGAAAATAATTGAATTTCAATTGACTTTTTGGATAATAATTTAATTTTGGTTTATTTTGGATTGGAAATAATTGAATTTTAATTGATATTTTTGAAAATAATTGAATTTTGTTTTATTTTGGATTGAAAATTTTGAAAATAATTGAATTTCAATTGACTTTTTGGATAATAATTTAATTTTGGTTTATTTTGGATTGGAAGTAATTGAATTTTAATTGATATTTTTGAAAATAATTGAATTTTGTTTTATTTTGGATTGAAAATTTTGAAAATAATTGAATTTTAATTGACTTTTTGGAAAACAATTGAATTTTGGTTTATTTTGGATTGGAAATAATTGAATTTTAATTGATATTTTTGAAAATAATTGAATTTTGTTTTATTTTGGATTGAAAATTTTGAAAATAATTGAATTTCAATTGACTTTTTGGATAATAATTTAATTTTGGTTTATTTTGGATTGGAAATAATTGAATTTTAATTGATATTTTTGAAAATAATTGAATTTTGTTTTATTTTGGATTGAAAATTTTGAAAATAATTGAATTTCAATTGACTTTTTGGATAATAATTTAATTTTGGTTTATTTTGGATTGGAAGTAATTGAATTTTAATTGATATTTTTGAAAATAATTGAATTTTGTTTTATTTTGGATTGAAAATTTTGAAAATAATTGAATTTCAATTGACTTTTTGGATAATAATTTAATTT